GGTTTGTTCAGGTTTATAAGGACACAGGCCACAATCATGTATAGCGCCTCTTGCACCGAAGGCCATTACAATGGTCGGCGGCTGAGCCCGAATTGTCCCAACAGCCTAAGCCTTCAATCGGAACCTCGCAGCTCTTAAACCAACAAGCCCTGAACCACCAAATCCCACCTTACTGTAGTCTCTGTACACGCCTGCTTTCTTGAGGTCTTTTGTCAGGAAAAACGGGACCGTGAGAAGGTGATATAGAGGCCTTATCAATTACCTATACTATTTTGGGGGCTCCTTATTGCAGTGAAAGGAAAAATGGGCCCCCAAACCCTATTCAGGCTCCTAGACCTAGATAAGGTATGGGGTCCAGGTGAACCCTGTTGAGCATCTAAACCACGGAGACCTCAAGAGCTGACCGAAAGCCCCATCCCGGACGACTACAGGTTTAGGATTTATGGTTATGGGGTCGTGTATCGTATGTCGGGTATTTGGGGGGGTAATGTTTTGAAATAGCGCACCGTCGGTCTGACCATGTTAGCTGTTGGTCAGAACTCCTTCTTGGTGTTGATGGTTACTTCGGTGTGTTTGTATGACGGTTCGGTGGTTTGGAAGGATATTTGCAGAGCTCGTGCGGAAACGCCTGTAACCTTTCACATAAAAGCCACACAACCTGACCCTAAGCCCCAAGCCATTTCAGTGAAACCCAGGCTGAGGCACGAGAACCTTGAAGCCAGGACCCTGCAAAGCAACGGAATGTAATGAGGGCCAAGTCTAGGTTATAAAGCTTCTACAGGTGCCATAAGGGCTCTATAACACCTATGTAGCCAAAGAAACCAATGACGCCGATCGTGGTGATAAGGTTGCTGTTGCTGGTCCACCTCCGTGATGACCTGGTTTTCGTTGGCTGCATTCCGTGCGAGAACGAGAAGTGGTGCTTCCCGGAAGCAGATGGGAGTTTCAGAAAGTACTTACTGTTCTTCTTGTTGAAGGGTGCTTCATAGGCCATCCTATAAGGCCCAATGCAAGCACAGTTTAATGGAACCCTACTTGAAGGCTCATGGGATTTAGTAAGTAAAGTTATAAGTAGGTTATAATTAGGATACCCCCACTTAGGGGACTTATAACCCCAGTTATAACCTACCCACTAAGTCCCATGATCCTCTAAGTAAAGAACAGTGCCGTAACGCAGTGTCCTGGAACCTGCTTTCAGCTGCCCGGCTTGATGCTTCAAGGGTCCCTTTCAGGGGTACTTTAGGGGGCACTATAGGGGGTTAGGGGTTTAGGGCTTCAGGGTTTAGGGTTTTAAGGGTTCCTTTAAGGGGGTTAGGGGTTTAGGGCTTCAGGGTTTAGGGTTTAGGCTTTAGGCTTTTAGGGTCTAGGGTTTAGCTAGGCGACCTGAACGAACTTCTACGGTGGTTTGGGATAAGCCATACCGGGTTAAGGATTTAGTGTTGAGGTTGTCTCAGAGGTTGGAGTGCAAAGTTCTTGGCCTTCGGCCGCAAGGCAGTAGCGGTAAGATAGCACGGCAACATGCCCCAATACCCTCGTACGAGGGATTCATGGGTCTAGTGGTTCAGGATGATAGAAACCGTAAACCCTAAGCCCGAAACCTAAAGATCCCGATAGAACTCGACAAACCTTTTCAAAACGTGTACCACTTGGAGGTTCATGGCGAGTTATATGTCCCATAACATGGTTGGCAAGTATACTTATCCTGCTTGTGACCCTACTTATAGCTGCCCATGAACCTCCAAGTGCCACCTCTTCAAAAGCACTGATGCCTGCGGTCAGCATCCTCGAGCCCCCCAACCTGCAAGGGTCTTTAAGCTCTTCCAACCTTACAGTTGGCGCCGGGGTTCAGGACCCAGTGGTTATGCTAAGTTGCAACGGCCGTATCTATACAACAGGACTTGCTTTTTGACAGTTTCTCATAAGACGGTGTGTCACGAACGGTGAGGGAGTGATGAGGGTCCCTCGGTTGCTCCTAAGAGGCTCCCTACCTGGACGCCACAGAACCTATAACTTTTTGAAAACTTGTATAGGGGCAGGCTTTTGTTCGGCCACTAGCCCTGGAACCCTGAACTGAGGCTTGGCCTACCAGCCAGTGATCGAATGTGCCACCACGAACTGGGCACCCCGTCGCCGACATTGGCTTGATAAATCTTCACAAGACATAAGACGTACTATACACTATGGATCCCATACGGTACTGCATACTACAGACTCTCTCTCTCTCTCTCTCTCTCTCTCTCGCTCTCTCTCTCTCTCTCTCTCTCTCTCTCTCTCTCTCTCTCTCTCTCTCTCTCTCTATGTATATATATATATATATATATTTATGGCCTATACTATACTGTATTATAGTGACTACAGACAGCCCGGCAGCTTCAAACCCAATCACAAAACAATGTCACAAAACGTAGGAGCCGTAAAGCTTAACATCCCAAATGATCCTGAACCCCCCAACGCACTTCTTCAAGCTCTACACACCCTAAGTTCAATTCTAAAGCAACATACCCGACATGCCAGGGGCATCTGAAATAGTTTCCTTAATTGCGGAGCCTTCGGACCCCCTCTAGAACCCATCGGTCCCTTAGTAAGCCCTTAACTCGAAAGCTCCAAACCCGAAACCCTAAACCCTTAACTCGTGTGGGACTTTTGGAGTGGGACACCTGAGTATCTGATGCCTTTGAAGCGCTCGAAACTCGAGCACAAAGACGGCCCATGTACATACAGAAGTAACACAAACTATGCATCCACCGTTAGAATAACTACCATACCACCTGCGGGAATTGTCGTTTCGGTGGAAGGTGTTTCATCAAGTTTGAATTTACCGGTTTGAGTCTTAGCTATCTGCACCGGAATCCGCGATCACCTATTATGAGGTTTAGGGGTTTAGGGTTTAGGCGCAGCGCTTTGGCTTGAATGGGTTTCAATCTTCGTAAGCGCTGTGGATTGACATTGCTAGTGTTTCGGTTGCTTCTGCTGATTCTTGGCGAACCCGTATTTGCAACAAGACCTGCGCAAGATTTTCCGCAAGCGCACAAGTCCGACCCAAGCCCGAGCCAAGGAAAGCTTCTAATTCCCAAAGACTTGCATTCTCACATCTCATCCCTGCATTCACCAAAGACTGCTGAATCCCGAAGGGCTGTACTACCGCTCAGAACCTAAACCCTGACGAGCAAACTCTACAATGCTTAGGAATTCAACTTTTCCAGACGCACGCATCCAACCCCCCAAATCCCTACCGTAAGGCTCCAAGTGCCCAAAACGTATGGTTGATTGTATGGAACATTCTGAAAACAGGGGACCCCAATATAGTACCCTAAATAGTAGGATCCTTATTATAAGGACCCCAAAATAAGGTACCCCGAATTTTCGGAGATTCCCGTATAGTCTTTGGCGTTGGCCTCTTGGACCCTACCCTAAACCCGAAACAGTTAACCGGTCGAGTCCCTCTTCCTATAGACGATGCTGAATTGTCAAACTCTCGGCCCCTTGTCACCGCTAGACCCGTAGTAGTTGGGAAAAAGCCGAAGCAAGATCATAGCAATAGCAATTATCGGTTTTTATACTAAGCAAGAAACTCGAATACAACAGACATCCTAGGAAGACTAAGACGGCTCACATCCATCCCTCAAACTAAATATAACATATGATCTGCATTGATACCGGCATGTCCCAAATCCCTCAAACCCTACACCTTAAACCCTAAACCTTGGAAGAAGTCCGGAATTAACCGCTTGAGGAGTGGACAGCCAGGGCCCCAGTTTGCACGGGGCAGTCGAGTTTCAAGGATACCTGACCTACAGGGTCCATAATTTGGATTTAGGGTTTAGAGGGTCTATAATATACAGGATGTACTCCCTGGAGCTTAGTACGGAACTTCTGAGTGGGGAAGGAGGGATAGTATGTCCATAGCCGTCTGTGTTTCCTGCTAAGAACCAGGGAGTTCAGGGATACGTAACCAAGACGTATACTGCTGGAGTTCTGTCCCCATAACCATAAGATGGGTAGTCGTCTGGGGCCCAACTCCATATAGGTAGTATATACGAACCCTTTTGGGTAAGGTACCTAGACCCTAACTCCTAAACCCCGAAAACCTAAACCCTAAGGACACTAAACCCTTAAATCCTAAACCCTGAGGACCCTAAGCCCTAAATCCCCAAGGATTTAAGGTGAGTTAAGGCCCCAAGTATTTGGGGTGTAGACTGAAGGCGCTGAGGATTGAGGGCGCGACCTCACGCTCAAGGGATTTGGGGTTCAGGGTTTTAGGGCTTATAGGGTTTATCGGGCTTATGGTTTAGAGTTTCGGCTTCAGGGTCTTGATTTGGTGTTTAGGCCACGGGATTTAGGGCTAAGGATTTGATTGAGGAGCTTCGGTTTATTGGGAGGGTGGAGGAAGGATTGAGTCAAAGGGGAAAAGGAAGGACCCTTAATGGGGACCCCTACCCTATAATGGGCTATATAATGGGTATATGCTAGCTATTTTAAGGTTATATATCTAGGGGTCCTTATTAAGGGTCCCTCCTTTTACCCTTGGATGGAGGTCCAGGCTCCAGGCCTGGATGAAGCCCTCGGGAATGATTTCGGAGAGCCAACGGCTCGAAGGCTGTATGCATGTGGGTAGTTGTCAAAATTGTGGCCCCTTTTTGGGTCTTATTATAATACGGCACCTAATATTTAGGGTGCCCCAAAAAGGGGCCATAATTTTGACAAGCACCCATGCACAAACGTATGTTCCTCGACCCATACGGAAGCATTGTTGGAACCTGGACATCTTGTGACAGGAAGCAATGGCATCGTAGTGATACTAGCGGCTGTCGCTGTCGCGTTGCAATTGGACTGAAGCCCGCGGCAGCAACTACACTCCTACGTCTGCAAACTTTCTGAATCCTCTACAAGCTTTAAACAAACTCCAAATTGTGGCCATGACCGTCTTTTACACCTTGAACCTTGGGACCCCTTAACCCTCGACCCGAAGCCTAAAGACGCAGCAGTTTCGACCTAAGACCATGACGGTTCTCTCCATCTTGGACCTGTTGCTGGTGATCCTCTTCTCCATCCCCATCATCGCGGTCTGCATCCTGAAATCCTGGCGGTGGCAGCACGGGCGACTTGGCCCAAGATCTTCTCTTTGTGGGTTTGTGGGGGTTTAAGGTTTAGGGGTTTCGGGTTTAAGGGTTTAGGGTGGCGAATGTAGTACAAATAACAGAAGGAGTCAACATGCTTGTGGTGTCTAGTCTAGTCTAGTTGTAGTAAGCCGTAGAAATTATCCATCCTCCTTGTCGTCTTCGTTGTCGTCGTGGTGGCAGCAGTAGTAGCAGTAGCAGTAGCAGTAGCAGTAGCAGTCTAGGACCCAGAGTAGGCCCTTATTCCCTTTTTAAGGGTTTAGGTTCCCTTATAACCCCCTTTAAACCAAAAAGGGCACCCTTTTTCTTCCTAGGTTACTCTTGGGTCTAGCAGTAGTAGTAGTAGTAGTAGTAGTAGTAGTAGTAGTAGTAGTAGTAGTAGTAGTAGTAGTATTGGTAGTAGTGGTAGTAGTAGTAGTAGTAGCAGTAGTAGTAGTCGTAGGAGTAGCAGTAGGAGTAGTAGGAGTAGTAGGAGTAGGAATAGTAGTAGTAGTAGTAGTAGTAGTAGTAGTAGTAGTAGTAGTAGTAGTAGTAGTAGTAGTAGTAGTAGTAGTAGTAGTAGTAGTAGTAGTAGTCGTGGTAGTAGTAGTAGTAGTAGTAGTAGTAGTAGTAGTAGTAGTAGTAGTAGTAGTAGTAGTAGTAGTAGTAGAGGCAGCAGCTCTAGCAGTAGCAGTAGCAGTAGCAGCACACAGGTGGTGTGACAGACCTTCGTAGCACTTTTGCACCGGACAGATCTGCTTAGCATCAAGTGTTTGGGGATGGTTTTGGCATCGTTCTCAACATCGTCGCTGGTTACCAGTGCCATCACCAGCAGCGGGCTCGTGATTGGTATCGTTCTCAGAAGTCATGATGAAAGAACGATTGGCACAGTATTCACCACCCAAAGAATAGTGCTGACAGTAATGTTAAGAACTCGTCTGTGACCCTAAACCCTCCAAGGGACACGGTCGGCTTAGACCCGGACTTCTCGGCTCCGTGGTACATCTTCTTCTCGGCAGCTTGGATGCAGAGTCGAGGTGCAGAAAGGTCTCGCGATCCGTGCTGTATTCCTCGAAATCGGGATCCCTATACCACCCCCCCAACTCTGATCCCTAAGTCCGAAACCCAAGAGTTGACTCGAAAGGTGTAGGTAATTATGGAGCAGATCAAAACCCTTATCGAACGCTTACAAAGCCCTCACAGGAACCTGTTTTGCTTCTTTTGTCTTTGCTTCCTCGCAACAAAAGGGGGTTCCCGGTTTGCCTATCAAGAGGTCCAGGGTTGCACCAAGACTCTATCAGGACAAATCTTGGGTGTTAAGGCCTGTTTCGCCAATTTGTGCCATCCAGTATCTCAAGTACACAACCCTGAAACACCAAACCTTAAACCCTGGACCCGGACCCTGAACTTCAACCCCAGCAACACAACGGTTGTCTGAAGAATTAGTAATAGTATCCGCTTACATAGTCGTTGCACAAGCGGGCCTTGATCTACCCCCCATTGGCTGGATGAGTTTTTCGGGAGCATAGTTTTGGCAAGACGGGGGACCATCAAGAAATCAATCCAAATCTGTAATATAGACTTGGTCGCCTAGGCGTCCCTGCACTTTTGTATGTGTTATGGGTATGCATGTACGCATGCATGCATGTATTTGTGTCGCCCAGTGACTCTTAAAGTGCATAGGGCTTATGGTTTCAGGAATATTTCGTAATTAAGTGGACAGGGTATGGGCTGTGTGGATACCAACCTGCGTTCCTGCCATCGATTATGGAAACTTTTGGATCCCTGAAAGTTCAGTTTCAGGGGTATCCAAAAATTGAAGTCTAGGTCACGGACTCCAAGGTAGAGGACGAGTGAGCTCATGACCCTAAGAGGAGCTGTAGGGTCTACGGTGTTAGGATTAGGAGTACGAGCCTATAAACGAATCTAAATCCTAAAGCCTGAGCCCTAAACTGCTAAACTCCGACAGCCTGAACCCCCAAACCTCAGCCCAAACCCCGAAAACCCCACACCCCAAACCAGGTTAAGTTTATTAAGGGCTTTGGTAATTTAGGAGCTGAGCCTTCGAAGCCTTCATGCTGATTGCACTGTGCCAAGGAGTTCTGGGTGAAGCGACATCGAGGCTACATCCAGGAAGTCAGACAGGCGCAGGGTTTGGGGTAGGATTTCGGGCTTAGGGAGGCTTGCCAGGGGTTACAACACTCAGGTTCCAACAACTGCAATCGAGTTGCCCAGCATGAAGCTTCACAACAACAGCCTCGTCTAACAAGTCATTCCCGTCCGCATGTTCGACGTATGCCTTGGTCCCAAAATCCGACGCCAGGCCGTGCCGGAGTTTCAGCTCATATTCCGCGAGGACCAGGAAGCGGCGGAGATGCACCAGGAGCTGTGCTCCTTCGGGACTTCGCTAGGTCAGGGTGGAGGGGTCGAGGGCTTAGAGCTTAGAGGTTGAGAGTATTAATTGAGATGAGGGTGTAGGGATCCGTCGGGGCTGCAGGTGCTTAAGGTATGTACGTATGTAGTGTGCATGTATGCCGTATGCCTATAGCCTATATGCATGTGTGCATATGCCCATGCATGCATGCATGCATGTATGATTTCTTTTTTTTGTGTGTGTGTGTTTACTATTTACACTAATTAGTTCGTGTATGCGGCATGTATTCTTTACGAGTGTGTATTTTCAACCCCTACAAACCTTGATTACCCGCCTTTCACAGGCCTTGAGGTTTCAAGAAGTAAGGGACCTCAAAATGGACCAGACCCAGAGGGTCCAAGTACTCAAACAGTAGGGCTTTAGATCCAAAAATCCATACCCTGAGTGGGTTTTGGAGCTTTACACCCTATACCATTTGGGCACTTGGACCCTTAGGGAGAGTGAGCAAGTTGGATCCGTCATCGACAAGGGCGAGTAGCTATATACAACAGTACACCTTCCTTCTCGAGGCCTCCCCATGTCGTGAACGGAGTTGCTACACCTTCATAGCCCCAAGACATCTCAACCACCCTAACCGATGCTGTTCGCTGTTCGGTTTCGAAATCACCCATGATGTCGAGTGCCTAGAGACCTGGCACAAAAGCAAGCTAAATTGGCGGAAACTAGCGTAGCACAAGCTATCCCCAATCCCTGTAAACCACACTTAATCCGATATCTTCCGTGACTCAGCACCAGGAGCTCTGGCAGAGAGCCATTGACCTCATTCTCGCGCAGGAGGCCGAGAAGGCCCGCAGCACTAAGATGCCACAGGGTAGCACAGGGAAAGAGTGAGTTCAGGGTTTAGGGCCTACGGCCAAGGGTGTAGCACAGAGAAAACAGAGAGAGAGAGAGAGAGACAGGGAGGCAGGGAAGGGGGGGGAAGAGAGAGAAAGAGAAGGATCATGAGAAAGAGCGAGAGGGAGAAAGAGAGAGAGAGAGAGAGAGAGAGAGAGCGAGAAAGAGAGAGAGCCTGAGAGAGCGAGAAAGACAGAACCCAACACCCGTTTATTTGGCATTGCTCCACATCTAGGATGCCCAGTACCCTTATTCCCTTTTTGTAGTCCTAGGTTCCTTATAAAGTTACCCAATACCAAGAAGAGAGGCCTTTTGATTCTCAGGTTACTGGGTATCCTAGACAACGGTTAAGAGGGTTCCTCAAGGCGACTTAAGGATGCTTCAGGTCCATTCTGGACTTCTAAGGGTCCATGTACTCATATAGCATATACATTGGCCTTAATGTAGTCCCTATATAGGTACTTTGGGGCTCATGTATCTCTATATGGCTACATGGACCCTTAGGGGACTATACTTCCTTAATTAAATAGGCCTTAATAGGTCCTTCTTATGGGCATTAAGGCCCCCTACCCCCCCTCCCCATACCCCCCTAAGAGTCCCTATGAGTTTAGGATCTAGGGTTTGAGCCAAACTTGGAAAAAGCCTGTCACAGTATGTTCACCGTAGACCCCAGCTCCGCCAAACCACATCCTGGAGTCTGCACAGCACGCCTTACAGTAGAAGCCAGAAAGTTGGAACATCATTAGCATCATGCTCTGGAAGCAAAGTATAGGGAATCCTAGCACGGATCCTCCTAAATCCATGTTCCAACTTTCTGGGGTTCACAATAAATTGAGAGAGCCCTCATTCCGACAAGACCTCAGATTTTTCGTTCGCCAAGCCCCATGACCCTCAAATAAATGAACCTCCCTTGTCGAACCGTAAAGGAACCAGCATGCCTCAAGCCCAGACCCTGAACCCCAAACCCTTACCTTTCACAGGAGGCCAAAAGGGGTTTTAGCCTATGGGAGTTTAGCAGGGATCAGGGTTCCCATAATAGGGTTCATATTAAGGAATCCCTACCCCAAGAATCGTAAACCCCCTTTATGGCCTCCCATCAGTTTATTGAAATATGGGGGCCTTAAGAATTAGAGTAGGGTTTTGGGGCCAATTGTACTATACTTATAGTAAGAAGCCCCCAAAATAGTATCCCTTTTGGCCTCCCATCAACCTTGACCTTGAGAGGCAGAGCTCCTCCTGATCCGAGTCATCCGACATTTGCACTCCGGCTCTCGGACGAGGGTTCAGGGTTCAAAGTGCATAATGATTGGGTACTCGGTTTTAGGATAGTAGTTCTGCAGGTTAGGATTTTGGAGAGTATATGATAGTTCGGTACTTGGACCCTTAGGGTTGGGGTTCAGGGTTCAGGCTTCACGGTTAGGGGTTTTGGCTGCAGGGCTTAGGGTTTGTGAGATCTCTACAGTGCTTTCAAGGGTTCTATCAGGGTTTTATACATTTCTTTCGCATGGAACTTGTATTGGTTTTTATTGTAGGAATCAGTTTTCGTTGTCGACATAAAATGTGAACGAAAGGGGCTACCTGAGGCTATCCATGCTGTGATCCTCACTCTGGCTGGGTACTTATTCTGCAGTTGTTGTTTAACCAGGGTCTTCATAGATGGTTTATAGACATCATCACGAAACCTTTTATAAATCCTAGCTTTCGAGTTGAGGGCTCGTATTTGAGGGCTTCAGGGTTTTGGGGATCAGGGTCTGTTTCCGGGCAGTGAATCCCTGAACCCTAAACCCTAAACCTATGGAATTTCGGACGCTTAAGCAGACGGAAAAGAGCCCATAAAAAAAAAAAAAACCCTAAACCCTCAGCCCTAAACCCTAAGCCCTAGTGAATGGCAGGGCTGTGGGGCACAAGGTATTGGCACCGGCTTCTTGGGCCCTCGACGATGCTTCAGGGGCGTCTACTAGAGGGCCTTAATAATTACCAATACTATTTTTCGCCATATTAGTTTGCGTTGTTGCATCACTTGATCTAACCTGAAACGGTTTCTCTTGCCTTCAGTCGACAGGTCGCGGCTTCAGATGCAACGCGCAGCAAAAATTGCCAATACTATTTTTGGGGCTCCTTATTATAAGTATAGTATACTATAATATACCCCCAAAAGCCCTATTCGAATTTATTAAGGCCCCTATATTAGGGTTCAGGAGTTGGAGATCTGTTGGGTCACGGTAGTTGATAGTTGTGTTCGTGGCGGCGGTAGCAAAAGTGGTTTAGGGTTTTAGGGTTTGGGGTTTTAGGGGTTTTAGGGTTTTAGGGTTCTAGGGTTTCGGGTTCAGCAGAAGCGGAGCAGCACCGGCAGCAGCAGCAGTTTACCAGAGATCGAAGAGTAAGGACCTCCCGAAGAAAACAATCACATCTGTTTGGTCTCACCGGGTCCATGTACTTCTGTTGATGATATAAATCCTGCATTACCTCAAGGACCCTAAACTATGGGAATTATGGTATATTCCTGATTATGGGTAATGCAGGATTTATATCATCAACTGTTCCATGACATGATGCCACCATCTCCACCATGCCTTCTCCCACTACAATATGCTCACGTACATTACAATAGTACTACATACTATAATGTTAAAATATTTCCGATAGTACAATAATATATACTCTATTTAATCGATTCAGTATATACGATAGTAGAATACTATAAACCACCACCTGTCCCCGATATTGAGGTACGCTCACAGTCCGCGGTTCAAGGTGATTGACGAGGACGAAGGCCCAGCTCACCCTTCTTGTGCACAGTTCTAGGTCGGGTTTAGGGTTTAGGGCATCGGGTCTGCCTGATTACCCTAAGGGTCCATGTAGCCATATAGAGATACAGCACCTATATAGGGACTACATCAAGACCAATGTATATATATATATATATATATTATGAGTACATGGACCCTTAGGATTAGAAACCCTAAACCCTAAACCCCGTTCTAGAAGCGCGGGTACCTGGGGTCCCTGGGCGGACTCAAATTCCGGATCTCCCACACCACAAGGTACAATTTTGTGGCCCTACTTGCAGAAAGTAGCCTAGTAGTAGAGTAGGCAACCAACCTTTAACTTTTTTTGGGTAGTAGAGCCCTTATAGAATCACTATAATCCCATAAAGGTTAACCTTTAGTTCCCCGTGATACCCAACACGCAGAAAGTAGTCACCTACACCCCTTCGCCGAAAGCCTTCGATATGGACAGGAGTTTGGGGTTTATAGTTTTGGACGCGAGTTTGGGAGGTTTGGGTTTATGGTCGGGTTTGGGGCAAGCGAGTTTGTGCATTTAAGGGTTCGGTTTGGGGTTTCTCGTGGTTCAAGGCACTTCGTTTACATATATTGGGGCCTCCCTTACGGGCTCCTCTAAAGGATTTCAATCTGGGTTTGGGTTTGGGGTTCAAGGCCCCTTGCCCCAAACTTGTCCCAGCTGAAATAGGCCAAGAAACCGGGCCAGCACCACAAAATCCGAAAGCCCAGCCCAGTGCCCTGAAGCTTACATATCTGGGCTTGGGAGTACCATACTTTAATACTTTTTTTGTGGGACTTGTTCCTCAAAGGGAACCATTTTGAAAGACCAGTGTATATGTTTTTCTCCATGGGTGCTTCACTGCTCCGATATAGGCTTTCCAAGCCCTTACTTATAGTCTATAGTCTTAATTGAAATTACCCAGTTTTGTGTTTGGGATCCTTTCAGTTGTTAACCTCAGAAGACTTGCAATGTTTAATCCAAGGGCAAAAGGAGGGACCCCTAATAAGGACCCCTAGGTATATACCCCTAATGTAGCTAGTATATGCCCATTACATAGCCCATTAAGGGGTCCCCATTAAGGGTCCCTCCGGGGGTTATAAGGGGTTTAGGGTTCCTTTAAGGGTTCCTTTAAAGGGGTCTATAGGGATTTCGGGTTTAGGGCTTTTAGGGTTTAGGGTAATTAGTTATAATTGGGGGTACAAAAGTCCTCTACTATGGGTTACAAGTATAGTTACCCTACTTGTAACCCTCCTTCTAACCTCCTGTGAACCTCCAAGTAGACCCTAAACCCTATACCCTTATAGAATCCCTGTAGATCCCTTTACAGGGACCCTTAAAGGAACCTCCAAGTAGACTCTGAGATCCGAGGATACCAAATCCCAGACCCTGCGAGCCCACTCCTGGACCCCATTGCAACCTCCAAAGGCTTCGGGTTTAAGGTGTTTAGGGTTTAGGGTTTGGGGTTAGGGTTAACAAACCCTAAACCCCAAACATCCCCAAAACCTACCCTATAGAGCTTAGGGTCAAGATCTACATGCAGTTCTGCCTTTGCGAGGTCCCACCTTCCAGATTATCCGCGGCCTCAGGCAAGCCGAGAATCAGGGATGCTGTTTAGGGCTCCTTTAAGGGACCATATGAGCCCCTTCCAGGGACCTCTAAGAGTTTACTAAGTATAAGGGTGCCAAAGGGGGTTTTGGGCTTGGGGTTGAGCTTGGCTGCTGGGTGCTTTTGGGTTGAGGATGTGGGATATACGCTTGGGGCAGTTGTTCGGATGATTTGGGGTTGGGCGGGTAGGGCGCACACAGGGCAAATAAGTGCTGCAACTGTGGAAAACACCATAAATAAAACGCCCACAGACCCCTTCAGGAACCTTTTTAGGAATCTCAAAGCGAAACATCAATCAAACCTTTGGAGATTTGTGGGGATGCTTACTATACGGGTTTTAGTTTAAGGCTTAGGGCTTGGTTTCGGGTTAAGGGTACTATATGGGCTACCGGATGAGATCTTTTTTGGGATATGGTCTGCACGCCGGACGAAGTCCTGAGCCTTCTCTCCAACAAGAGACAGGACAGCGCGAAGTTCATCAACAATTTCATCCAGAGATCCTCTGCGGGGCAGCTGCCGTTGAACACGAAGGACACACGGTCCAAGCTGTCGAGGTCCTTGGATTCCGAAGAGATGTACGGGAAAGAGGAGAAGGCCTTGCCGGTGAGGCTTTTTCTGAAGCAGTTTGGGCTGTCGGATGGTGAGCTGAAGTCAATGATGCAATCAGGAGAGGTGGACGTCGTGAAGGACGGCGAGAACCGGCTCTACTGCTCCTGGAAGGAAATCACATGGCGTAAACGGGACAGGCTCACTAGTGGATTTTCCCTGCGTGGAACAAACGATGTGGATGCTGGCTCTGTCTGAAATGCTGGACCACGTCGAGCTCAGGCTGGCGCAAGCAGGGGACGAGGACCTGGAGAATTAGTACCAGTTGCAACTTTTGAAAGCTTACTGTACATGGGCAACGCTCTCGTGTGAAAGAAGAAGAAGCGAACTCAGGAAGTTGAACTGCAAACGAACTTTGCTTGTGTGGTCAGGAACCGAACAGCTTTCAAACAATGTTATGGGATGTCCAGGCGTGATGATTGTTTGTTGTGTGCTGTTTGGGTACTTGTTTGAACTTCCAGGTTGGGGTTTTGATTTGGGTTAAGGGTTTAGGGTGTAGGGTTCTACAGACAGGCTTTCACCAAACTGGGGTTCAAAAGCTCCCCAATGTACAAGATCATGTTTACCCTAAGCCAAAAACCCTAAACCCCTTGTGGTTTCGGGGCTTAGGGCTTATAGGGTTCTTCCCGGGGCCTCTGTTCATTACACAAAGTCTCACCGTGCCGACCGTTGGCTGCACGAGGAGGTCTTCAGCTTCATGTCAAGAGGCTCTGTTGAGATACTCCTTTAAGGGATCTACAAGGGTTACTGCAGGGGTACTATAGGGGTTAAGCTTAGGGTTTAGGGTTTCTTCGTCACGGCCAGCAGGTGATGGAAGCAGGAGTTTTCCTAAACCCGAAAATCACACGCTGGGAGAAAAGGAGCCTTTAACAAACAAACCACACACTCTGAAGCTTTGACGCTAAATTCTGGAACTTCCAGGGACTACATCGTTGGATCGAGCATGCCTCCCAACCAGTTTGGTACTGGCTTGACCTTGGCACCTCGATTGCACAGCCGAGGGCACAGCGGCCTTACCCTAAACCCCGAAACCGCAAACCCTTAGCCTTAAACCCTGAACCCTTAAACCCCTAGAACCCCCATACTATACCCTAAACATTCGAAGTTTAGAGGTTCAGGACTTGAGGGCTTGAGGTGCTTGGTGTTGGTCTTAGGGGAATCTGTCGGGTCTCTTGGAGGGGCTACTTCTGGAACATGTGCATAAGTTGACAAGGGTCCACCTAAGTGGTATATAATGTGGCCTTGAAGTACCTGTATGGAGACGGCATTAGGGAGAAGCATGCGCTGTGTGGATATGTGGATCAAGTTGGCAGCTCGTTGTCCTGACGCCTTTAGCGCAAACTATTCGGAAAGCTGGCTTAAATGCGCATGTTCCGACTTCAACTGTTAGGGTCGGCCGTCTGCCGCATTCGACAATCAACAAGAATCACAATTCGCGAGCAGGTAGACTGCACTCGTCATCACAAGACTGACGACAACAACCCCTATTTTAGGCAGCTTAGCAATTACCTATACTATTTGGGTGTTTCAGAAAATAGGGGACCCTAAGATAGTACTCTTTATAGTAGGATCCTTATTACAAGGACCCCGAAACAAGGTGCCCTAGTTTTCGGAAACTCCCATTTGGGGTTCCTTGTTACAATTATCGTAGAATGGGCCCCAACCACAAGGTCTCCCTGGAGCTCTCAGCCGGCCTCTATCATGTCATGCCTAGTGTAGGGGCTTCAGTAGTTGGAGCAGGTTTTGGTGGTTCCTTACTATAAGCATAATATGATTTATAATATCCCCCCATCCCGATTTTGGGGGTTCATCTTATCAGTATAGTATAGTAAAATATACCCCCCAAACCCGATTCTAATCATCAAGGCCCCTGCATTGCCCACGATTAGGATCCATAACATGGTCTCGGATTGAAGGTACTAGAGCTGGTCCCAGTCAACACATTAGCAAAAGTACCCTGAACCCTTAAACCCGAAATCACAAACCCTAAACCCTGCAACCTGACTCAGCGAGACTCTCTCTCTCTCTCTCTCTCTCTCTACCATGCGGTGTAGAAGGAAGCTCTCAAAACAAGAACCTTGAACCGGGAACCCTTAAACCCTAAACCCCGAACCGTAGCAATAACGCCGACGCTGCTTTTGCCGAGGGCCTACTACCGCCCATCGAAGAGAATCGGAATGAGATTCCGCCTGAAGAGGTGCCTTTTCGGATTTTACAGATTGATTCTATAGTGCTACAGTTTCAGAGGGGTGTGGGAGGGTTTTGCAGTACAGAGTTTAGGTTTAGGACTTTCGGGTTTTGGTGTTGGAGAAGGGTTTAAGGTGTCAGGAGGTGCAGGGCTTCGGCGGTTTTCTTTGAGACTCAGGGCTTGGGGTTCATCGCTTATCACAGACTACGGTTGATGATATGAATCCTGCATTACCCGCAATAAGGAATATACCACAATTCCCATAGTTTAGGGTCCTTAAGGTAATGCAGGATTTGTATGATCAACCGTAGGACCTAGAGTAGGCCCTTCTTCTTGTGTTTTAGGGTTCAGGTCTCCTATAGGTTCCTAGGGTACTCTTGGGTCTAGCAGAAGATCAGGGGCCTCAAAAGGTAGGATGAAGGTAGGTGGGGTCATTCCCAAATAAGAGTCCTTGTATAGGGCATCCTTAATCCTACCTGCCTTCCTCCCACCTTTTGAGGCCTCCAAGAAGAAGGGCTGCAAGTCAAGGTCAGGCTGAGTTGTGTTCCTGTAATAAGCAACAGCCCTGAACTCAAGGCACAGAGTTTCTTCTGAGTATCCTTGCCTTTGAGGTGTGCCCTCAACCCTAAGCCCCTAAACTCTAAACCCTGGTTTAGGGCCTTACAGGTCACACTCTTCAGGGTTTGGGGTATCTGTAACCTGGAAAGGCTGAGCATCGAGTTTGAGTGAGCCGGCAAGGGCTTATAGAGTTTAGGAACCAAGTCGACTCCCCTGCATCAGTGCATGTTCGGGTATGCCGACATACGCATGGCACACGTGTACACATGTACTATACAGAAGTGCAGTGGTGCAGTGGGGTTTCAAATTAAAGGGTTTGTGGCTACTGTACGAAACCTTGGCCTGAGGGTGTAGCAACTTCTGGTGACACTTGTAGTACTCATGTCTGTGCAACCTCTCGAGCCCCGAAATGTTCTTGGTAAAAGGGTTTGCTTGAGGCTTTGGGTATGCTCTACACGAAACTACCCAGACTCAAAAAGCAACTCCTTCAGATTCATGTCCATGCTTGGAGGTTCATGGATAGTTGTAAGTGGGGTTATAATAAGTTTTCCTAATATGCGTTACAAGTACAGTTACCCTACTTATAACCCTACTTCCAAGTAGGCTGGGATTCATACCCGTCAGCACGCTCTCGCGAGTGATGTTTGGTCTTGGCTCTTGGGTTTGGGGTCCTTTCGGTTTGCCTGGGCGAGCGGCCTTACTGCAAATGAAGTGGTCAATATCACTCTCGGAACATCGTCCCTATCGAGTTGTCTGAAAAAAGTACGAAGCGTGTTTTGCATAGCTGAAAATCGGTCGACGACTCTGTCACTACCAGGTGCGCTGTTGAACCGCCACTGTTCTCAGACGTGGCCCCTCGCAGACGTGGCTTTGCAAGTACTCCAGAGATGCTCACGTAACTCCACGTGCAATCTTACAAGCTATTGCGCTTTCAAGAGCACTTGCAGCTTCCTTGCCCCCCGCTGCATGCGGCTGAGCAGACTTCGATGCCGCCCGTAAACCCTTACCGATTGCCTGCCGTGCCAAGCAGGCCACTGCCGTGCCTGCGCCCCGGCAGCTGCAGTTCTGTGCCGTCGGTGTCGCTGAGATGTTTCTTTTCTCAGGGCACAACACATGCTGGCTCTGCCGTTGCCTTACGCCTGAGTGGTATGCGAATATCCAGCTTGCGGCTGCTTGTCAGATTTCTTCCCCTTGTCAGAAATGCCAGCCCGGGCCTGCTTGTGTATGCGCTGGGCACGCGTCATCACTTCACGCGGGTGGCTGCGTTGCCTGTAGAGCGTATGCCAGCAATATCAGTTTTCCACCACCTCTACATCTCAGCCGCCGAGGGTGCACGATTTCAATGGCCCCTAGTCCATAAACTCTTCAAGAGGAATACCCGCACCGCTTCAAGCAAGACGACCCACCCAAATATGCCAACAACCGTCCCTATGTTAATATCATTTTACGATCCCTCACCCCACAACCTTGTTCTAAGTATTCAAAACTCATGCCGCAAGAAATAAGCGAATGTCAAGGACGAACTCCTATCTAAGCCCTAAACCCCTAAACCCCTAACCCCTAAATCCTGAACCTTGTAGACCCTAGACCTTAAACCCCAAAACCTCTACACTTTAAGCCCTACACTCCGACATGAGCCGTCAATCCTGAACCTTATAGACCCTATAAACCTTAAACCAAAAAGCCTCTACACTTTGCCAGCAGTGAGGGGTAATTAGGGAGTACAATAAAGGGCAGTTGGGGGGTCTAGGTAAGCCCTACTTGAAGGCTCATGGGACTTAGTAAGTAAGGTTTTAAGTAGGTTATAATTAGGATAACCCCACTTAGGGGACTTATAACCCCAATTATAACCTACTTACTAAGTCCCATGATCCTCTAAGTACACCCCAAATTGACCAGGACGAACCCCAACCTCCAGAGACGGGAGAGCCTCCAGATGAGAAGATCACCCGGTGCGCCGGGGTGCATGTCGGGTTTAGGGGATGTAGGTTTTTGGTGTAGGGGGGTTAGGGGATTTAGGTTTAGAGACCTTTTGGCGTGAAAAGGTACAGACCCTGGGGCTTCAGGGTCTTAGGCGGTGTTTGTGTTGTGTGTGCGTGTTGTTGCCGCGTCCGGCCGTTCGGGATCAGCAGGGTGTCGGTCGTGTTAAGGCCATGAGGCTGTAGGCTTACGGTTGTTTGTAAACGCTTTTCGGGTTGAATGGTCCTGCGGCCAGGGCAAAGGAAAGTGAATCGTATAGCAGGCCCTTCAGGATTTGGTGGCGGCATTCCTGTCCAATTAATTGAATTTACATCTCAAGCGAGCCTAGGTCATAATTAGATACAACTCCCCTGTCAACCCCTGCACAACTTTACGGTTCCAGCTGAATCTAGCTCTTATGGAAGACCTCAAGCTCGTTTAAGGTTGCTGTCGGAGTCATGCAATGCTATAACAACTGGAACTGATGTGTCCTAAACGCTACATCCATACACTATCCATCGCCGGTTTGCGCTTCAGCGCCCAGCGCGAAGCAGGGGTTTGTGGAGGTTCTTCACTGTCGAGGTACCGATGGAGTGGATTACCGCGCCTTAAACTCTACATACAACCCTACAGTACTCATAATCCTGAAGTACAACCTGCGGGCAGAACTCGTATTTGCCCTGGGAGTGGATCCATGTATTCAAGTACATACATTGGCTGTCAAGCAGTCGCTCCAGTAGTTACCTTAGGGCCAAAGTACATACGATTTAGGCACCTGAACCCTTCCTTCCGGTCGGGATGTCCAAGAACTGGGAACACCAGGTAAAAACCGCATAAAGCCCTATATATACAACACTATGAACTCGTAAAAGACTATATATAAAACCTCTACAACACTACACATCCCACATCAGACCGCATTGTTTGAACATATTTGCAACCCCTAAACCCTAAACCAGGCTTGACGACCCCGACTCCGACGAGTCCCCGGCGAAGATCACCCGCCTGGATGATGAGGAGACGTCCCCGAAACCTTGAACCCCAGCCCTTAAAAGAACCCTTCAAAGGATCCCTAGCAGGAAACGCTAAACCCTAAACCCTGACGAGGAGTCTCAGTGGCAGAATAGGTACTCTGAAGTCTTTTTTTTGTACTACGAAGGGGTTCTAGAAGGTTCTTGAAGTCCTCGAAGCCCTAAACCCGAAATCGGCCAGGGTTTAAGGTTTCTGGGATTTCGAACACGTCAGGGCCTTTTCGTAGCTGAGAAGGTTTGCGAGTTCTACAGGGCATCCTTGAAAGGAGGGCTGTAGGCATTAGGGATTATTAGGGTCTAAAGGTCTGCTGTTTGGTTTGGGTCTCAGGGGAATGAGATGGGGCTTCGGGGATTAGGGCTTGACTACTTGTTGAACGAGGTGGAAGGGTTTCAGGGTTTGGGGCCCCAGACCTTAGAATAGGATTTGGGGGCCCATTGTACTATAGCTATAGTAAGGAACCCCCCAAAAGAGTATAAGTAACTATTTATGCGCCAGCCCTAACATCCCCAAAGCTCGAACCCCAAGCCTAGGTTTCAGGGTTCAGGCTTTAGAGCTTAGGATTTAGGGTTTAGGTTTTAGGGCTTAGGGTCGAGGATTCAGGGCTTAGAGTTTAATCCCAAAATGTCCGAAAAACCTAAAAAAATCCGAGCCCTAAGCCCCTAGGCCTGACCCTGCAGTTTGTAAAACCCGTCTGCAGACTGGGCATATGTCATACGGTTGATGATATAAATCCTGCATGACCCATAATAAGGAATATAGCATAATTCCCATAGATTCCTTATTATTGGTAATGCAGGATTGATATCATCAACCGTTGGTCGACTCTCTCTGTCTCCGCCCTGGGTTTAGAGTTTTAGGTAGGGCTTATAGGGTTTAATAGAGTTTAGGGTTTGGGGCCTATAGGGCTTGTAGGGCTTATAGGTAAATCATCAACCTTAGCTCTTCGTTGCCAAGCTTTCGGATGATTCCGCCTGTAACACGAAGTTAAAGCTCTTCTGAAAGTTAAGCGGTTGGGCCCAAGAATTCGCTCTAGGCCCTGGTTCAAGCCCTTAACATCCCAAATCCAAACGACGGAACGCCACTCCAACTCTGGAGAATCCTGAGCTTGAAGATCCTACTTGGAGGTTCAGGTGTTTTTTGTTTTAAGTGGGGTCCTCCGTAGGATAACTATGTTTAGAAGCTGTAATATATAAAAGGCATACTTATAAGGTATAAAAGCTACAGTAGGGGACTTATATCCCATTTATAGCTGCCCATGAACCTCCAAAAACCTAAACCCCAAACCCCTAAACCCTAACCGCTAAACCTCTAAACCCTAAACCCCTAAACCCTAAACCCCTAAAGCCCTAAACCCTAGGTCCAAGTAGTTGCCGGCAGGAGTCCGAGTTTTCAGACATCGTGACCGAGAGCCTCGCAGTCCCCGCTGGCGGGGAGGTGCCGAGATGCATCGTTCTCCAAACTAGAGGATTTTCCGTTTTTAAAATTTTGTGCTTGTATCATTTTTATGCATTTTCAAATCAACTTCCTCTATTTTCGGAGCTATTTTTCCTATGTTCCAGCCAACTCGTGTGTTTTGCTCTGGGCTTCGCAGGCGGTTTCAGACTTTTGCGTGGACGGCTTCCTGTAGAACGGTTCACGTTTTGGTGTAGTTTGCAGTTGGTACCAGGGGGGGGTGTAGATTGAGGGTTTCATTTTCAGGAGATGGGTTGAGGGTTCGTGGCTTCGGATTTAAGGCGCAGGAGTTGCCTTTCTGTCGTAATACCGGATCCTACACGGTGGGGCTTCTAGGTTCAGAATGGTTTCCGAGAGCCTGCCTCTCTGCATAATAGAGGGGCCTTAATAATTAGAACACGGTTTCGGGCCCATCTTGCTGTACGTGGAACAAGGAATCCCCAAAATAGTACTGGTAATTATTTAGGCCTCCATAAGATGTGTCATTGGCGCTACAACACATCTCACTGCCCCTGCACACGAACCAATACACACAGCCGCCCGATCAAAGCCACACACTCGTATCCCCTTACAGGGAACTCCAGAAAGTTGGAATATGGTTTCATGGTAGGATACCCTATAATTTACCATAGAAGGGTTAGGATAATCATATTCCAACTTTCTGGCTTTTACCTTAAATTCCTATTCCCCTCGCCCTGAGCCCTCTGGAACTAAACCCTTGACCCCTAAACTCTCAAGAAACCCTAGGCCCCAAACCCCTTGACAAAAAAAACGATAACCAAAATTCAACACTACCGAAACCCTCAACAGCCCTCAAGAGCCCTTAATATCTTAAAATAACCTTCAAAAACCTTTAAAAGCCATTAGAACACCTTAAAAACACCGTAACCTTGCTTTAACAGCTCAAAGAACCAAACAAGGGTTTAGGGTTTGGGGTTTAGGGTTGGGTAAACCCTAAACCCTAAACCCTAAAACCCTAAACCCTAAGCCCTTTTACAAGGAGCTTAAAAAAAACCTAAAAGGGCCCAGCTTGAGGCGCCTCCCGAGCCCCACCCGGCCCGGCCGGACGGTCCAGATCCTGAGGACCTCCCCTGTTTCATAGGAGGCCAAAAGAAAAGGGGTTTTAGCATGTGGGGGTTTAGTAGGGGTTAGGGTTCCCATGATAGGGTTCGCATATTAAGGAATCCCGGCCCCAAGAATCTTAAACCACCCTTTTGGCCTCCCATCACTTTTGTTTGGGGCCCTAAGGGTTCCTTGAAGTGTTCCTCTAGGGGTTCCTTGAAGGCGTACTTTAGGGGTCCTTTAAGGGTTCCTTTAAGGGGTATTTTAGGGGGTACCACAGGGGGTCAGGGGTCGAGGGCTTCAGGGTTTAGGGTTTTAAGGGTTCCTTTAAGGGGGTTAGGGGTTTGGGGCTTCAGGGTTTAGGGTTTAAGGGTTCCTTTAAGGGTCCTTTAAGCTTAGTAGCTGAGTAGATACACTTTACACTTTTGGGGATAATATTACTCGCGCTATAAAAATGACAGTGTACGCTTTTTGGGGCTTATGAACTCAGCAACTAAGTTAAGGGTTCCTTTGAGGGTTACGTTAGGGGATTAGGGGTTTAGGGCTTCAAGGGTTAGGGTTTAAGGGTTCCTTTAAGGGTTATATAGCGGTTTAGGGTTAATGGTTTTAGGGGTTTTGGTGTGAGGGTTTTAGGGGTTTCGGATTCAGGTCTTGGGGTTTGTGGTTTAAGGGTTTTAGGGGTTTAGAGTTCGAAGGTTTAGGCTTTCAGGGGTTTGGGGGTTTAGGCTTTCACAGGGTGTGGGTTTAGGGGTTAGGGTCCAGGGTTTAGCTTTGGTAAAGAGTCTATGGTGCTTTAAGAACCCTAAACCCAAGCAGTCCTTATTCAAGGTTTTTGGTAGCAAAAAGGACCCAAAGTCCTACAATGTGTACGCTTTGGGCAATTGCTTTCAGGAATTATCCAGGTGGGGGTTTGCGGTTTTTCGGTTAGAGTTTTGGAGTTGGGGTTTAGGGCTTTAGGTTTAGGGCTTTTGTCGCTGTTGGGACTAGAATCCTGAAACCCCCATAGCCATTCAAAGGAACAACAAGCCGATTGTTACAACCCTTACATCAAATGAAGCAACAAGAGCCCTCCTGCAACATGATTTTTCATGAAAGACCGCAGGAGGATAGGGTTCAGGGTCTTTTTGAAACCCTACACCCTAACCTAGTAGTAGAGTAGGTAACCTTTAGCTTTTTTTTGGGTACTATGGTCCCTATATAGCCCCTCTTTTCCCCAAAAAGATTTCACCTTAGGATTCCTTTAAGGCCGAGAAGTAGGCGAATTCAAGACCCTAAAGACCCTAAAGATCCTCAACTCTACCCCCCCAAGGGTCCAACGGTTGATGATATAAATCCTGCATTACCCATAATAGGGAATATCTGGGAAATATGGTATATTTCTTACGATGGGTAATGCAGGATTTATACCATCAACCGAAGTACCATTATAGTAGGCACTTAGTAGGTATTTGGGTCCCCAAAGTATATACTGTACTATTACTTGGACCCTTTGGGAGCTGAGCATAGGTATTGGGGGTACATCATAGTATAATTCTAATAATGAATCCTAAAGGATAATCTTGGTAATTATTGAGGATTCTATATTACCAGAAGAACGCTAAAGACCCCCTGGAGGAGCCGGAGTCAATCCTTTTAGGGGTTCCTTTTAGGGGTTCCTTTTAGGGGTTCCTTTAAGGGTTCCTTTAAAGGGTTCCGTTAAGGGTCGAAACCTTAAAGACCCTAAACTCAAAACGCTAAAGACCCCCTGGAGGAGCCGGAGGTGAATCCTCCACCTGATGATCCGATTCCGCAGCCGCCTGACGACCCTCCTCTGCCACAACTGCCGAGGGAGCACCTGAAGGCCGAGGAGTTGTAGGGTTTAGGGTCCATAGGGTTTAGGGTTTAGGCTTTAAGGGTTTAGGGTTTAATTTATTTCGGGTTTAGGGTTGAGGGTTTAGGGTTTAGGGTCTAGGGTGTTTGCTTTTGCTGCCTGTGGGCATTGGAGGCGTCTCAAGGGTTTCATATAGGCCTTGTTTTTTGTTTTGGGTTTGTTTAAAGGCATTGGATTGCATTGAGAACGAGTTGTTGTTCAATAGACTCCAACTCCAACCCTTCGTTTTAGCATTTGTGAACATCTCTTTCTCAGGCTCCTGGGTATCTCCTCTGACTTCCCAAAATCTGTGGCTTTGTGGAAAGCCATGATCTTTCCGATGGTCAGTACAGAGTGCAAGTTGAACTGTGGGGTCTTTATAGTTAGAGCAGGGTTTGGGGGTGTTCTATAGGAAACTAATATCGTAGGGAATAGTAAGTAACTATCCGGGCTCCTATACTGCAATGATAACAATTACAGTCATGAACAGCCCGAACCGGAAGCCTTTAACCCAAATGAGTTATGAAACCCGAAGGCCCACACCTTAAAACCCCAAGCCCTGAACCTGTAAACCCTTACAACCCTATCTATCTATCTATCTATATATATATATATATCCCGGAAAACACCTGAAATCCGCAAAACCTTGAACCCTATATAAACCAAGCCTTAAAACCACAAATCCGTAAGCCCCAAACCTGAAGACCCCTATCTTGCAGATCGCATACTGCCGATCCCAAATCCTTAAGTGGATCCTTCGGGAACACTATGATTGAGGCTCCCTTTAGAGTTTTCGGGTCCTGTTGCGAGTTTCAGCACGGTTTTGGTGTTTTTAGGCTTTTCTGGTTGCAGGGTTTGATGGGTGTACCACTTGAAGGCTCTGGCAAGCGGGTAGCAGAAGCTAAAGGTGGGATCCAGTTTTGAGTGTCGGATGTGCGCCCAGCGCTGCCGAACGCCTGCAGGTCTCCGACGTTCACCACGTGACGCTTCTTGCTGACATCGTGGATGTGTTTTGGGATCCTTCCTAGTTGGCTCTAGTTTGCCGATCACCCCCAAATCCAAGTACCGGTTGTAGGTTAATGCCAGGTGGGTATTTTGGGGCAGTATGCTGACTCGGAACAGGGTTTGGATCCTTCGACAAAGTGTAAACGCGAACCGCCCCCCCTGCTAAACCCTAAACCCTAAGCTCCCAAACCCCTGAACCCTTCACCCCTAGACCCTAAACCCCCATAGCACCTGTCGAGTAAGAGTCTAGTATAACCTTTATAGTAACCTTCATAGACCCCTTAAAGGAAGCCTTAAATAAAGGAACACAAAAACCCAGGTTGACCTTGGAGAACCTGCTGGACTACGCGAAGCTACTGGGAAGACGAATCGGTCGTGTGGTGCGTTTTCGAGGGGTGTAGGAATGTATGTAGGGCTTTTAGGGCTTTTCTTTAGGGCTTGGGGGCTTTTAGGGCTTGCTTAGAGCTTTTAGGTTTCAGAGCTGGAGTTGTGTAGGGTTTCTCGTTTGCCGAGCTTAGGGTAGATGATGTAGTACTGTTTTCGGGCTGCCCTAAACCCTAAACCCTATACTAAACCCTAAACCCTAAACCGGTTTTGAGCTTGGTGGCTGCTCCTTTTCAGGAGTCGGGCTCAGAGCCCTCTAACTCCGAATACCCTACCCCCAAACACCCCTTATCCGCTGAACCCCAAACCCTATACATCCCTATACTATCTACACCCTGACGCCCTAAGAAAGCGTATAGTACCCTTATAGTAGCCATTATAGATCCCTATATGGCCTCTCCCTGAAACGCCCCTGGTCCTCTGAACCCTAAACCCTATTCACCGGAGTCTGTCTCAATCTTGCGGTTTGGGGCTTCCTAAGATCCTGAGCTGGAGGTTCATGGGTAGTTAGAAGTAGGGTTATAAGTCCCCTCATATGGTTTTATATGTGAAGTTACCCTGCTTATAGCCCACTTTCATGAACCTCCAAGCAGGTTCCGGTCCGAAGCCGTCCAGCAGTAGTAGTAGTAGTATTAGTAGTAGTAGTAGTAGCAGTAGTACCTAGAGGCTCATACCCTACCCTTTTTCAGGGGGCCATTTCCAGGTAACAGATCCTGACCATAAACCTAGGTGTCCTAGAAAAGGGGTAGGGTATGAGCCTCTAGGTAGTAGTAGTAGTAGTCGTCGTCGTCGTCGTAGTAGTAGTAGTAGTCGTAGTCGTTGTTGTTGTAGTAGTAGCCGTAGTGGTAGTAGCAGTAGTAGTCGTAGTAATCGTAGCAGTAGCAGCATCTGTAGTAGTGGTCGGTATCCATACCGTTCATAGTAATTGAATTGTGCTGAAATCGAGAACGCCACCAAGGCGGATCATAGAACCGTGATAGAGCCCCCTTCGACACCCTATAGGAACCCTGGAGGAACCCTTGAAGAAGCCAGAGGCCCCTCCCGTTATTCAGAGTGTCCTTGTCCTCTTTCATGGTTCCCCCAAAAGAATAAACAGACCGGCTAGTAGACCTTCTTAAATAATTCCTACTAAGGGATATAGGTATAGGGCTCTGTCTATTCTTACTAAAAGGACAAGGGTGATTCAGAGTGTCCTTGCTTGCCGATCCGAGGTGGTCCATCCCGGGAGCTCGAGCATTTAAGCCCTGCGGCTGCAAGGTTTGGCTTTGGGTGAGAATGCTTACGGTGGTGGGCTTCTATAATTATAGGGTTCTATACGGGATCGAAGAGATTACAGTGCAAGTCTATAAGGGTCCTGGGTTTCGGGTTCAGGGCTCAGTTCGGGTTTGGGGTTTTATGCGTTGGTTTTTTGGGGGGGGTCCTAATTCGAGGGCTGGGGTGGTCGAGGACTGCGAAAGCAGCTTCTTCAGTGATTGGGGGGAAGAGTGTGCATAGGGCTTAGGGGTCGGGTTTAGAGGCCGTGATGTTGTACTGCGGCTGGGCCCCCCAAACTGTAGCAGGGCTGAAGCGACAGGGCTCGACTCTGACCGAAGTGCAGTGCCTGCTTGCTTACCGATCTTCTTGTAGTTCAGAGAGACACTGAGGGAAGGGCTACCCTGAAACCTCACACCTTCAACCCTAAGCCCCGAACTCCACCTAGACCCCCCAACTGCCCTCTAATGTACCCCAAATACCCACTATTAAGGGCCACAAGGCCTCTATTAAAGGGCTCTCCTAGCAGCAAGTGTGTTTGAAGTTGGTTTGATTTATAGTTTTGGCTTCGGCGTGGTTTTCGTCCTTCGAACCTGATGCCTAAGCACTATTGAAACCCTCCCTACAACGTCATTGTCATCTGCTACGTATATCTAGAAACGGCTGTCTTCAGAGTCTGATATAGGCAGTTTCGCAAGGACGCCTCTGATTTTAAAGAGTCGATTTGCTTTTGCGGCTTAGGGCAGGGTTTCATGTGTTTAAAGCTTTATGAGTAAAGGCTGGGAGTCGTTGGTTTCGCGCCACACAAAAATTTTCGGATCCTGATGACGGAACCTATGGTTCCAAGCCCCCAGCGGTACTAAAGTAGAGGGTAATTTTTGCTCATGCCCTTCACTTTACTGCTCTCAGGAACTACATGTATCTTCTTATAACCCTAAACCCTAAACCCTAAACCCTAAACCCTAAACAAGAATGTAGTTTTCATTTTAGGTTCTAAGGGCGGCTAAGTTTAAAGTAAAATACAGGAGATCCGGACACGACCCATCCGAAGTCCATGTTCCAACTACAAACTATCAGACTCATGTGGAGGAACTCGATGGACTAGGGTTACTGTAAGGTTAAGGGTTTAGCGTTTCGGATTTGGGATTTCAGGTTCAGATTTTAGGGTTTATTTTTGGTTACGGGGTCCAGGGTTTAGGGTAGTATCCCCCCAGTTTGGATCATGCCCTACACCGAAAAACCCCATAGACACGCATTCCTTTTGTCATCGAACTCTGAAAGCCCTAAAGGAGGGTTGCTGTTCCTTATGACCCTCGTCATAAGGTATCTCGGCGTCTAGGGCTAACCTGCAAGCTGACTCCCATAAACCCCAAATCCTCAACCCCAAACCCTCAACACCCTAAACCCTGACCGGAGAGTTTTGCCGAGCCGAGGCGAGTGCTATCTTACTCGTGGTGTTTCATCCTGCTCCTTACCCGCTGCTTGCCGCGAACGCTCAGAGTTCCTTCAAAGGGTTCGCAAGGGGTTGTTTCCGGCTTTAGCCTAGGCCGGTAGATATGACTGCTACTCCTCAAGCCTCCTTACACTTGATCTAGTAACTAGAGTAAACTGCAAACCGTCGTTTTAATGGCTAGTATTCCGTCCATCATCTATCTGGACTACCATGCAAAGGCCATCGGAAGAATCGTCAATGCGGCAATGCGGTTAAGGTTAGGGGAGGGTGCGACTTTTCCAATAGCTTTCGGGTTCGCCGAGCTTTAGTCAGCTCAATCGGCGAAACAACCGGGTGTATTCTCCAGATTCCAAGCATGGCAATTGGCAAAAGGTGAGCTCTGTCTATTGTGCATTCATGTTATGCTTATAAGTGCTCCGACTGGAGGGGAGGGGCTGAAACTGAGCAGAGGCAGCATCCTGATCCAGTGTTGCCATTGCAGGTCCACGCAGATGACGAGCAAACACTCAAGAAAAGTGGTGTCATCATCATCATCATCAACATTCAGTCCCCTATGGCGTTTGGACAAAGCAGCACTCCTGACGACACTGACGATGCCACGGCTTCCAACTACATCGGAAAAGCTTTTGCGACCAGCTTTTTAATATACGGTGGGCACAAAACGTGCATACAGCAAGAAAAGCAAGATCGTGCTGGATTCGATTCTAGACTCTGTGGCTGACGAGCTGAAGGACCTGTTGACAAATGGTACGGGCCCTTAATACTTAGAATAAGGCTTTGGGGTCGATTATACTAGAATGGTAATAAGGAACCCCAAATGGTATACTTAGGTCGTTATTAAGGCCCCTATAGTATGCAATCGGGCTCAAGGGCGACTGGCCGGTGCAGGCACGCATCGGCTACTTGAATGGGGTCTTCTATGAGGGTACTGTAGGGTGCTACAATGAGGTCCCTTTAAGGGTAGTGTAGGGTCCTATAATAGGGTTCCTTTGTGCCCGAGATCTAATTCGGCCCTTGTTTGATGATTCCCAGACATACAACCTGCCTTGAACTGACGACTCCCAACGTCTACATCTGCCACAAATCCAAGGCCTTCGACCATAGGCCCTAGACCTTGAAACCTGAAAACAAGCCCCTTCGACAAAACAAAAACACACTGACCTGAAACCTAAGCCTTCAAACCGACACCGGCGTCTTAAGCACTACAAAAATTAAGCCTCAAGGCGAAGCCCTCCGAGGCTGCGCAATGATCATCTCTTAAACCCTAAACCCAAACCGAAGCCTTAAACAAGCCCTAAACCCTAAACCCAAATCGAAGCCTTAAACAAAGCCTAAACACTCAGCCTTAAACCCAAGCCCTAACTCCGAGGCTTCGCAGCGATCATCTCCTCAACCCTAAACCCCAAAAGCCTAAACGGAAGGCTTCGCAGTGATCATCCCCTAAACCCTAAACCCTGAACCGGAACCGAAGCCTTACATAAACCCTAAACCCTCACGCCCCAAACTAAACCCAAACCCAAGCCCAAAAGCCTAAGCGAAAGGCTTCGCAGTGATCATCTCCTAAACCCTAACCCCTAAACCCTAAACCCTTAATTCCCCCGAAACTAAACCCAACCCTAAACCCCCAAAGCCTAAGCGAAAGGCTTCGCAGTGATGATCTCCTAAACCCCAAGCCCTAAACCCTCCCTATATGCGAGGCTTCGCAGTGATCATCTACGCCATGTTGATGCGCAGAGACCTCGCCGGCCTCCCACTGGTCTACATGCTCATCACCCTGGGGCCGGGTCCTTAACTTTGTCACAGTTGGGTAAAATTTTACATTTTTAAGGGTACTTAAACCCAATAAGGAATAAAAAATTAAATTTTTAACCTTATCCCAACCATGAACCAGTTAAGAGCAGCCTTGAAAGGGTCCCCTAAAGGGGCTCCTTCGAGGGTAGTAGAGGGTGGTCCTTTTTAAGGGTACTGTAGTTACAATGGGGTACTATACTAGGGTCCCCTTTTAGGGTAGCATAGGGTTCGATTCTATGATAGGGTCCCCTTTGACTTTAAGGGATCAATAAGGGTTGCTTTTTGGCATCGCATCCACAAGGGTTCCTTTCAGTGATCTATACGAGTCCTAAGCCTAATCCTGAAGGATCCGGAGGACCCCAGAACCGAGAATCTGACCAGGGTTTAGAGTTTAGGTTTTAATGTTCGGGGTTTATAAGGATAAGGGTTTAGGGTTTAGGAGGCTTCTATAAGGGTTTCATCATCATCGCGTAAAATCCTAAAGCCTAAGAGCCCCATCGCGGTTAAGAAGGGTTTGCAGACGTTTTGGAGGTCTTTGCAGGGTGTCTTTTGTCCAGAGCTTTGCTCTCGAAGCTCCAGCGTGACCTCATCATATATAACTTATTAATTATTGTATACTATAATGTAATATAGTATACCACAATGTAGTATAATATACTATGCCCTAGCCAAAGATCCCCTCGATTCGTCGCAGCTTCACGGTAATCCTAAACCTAGTAGTAGAGAAGGCAACGTTTAACCTTTTTGAGGGGGTAGGGTTTAGGGTTTAGGATTTCAGATCTATTGGGTTTCAGGTTGAGGCTTTAGGTTTTGGGTGTAGGGTTTGGGGTTTAGGGTTTAGTGCCCGAAATGCTTGGCCCTCGAGGTACGTCATCCTGGAAGCTACTCTGCAGCCATATGTGTGGACCTACCTCAACGACTGGGCCTCTTGGCCCATGCAACGGGGAGCCAGGCTTTTGACTCTGACGCTTCACTAGTCGCTGGAAGTAACAATGTATCTTGTGATTCAAGAGGTTTAAAGTTTTGTTGGAGTACATGGAGAGACAGAGACAGAGAGAGAGAGAGAGATATATATATATATATATATAAGATGTATATATATATATATATATGTATGTATGTATGTGTATATATATATATATGGAGAGAGAGAGAGAGAGAGAGAGAGAGAGAGAGAGAGAGAGAGAGAGAGAGAGAGAGAGAGAGAGAGAGAGAGGCAGGCCTCCCGCAATCGCGGCTTCGTTTGAGCACGATCTTCCAGTTGCTTTGGTGCTACGGCTTTGACGCGAGCGAGGGTCTGCATCCCATAGAAACTGACACTGGCTCCCACAGTCTACACATCCTGCAGCTGGAGCCTTTAACCCTGTACACCCGGAGACTCCCTCCACTGACTTCTTTCTGGCACTCCTAGAAATATCAACCCATAAATCCTGCTTCGTCGAATTCCTGTGGCCCTGTACCCAACCCCGAGAATTACTGAAGCCCCAAACCTATAAGGCCTGAAGATTAAAACAACTAACACAACCTTCTTGCCACGAGACTAATTGCCGATCACTGAACTTGTGCAACTAGGTTCCTGAGTAGTACCCTTTTGCCCTTTCTATTTTAGGGCCCCCTTATTAAAACCCAATACTAGTACAAACTCGAGACGATCCGCTCCCAAGGAAGTCACTGTACATGTGCTCATCTACGTGCCGCTTTGCTGAGGGACGGTTCGGACGCGTCGTAGTCGGCAGGCTGGAGGCTAGGGTTTAGGGTTTAGGGTTTAGGGATACCAGCGTGTTTCGGAGGAGTACTTAGGCCCCGCACGCAGTGCAAAATACTACCCCAAGGCCTTCTTCTAACGACTAAGGCGTGACTAAGGTCCGAACATTGCCTAGACCCTCCATCTACCCTCTATTCGACCTCAAATACCCACTATTTCGGGGCATATACCCCTATTTGAGGGTACAAGGAGGGTCCTGGTGCTTTGTTCAGGAATCTTGCAGAAGCCAAAGCCGACTGCAGGACACGATAGGGGCTTGCAGTGCTTTACCGGGTTCCCTAAACCCTAAATCCTAAATCCTAAACCCCTAAACCCTAAACCCTAAACCTCTAAACCCCTAAACCCTAAACCCTAAATCCTAAACCCCTAAACCCTAAACCCTAAACCCCAAATTTTGCAGTGTGTAAGGGTTTCTATACAGAGGATCTCATGGTTCCCAAAGCCCAATCCCCAATGGGCCTTAAAACAAAGTTTCGAAGTATCCATGATTGGAGGCCTTTATCTCTGAGAAGTCAGTATTGGCTTCGAGGTATAAGGTTTAGGGGGTTTGGGGTTTTAGTGACTTTAGGGTTGAGGGCTTAGGCGGGTTCAGGCTTTGGGACTTGAGGGTTTAAAGTTTAGGGGGTTTAGGGCTTCCCAGAGAGCCCAATATCCCTTAATTAAGGAATATAGCTTAAATCATACTATGAAGCCCTATATAAATTAATGCCATATTCCTTAGTTGAGGTGCATTGGGCTCTCTGGGCTTAAGGTTTAGGGGTTTAATTCAGCCCATACGGGTTGAAGCCATTCGCTGATAGCTTCTTCCGCCATAAACTCTTCACCCTAGACCTCAAGCACTATAATACTACACTCCAAAACCTAAATCCCTGAACCCTTCTAGTAGCCTTATCGTATACTGTAGCCTTTCTGTTTACCCTTATAGATCCCTTAAGGAGCCCTTAAAAGCTAAACTCTTAAGCCCTAAGCCCTTGACCCCTATATCAGTAGCCTTATAGTAACCCTTATAGATCCCTGAACGGAACCATTGGACGAACCTAAACTTTAAACCCTAAACCCCCTAAAGCAAGGTTCCTGCTCTTCGTCATCAGTGGATGGTCGGCATCTTGAAAGCAATCTCAGGTCCCACTTGGAGGGGCAGAGGACTTAGTGAGTAGGTTATAAGTAGGGTTATCATTGGGGTAACTCCATTTAGGGCACTTATAACTCTACTTATAACCTACTTACTAAGTCCCCTGCCCTCCCAAGCAGAGGGCTCAAGAAACTACCTTTCGGGCTCGTATAAATCATTAACTAGCTAACTAAATCAACAAATGAATATGCCTATATATCTATATATATATATATATATATATAGAAAGAGAGAGAGAGAGAGAGAGAGTGTGTGTTTTTTCTAAATGTGGGCTTACAGTATAAGAGCCTACAGAGACGGCAGGTTATGGTAGTTCAGAGATTAGGGTTGAGGGCTTCCGGTTCAAACGTGAACCCAGGGAGTCTGAACAGTTAGTATATTCGTCATAGTGTAACTTTGTTGCACCCTTTAGAGCCTTCCGTGGAACCCCCCAAACAACTTCACAATGCACTCGTGCACCCTTAAAAATTTTAAAACCGCTCACCGGTATAAACATCCGGAGGAGGAGTCGATGATTCGGAAGCCATGAGTCCGCCCAGACCAGACCCAACATCAAGGGTTTAGGGTCCATGCTTTCGGGTTTAGGGTTTGTCCCTTAAGTTGCAAGCGGAAAGCTGTTTTCGAGGCTTTGGACTACAACTGGACATGCAGATCCTATGAAGGGGAGCTGTGCAGGGGCTGCAAGTGGTCCAAAGTCAGTAGAAAGAGTCTTCCATTGCCATTGCAGTCTCTATTAAAAGTATAGTACAAGATGATTTTACCGAAACCCCATTCTAATCATTAAGGCCCCAATACCCTCTAGAGCAACAACCCGCAACCAGGACACGGCGTCGGAAGTGCTCGTCGTGGTGGCCACTCTAGCTGCAATCATCCCCGTGATCCTCCGATTCCTGATCCTCTTCCTTGGCGAGGCCGGCGCAGGGTCCGGCGCATATTTGCTGAGTTGGGTTGAAGGTTTGGGGTGTAGGGTTAGGTTATATACTCTAAAGAAGCCTAGACAATTAGCAATGTTATTCCTCAGGGTTCCGTAATATAAAGTTATGCTATCAGGAAGCCTTAAACCCTGTTACCCTCAAAGTTTACACCCTACACCGTTTGAGGGTATGCACTTTTCTCTCTAGAAGCTGGTACTCATCACAATACTAGGTAGCCCCCGCAAAAAAGGGTCGGGCAATATAGTAAGCCAGAATACTTACCGACATTATTCCTTAGGGTTCCTTATTATGGTTATACCTAACAAGGAGCCCATAACTGTATTCTAGTTCATCAGGCCCCAACATTGGAAGCCACCGATTGGAACCCATCGGGTGCTTGGAGGTTCATGGGTAGTTATAAGCAGAGTTAGAAGTAGGGTAACGATACTTATAACCCGTATTACGGGATTTACCACCCCACTTGAAACAACCCAAAACCTCAAAGCCCTAAACCCTAAATCCCTGTAGACCCCTTTAAAGGAACCCTGAAAGGAACCCTAAACCCCTTATAAACCCCACTTATACCTTCTTGAAGGCTCATGGGACTTAGTAAGTAAGGTTATAATTAGGATAACCCCACTCAGGGGACTTATAACCACAATTATAACCTACTTACTGAGTCCCATGATCCTTTAAGTACCCATGAACCTCCAAATGGGGTTTCGAACTCCAGGGTTCCCTTGCTGTCTTCCTGTCGCTCTCTCTTTGTGTCCGTCCTTCGGTTGATGATACAAATCCTGCATGACCCATAAGGAATATACCATACTTCCCACATATTCCTTATTATGGGTAATGCAGGATTTATGTCATCAACCGTTGGTCGACTCTCTTTGTCTCCGCCGTGGGTTTAGAGTTTAGGTAGGGATTATAGGGTTTAATAGAGTTTAGGGTTTGGGGCCTACAGGGCTTATAGGGTTTATAGGGTTTAGGGTTTGGGGCTTATCGGGTTTATAGGGTTTAGGGTTTACTTGGTCGACTCCCTCTCTGTCTCCCTAGGTTCCCCAGTAGAACATTCCAGGAGAAAGGGTAAGTGCACACTGGGGAACCCAGGAAACGGCCCGTCGTCGTTCAAACGTGTTCAGGGTTTAGGTTCGGGTGATGCCTTGCATGCAACACCGCATAGGATGTAGCGGTGACAGAGATGCGATCCGATGCATTAGGAATCTCGGTTTGCGAAGCATTAGGACTTGAGAGTCGATGAGTTTGGAGATTGCCTCGTGAACCTGAACCCTAAGGGTCCATGTACCTACATTGACTTACATAGTACTTCCTTTGGCCGTACAAAAGAATACATACATATATATATATATATATATACATAATGAGAGAGAGAGAGAGAGAGAGAGAGAGAGAGAGAGAGAGAGAGAGAGAGAGAGAGAGAGAGAGAGAGAGAGAGAGAGAGACAGAGAGAGAGAGAGAGACTGTAAGGCCAACATACCTACTAATACATAGACCCGTAGGGGAAGTAACAGAGCATTAGCCGTCGAAGGGTCGGAGTCGAATAGAACTCCGACCCCCGTGACCCTAAACCGCCTGAGCCGTTTCCATACAGCTTTGAACTCCTGCATCCTACATGAAGCCCAAACCCTAAACGCTGAACCCCACTAGGAAGTTAGTAAGTAACCGGTCCATTTGCTGGTCTTTCGGCCTTCCCAGCGTACTCTGCTGAGACAATAAGAGTTAAACAAAACAAAAACCTACTACCCTAAACCCCGAAACCCTAAACCCTAAGCTCCGACACCCTATAAACCCTAAACTCCTAAACTTTTTTTGATAGATCAAAAACAAAACTCCTAAACCCTGTGGTTCCCTCCATCCTTGGCTCTTCTCAGGAGGATACGGAAGACCCCACGGATATGAGCATCGCCCGGGGAGTTGTGCCCTAGTCCGCATTGGAGCTTTAGGTTTAGCCCTAAGGGTCCAAGTAGTTCCTACTTATGGCTTTGGGTGCCTCTGGGTAGGAGTTTGGGGTTTAGGGCTTTAGGGTTTAGGGTTCTATTCCTCGTTGGAGCTTTTGGGGTATGGGGGGTTTAGGGGTTGAGGGGTTTAGGATTTTGGGCTTTAGGGTTTAGGGTTCTATTCCGCATTAGAGCTGCAGGCAGGGTTTTGGGCTTTAGGGTTTAGGGTTCTATTCCGCATTAGACAGAGCTGCAGGGTTTTGGGCTTTAGGGTTTAGGGTTCTATTCCACATTGGAGCTGCAGGGTTTTGGGCTTTGGGTTTAGGGTTCTATTCCGCATTGGAGCTGTAAGGGTTGGGGGGTTTAGGGTTTAGGAATTTGGAGTGTGGGGTTCAGGGCTCAGGGGGTTAGGGTTTTGAGGTTGCGGGTTTAGGGTCCTACTCCGCAGTGGAGCTTTGGGGCTTTTGGGGCGTTGGTGCTTTGGGGTTTAGCGCTCTTAGGGTTTTTGGGGTTAGGGTTTAGGGTTGAGGGGGCTTGGGCCCTACCTCAATTCTCGGTTGGTATAAGAACCCTTTTTATATTTAGGGTCCTATAAGGCAACTTCAAAAAGGAACTGCAATTGAGACTACACGTAGGGCGCTGGTGCTTTGGGGTTTGTAGGGTTTTAAGGTTTGGAGTTTGGAGCTTTGGGGCTCTTGTTACGGCTTTAGGCATTTTGCGCTTGAGTCCTTTAGGGCTTAGTTTCTGAAGTCTTGGTATCGGACTCGGGTGAAGAGGGCCAATAGTCCCCTGCACATTTCGGCCTAGTGCTTCAGGCTGAGGGTGAGGTGTGGGCTTTCGTTGTGGGCCGAGAACCCAGAGACTCCAATATCCCTTAATTAATTAAGGAATATACCTCAAATCATATTAGGACTACTCTAATTCAAGGTATATGCCTTAATTAAGGGATATTGGAGTCTCTGGGAAGCCCACACCCTGCCCGAGGCGATCTTTTGATGTAGTATGAGTTGTTGCCGTTCGGGCTTTGGGTTTCGGGGCAAGCACAGTCAAGGCATGGCTGCTACGTTTGGATGTATATCTATCTCTTCGTCTGTCTTTGTGTAGGTATGTAGGTAGGTTATAGGCAATTAGTCGGTAGGTGTGCTATAGCTAGGTAGGTAGTTTGGGTACATAGGTAGGTAGGTAGGTAGGCATACACACACACACACACACATACAGTCTTTGACCAGAAGGGGGGGTTGTGCGTGTGGAAGCGTTAATGTTAGTCCTGGTCAGCTCGGACAAAATTGTGTGACCCTACGGCACCTTTCGAATCACACATGCTCGATAGCAGATCAAGTTTGGGTCTTGTCTCTCTTCACTATTTAAAAGCACACGCCACTTGGAGGCTTCCTATCACCTCCATCAGCTCACCGACGGAGGAGGCACTGTGTCCCTTGGCGTGTCCTCAACCTCGTCGTCATCAACGACGAGGCCCCCTGACAGTCGAAGCTTGGCTCTAGGACTTGTGTTTGGGAGATAGGCGTCAGGGTATGTTCGGGTTTTTTGTTTCAGGGTCCGGTGGTTCAGGATTTAGGGCTTAGGGAGTGCTGTTGTGTAGGACAGTGTAGGATGCAAGTTCTGACATTAGGCATGTGAGGCGACGGAGCTCGAAGCAATGTTCGGATATTGTATATGTACCGTAAACAGCTCAAGCCCAACAAAAACACAACTGCAATGGGATGTTAAATACCTAATCCTCATCCGCAGACTTCGCAAGCCCTAAAGTAACGGCTATAACCCTAAATCATAACCACCCACAGCCCCTGCCCGGCCGTTTGCCTGCTTGCCAGTTCTGTGTCGACAGTGGGCAGGGCCCTGAGTGCGAGGGAAGGGTTCGTGACTCGGGGGAGCGTCAGGGCTTGCTTCGGGCTTTGGGTTCAGGCGTTTACGCCCTAAACCCTAAACCCTAAACCCCTAAACCCCTAAACCCCTAAACTCTAAACCCTTTACGGCTTAAGCTATAAGCCTTAAAATCCTAAAATCCTAAACCGATACATCCTGAACCCTGTAGGTCTTAAGGTGCAGGGTTTAGAAGGCTAAGGATTCCGGCCTGAGTCGCGACGTCGTAGCGGGGTTGGACAAATAGTTGACCCTAAGGGTCCATGTAGCCATATAGAGATACATGAGCCCCAAAGTACTTATATAGGGACTACATTAAGGCCAATGTATATACTATATGAGTACATGGACCCTTAGGGTGATAAGGGGACCACTTTACTTTGTGTGTACCTTCGCAACTGGAGTCCTGTTGAACTAACATTTTGTCGCCTTGGTCTTTCGCAAACTCTCAATTTTCGTCCGGGTTCAATGGTTTTGGGAACCCCCAAACCCTGCACCTAAACCCTAAGGCCATTCAGTCTTCATAGGTGCTTTGGGAGAGGTTGTCAAAGTTTCCACTGGTTGTCAGGGTTCCGGGACCTGCAGGGCACTGTGTCCCGCGAATGCTTCACCGAACTGATTTGTGTTTGCTTGAATCTGATCTGAATCCTGTGTCCGTAGTAACCCTTGACCCTAAGTTTGGGGTTTAAGGGTGTATGGTTTAGGGTCGTGACCCCTTTGTCTTACATCATGCGGGGGCCATTCCGACTGGTATTTCCTCAGTCCCACCTAAACCCGAGACCCTGCACCGTAAATGTTGACCTCCGAAACTCGCAGCCTGGAAACTAACTCAGTCCTGTACCCAGAACCCTAAGCAGCAAGTCTAAGTTTTGACTCCACATCATTTGCATAATGTGCTTGAGAAGGATGCTTTCGTGTTGAGGGTCTAGGCATTATGACATTATGCCTGTGGGTTTGCATGGGGTTCTGTAGAACTTTAAAGGGCTTCGCAGGGCTTAACAGATCAAAAAAGGGTGCAAGGATAGATTGACTAATGCAAGAAGTGGGACAAACAAATCAATCTGTTAGAAAGGGTGCTTCTAGAAAGCTTTAGGTCTTCGTGCTCAGCCTCTCTGCCTGAACCTTCCTTTTGCCCTGCCCCAAGGGCTCGGGTTTAGGATTTATAGGATTCACAGCTTAATTTGCCTTACGCCAAGGGCCTTGGGGTTCGGCGTTGGGTTGAAAGGCGCCTACGTGACCGACATCGCCTTCGCGGATGACACCATGCACCCCGTAAAAGGAGCCTGGCGGTGAGTTGGGGCAGCCCTCACCCCAATCACTTCGTGGACTTCGAGTTCGCTGGCTTCGAGGGGCCAGCCGGCACCAACTCGGAGTACCAACTATGTGCGTTCGATTTTCTGTGTGTCCAGCTCCCACGCAGCTTGGTCCTGATGCCTCACCCACCGCACTACGGACGGCATCTCTTACATGCTGATGGCCTCTGAGAAAACCGGATGCCACCGTCTATGTGCAGAGGACAGAGTGAAGGCACGCACCACTTCTGACCCGATGCCCGATGGCCAAAGAAACGTGGAACGGCTCTTCTGCTCCGAAAGGTTAGTAGAGAGGCCCGTTCTGTTCTTCGGCGAACATGCAGCCATACTCCGGTCCTACTGCTGCTTGCTAGGCTGCTGTTTCGATGCTGCTTGGCAGCTGCTTCGCTGCTGCTGCCATGCTGCTTCGATGCTGCCACCGTGCTGCCTTGCTGCTTCGCCTCGATGTCGCTTCGATGCTGTCAGGCTGCCGCCCTATGGCTACATACGGTGAGAACCCTAATCAAGTACCTCACATGGCAGACACCTGATCAACTGTCAGACCTCAAGAACTGAATGTTCAAGCTTTAGCCCGGCACACTTAGCTCAACTGCATCAAACCTACCTGAAATTCATCTGAACCTCAAGCCCTCAACCGTCAACTCTTCATGTTAGTTCTCTGCCAAGGAGGAGGCATGGAGCATGTGCGAAAGTACATCGAGTTAGCTGCCCGGTGCACAAGTGTGGCATTCTGTCATCGTAGTATCTTGCCATTGTCACTTCCGCTTTGGGCAATTATGCCGATTCAACACTTACTGGCTTGTTTCGGTTCTATTTTTGTCTTCATGGAGGTATACCTGTTTTTTGGTGGGAGGGGTGTCGTCTAGATCAGATTTTGCAGTCAGGCTCAAAGGAAAATTAGCCGGAGTTTCTCACCTGCACTGATTTCGGCGATTCGGAGGCATGCATGTTTCATCTGCTAGTTGTCCGGTGTCCTGGAAGGTTAAAAAGCGACATATCACTGTGGTAGAGAAAGCGCTCGACGACAAGGGCCAGGAGGTGGAGCGCACTACGCACACGGAGGACAGGGTTCAGAGTGCAGGGTGCAATGGAATAGGATGGAGGGCTGCAGGGTAATGTAGGAACCTGATTAAGAAACCTTGGCCCTATAACCCCAAACTAGTAGGATTCATGAAAGGAATAAAGGCCCAAGGTTTCTTAATCAGGTTCCTATATCATTATAGTACTCTTATGGAGTAGTAGCCCTTATAGACTCATTTAAAGGAACCCTAATAAAGGCCCAAGGTTTCTTAATCAGGTTCCTACATTAGGGTTTTGGGGAATTAAGTTATAAGTAGGGCTATAAGTAAGGTAGCTATATACTTATAACTTATAACCCATACGAGGAGACTTATAGCTCCACTTACTACAGGTTCCTGCATTTGGGCTTGCGGTCTCAGGATTGGGGCTCAGAGTTTCAGGTGTATCGAGGGTTTATGCGATCACAAGCACATCGCTGACTCAATTCAGTTGGGAGTTTCCGAAAATTAGTGGTACCTTAGGGCTCCTTTAAAGGGTTTCTATAAGGATGCTAGAAGGGCTCCTTTAAAGGGCTCTGTAAGGGTTTTAGTGTTTTCGATTATTGGGGGTACCTTATCTGGGGGCCCCTATTTTAAGGATCCTACTTTTGGGGGTCCTATGTTAGGGTCCTCTATTTTCGGAAACTCCCAATTGTTGCAGGCTACTAAGAATCTTCGTTTAGGGATGAGGGTCTGACGGCCCCAATCTGCAGTACGCATATGATGATGAGTAGCTCGCTTGAGTGTTCTGCGAAGGCACATGGTTAAGATGTCGTCAAACCCTTAATCAGCCTTAATCCTGACCCTAAACCCTTAACCCGAAACCCTAACAATGGAAGAGATAAGTACCAGATTTGCATGACGTAGACATGTGGGCCCACCTGATCTCTTGGGCTCCTGCAGACCAGAATCCAATGTTCCGAACTCCAAACGAACCAATAGATAAAGTATGGTTAGAGTTAGGGTTTAAGCTTTAGGGCATTTGGGTTTAGGGCCAGTAGATACATATAGTTACGTCAGGGTTTAGGCTTTCGGGTTTAGGGCCAGTATATACTTTTTAACAGTTATATGGTACTTGGAGCCTTAAGGACGTAGGGTAAGGGGTGACTCGCCAAGTGGAGGTCCACCAACCTATGCAGGAAGTGCCATGAACCCCTAAACCCTAAACCCTGGTGTTTTTTTCTGGGAATACTGGGCATATTTTGCAGCTTTGTGGACTGCAAGGTTGAGCTACTCTTTGTGGTGAAGTAGGTAGGCTTTAGACGTTAGCCTTTGTTGGGGGTACGATAATCGCGGTATACACTCAAGGGTCATTATGTGGCTGGTTGTTAAACAGACCCAGAGAGCCCAGTACCCCTTAATTAAGGAATACAGCTTAAATCATTATATGAAGTCCTTAATTATGGTTTAAGGGATATAGCTTAATGAAGGGGTATTGGGCTCTCTGGGGACCCCCTTGGTCATGATTTTCACGACTACCCATTTGGTTCTGCTTGGACACTGAGCAAAGGAGTAACTGTTGGCTCCGCATCATCGTGCTTCGCCATCCGACGACTTCCAAGTAATGTTGGAAATCAAATCAGGGTACGGTTTAGGGTTTGGGGTTCAAGGACTCTGCGCTTCGTAGCCCCTTCACCCTGAACCCAAGCGGCAGGAAGTGGAAACAGAGGGTGTGACGTACTCCTTCGACATGACCAAGTCTGAGGCCACCTCTTTTGTTGGACGTGATTCGGCAACCCTACACCCTAAACCCTAAACCTTACACCCTAAACCCTAAACCTTAAACCCTAAACCCTAAACCCTAAACCTTAAACCCTAAACCCTAAACCTTAAACCCTAAACCCTAAACCTTAAGCCCTAAACCCTAAACCCTAAACCTTAAACCCTAAACCCTAAACTGATTAGGTTTCAGATTTGGGGGGTTTCGGATCAGCAGTCTGCAAGGGGAGCACTTCTCTAAAACCTACCCTGGGGTCCCCTATTTTCGGCAACTCCCATATAGGGGGCCTTAATGGTTAGAATAGGGTTCCTTTACAGGCCCTTTAAAGGGTTCTACCTATAGTCTCCATTGTACTTCCTTTTTTGGTTGACCAGTTTTATGGTTAGAACCCTATAATCGAGATTTTAGTGAGCCAAAAAATGGAACTACAATGGAGACTATAGGTAAGCTCTAAACCCCAAACCGTAAAGCCTAAACTGAGCCCGAGACGGTCCAGGGCGATTCTTCAGAGCCTTCGTCGTGTTGTTTCTCTGTTGGAATACAACAGTATCCATACAAATAGCGACCTCTCTGTTTAGGGACCCTGAAACATACCCTACAACCCTAATGCCCTAACTCAGCAACCCTGAACCTCTCTCCCACTAGGGGAGGGTTTTGCCAAGACATCGACATACCAGTAGATGTGCAGACACGGACGGGCACATGCACATGTGTGATGTAGCCGGCTGATGTGAAAGGCGTAGTCCAGCACGTTCGGCGGCTCTGATCGAATCCGAAGAGAGTCACCTTCGACTTCGAAATGCTTGTTGCCTGGAGGGCGGAAGGAAGCAGGCGGTCGCAAATGATCCACGATTTTGTCGCGAACATGAATTCTTTGCCCGATCCTGAAGTCGAGTCGTCTGAGACATCAGAGGCCGGGCCGTGTACCGTATTGGTCAGAATGCCCATCCTGCGTAAGAGCTCTGGGCCTTGCCCCGGCCCGCCAGAGAGAGACAGCACCTCCGCCTTGCCTCCACCTGACCACCTCCAGAATCTCTCGACAGCACTTTGATTGCTGAAACGCCCTAGCAACATGCAGATGGCTATATGAATCCGTGTCAAAACACTAGAAAATACAATGGACCACTTCCGAACCGTATCAAAATCCTAGCAACCCAGACTCAAAAAGCTTCGGTATGAAACGGTCACAAACACAAGAGTAGGTCTCCTACCCTAACCTTCAACTCTAAACCCTGAGCTCTATTCATAAACCCTAAGACCCTAGACCCTTAACCCACTCCCGCAGTCCTAAACCGCAAAACCCTTAACCCCAAACCCTAAACCCTCAACCCTACTTAGGGGTTCATGGGTAGTTAGAAGTGTGGTTACAAGTCCTCTAATATGGGTTATACGTATAGTTACCCCACTTAGACCTTAGAACCCTACTTATATCTACCCATGAACCTCCAAGCAGACCCTAACCCCCACACACCCTAATCGACTCCCTATATATAGATGCTTTTCAAGGGACCCTTAAAGGAACCCTACGAACTAGCCATGAACCTCCAAGCAACCCACCCCCCTCCGGAGGTGGTCAAGGTCATGCAGGGGGAGAAGGACCAAAAGCCAAGACCCGACCAAGGCGCCTAACCGGGCCTTAATGTCGGGAGGGTTTAGGGTTTAGGGTTGTATACTATGCTATTATATAGGGGCCTTAATAACTAGAATAGGGTTTCGGGGTATATTTTACCATTATACTGGGGCCTCAATAACTAGAATAGGGTTTCGGGGTGTATTATACTATACCTGAGTAAGAAACCTTGTTTTTTTTTTACGAGGGTTCCTTAGATGGATCCATATAATTTTGGGGTTATAGGACCAGGGTTTCTTAATCAGGTTCCCACCTATTGTAGGGAACCACCAAAATAGAATTTTAGAATATTTAGATTCCGATAGTAGGGTTTGGGTTTTGGGATCTAGGCGAGTTTTTGTGCTAGAGGTTTAGGGTTTCGGTGAAGGCTTTACGGTTAAGGCTTCAGGGGTTTTAGGCTTCAGGTTTAAGGTTTCGGTATAAGGTTGTACTTGGAGGTTCATGGGTAGATATAAGTGGGGTTACACATCCCCTAATATGGGTTACAAGTATAGTTACCCTACTTATAACTACCCATGAACCGCCAAGTAGGCTTTGAGCAGGGGCGTTTGGTGCCATGATGGCCTTGTGGCTTGCATAGGGTTGTGTGAATGTTGGTTTCTGCTTTGATGGGTTTTCTTCCGCACGACTACAGGCAGCCGCAATGACTCCGTGCGTTATGCGGTTCTTTGTAGGACCTCATTCATAGGGCAGGCACATTGGGGCTTTGTTGTCAGCAGCACCATCAAAGCCATCATCGGCATCGTTCGGAAGCCGAGGGCAGAGGAGTTTTCTCCTGGGTTTTATAGTTCAGGTTTGATTGAGGTTTGGGCGTTTGCACTAGAGGCTGTGAACCTAGAGCTATGCCGCTTAAGGTTGCTCATAGTTCAGGCTTGGTCCGTCAATCCATCAGAGTGAGTTGGTGGTCACCAGAGTCTGTGCCGTGGTTTGGCCAGGCTAGCTTTCTTCTCAGGACTGCCTTAAAACTAAAGCGCGTTAGCTAAAACAAGGTCGATCTTGTCTGCCTGGATCCTCTCTTCTAGATTCTAGATCAATCCCGTGCCGAGTAACCCGGGCAATCATGACCCCCAGAGTTTTGCCCCTATACCCGACTCTCTTAAACGTTAAGACACGAAACCCTGACCAGCAGATGCGCCAGCTCTGGCTGAATTGGTGTTTATCGTTTCAGGGATGCGTAGACAGAGGTCCGATAAGTAAAGGAATGGTTCCTCTGGAATAATCATTGGGCGATGGTTGGTTGCCGGATGTTTGGGTGTTGGGTTACCAGTGCTTCCAGCCTGCAAGCCAATGCAGGTGGTGACGATGATGGCTTCTTGGCAATCTTACTTAGAGGATCATGGGACTTAGTAAGTAGGTTATAATTGGGGTTATAAGTCCCCTAAATGGGGTTATCCTAATTATAACCTACTTATAACCTTACTTACTAAGTCCCCTGCCCTTCCAAGTATCGGATCTTTACCAGCGAGCAGGTCCTCTAATCCTGTCTGTTCAGATGTTCTCTTGATTTCGAGTGCGCTGGTCGTGCTTCCTGTGTGGAAGATGTCACCGCTGGTGATGACGATGATCATGATGATGAGGATGATGAAGGTGATGAGAATGAGGATGATGATGAAGGTGATAGAGATGACCACGATGGTGATCAAGATAGTCATGGCGAGCATAGCGACGATGATGACGATGTCGGTGATGATGTTGATGACGATCATGATGATCTCGGTGATGATGACGATGATGATGATGATGATGATGATGATGATGAATTGTGCTGATGATGGTGATGATGATGATGTTTGATGATGAGTTCGATGATAGGAGCCGTGATGATGCCACTGCTGCTGCTGCTGCTGCTGCTGCTGCTGCTGCTGCTGCAGCTACCGTTGGTGGTGGCGGCTTCGCTGATGACGAGAAATGCATCTTTGGGCAGTCGTGGTCATTGTGGCTGCTGCTGGCAATTCCAGCCGTAAAGCCCTAAACCTTAAACCCTAAACCCTAAACCAGTGGCTCGTCCAAGTTGTCCGAGCCAGTGGGGTGCAAGATACGCCAAGAACTCAGCTCAATCTGATGTAGCCGATTCCTTAGGCGTACTTAGAAATAGTTTTTAATTTTTGGCTATTATAATCCCTAAGAAACAGCTAAAATCGTAATTTTTGCTAGGGTTCCAAGTTCAGTATAGATCCATGTGGGTGGTTGCCACAATTATGGTCCCTTTTGGGGTACCCTAAAGTAATAGGTGCCGTACTATAATATAATAGGGACCCAAAGAGGGACCCCAATATTGACAACCACCCATGTAGCTGAATTCTGCAGACCCTTCATACCCTTCAACAGCTCGGAAACTCAGAACTTTCTGGTTTTGCTCGGTCGATCTTCCTGGTTTATAGGCTCAGGGCTTACAACTGAGTTCTTTAATCGTGCGAAAAAAGACTGCATCTCAGGCGACACTCATCAAATCTCAGCCGACCAAGAAGGACCCCTGCGGCAGTCAGTAAATGGTAGTTCCGAAAATGGGGGACTCTAATACGGTACCCTAAATAGTAGGACCTGCTTTATTCTAAGGACCCAAAATACGGAACTGCTAGTTTTCGGAAACCCCCACGTTGCGATAGTCCAATGGACGTGGAAGTTGTTTTTCCCTTCAGGGAAAGTATGGAAAAGCTGATCTCAGGTGTAGGCGGATGAGCCTGTGAAAGATTCTATAGGTGACGGAAGTCTAGGCGTGCCGAAAGCCGCGTGAAGCTTCATGTTGCTCTGTCACGTGAACCCGAAGCCCTACACGGGAAATGTTTCAAAACATCAGAGTCATCGGGACGCTGGTAGAGGATACTTACTCTGAGGACCACCTCCCAAACAGCGACCCACAATTTCATGGTCCTGCGTGCGGAATAGTATCGAACCGCAGGTCAAAAGAGCCTCTGGACAAAACCACTGCCCCGTGATAGGGAAGTTTAAGCTTGGGGTTTACTGTAACGCATAGTGCACCTCTCCGGACGATTGGTCAGGCGCTGAAACATCGGGAAGGGCATTTGCTAGTCCCTCATAAGCAAAATCACCTTGTGGTAATTAAGGCTGTGTAAACTTATGATCCCTGTGACAAAAGGGGAGTTATCAATCAGGGGTCAAGATCAGCTCATGCTCTGGCTCCGAGGACTCATTCCCCTGACAGACCTGGACGTGCAATCTGAGGTGCTTTCCGATGACGAGGAGATTCACGCAACTGCTGTATAGGGCACAGGTGCTTAAACGAAGCAGCGCCTTGCTAGTTATTCCTGGACTCACCGGCAGTGAGCAGTATGAAGCTGGACTGGCTCTCACTGCCATCCTGCAGATATCTCCGGGGCCAACCTCTGAACTCTCAATTCTAAACCCCGTTTCACAAAACCCTTTAAACCCCAAAGTCCGGCCCAGACCTTCTTTGGGACCGAAGGCCTAGCGACCGAAACCAGAGGCCTTGCAAGCCCCAACCCCTAAAACCTTGGATTTAAGGTCTCGTAATCTGAGCCCTAAACCCCAGCCCGAAGCCTAAACCCTCGGCCTTCAACCCAAAACCCCTGAACCTTAAGCCCTAAACCCCTAACCCCAGGAAGCCCTGGTGTCAAAGTGGGACGGCTGCTTTTAGAGGGATGCCGAAACCGCAGCCCAGAAGCCACCTGCTGGGTTCCTTGGTTCATGAGGCAAACTAAAATCTTTGTACATGTGTGTGTATATATATATATATATTATATATATATCTATCTATCTATCTCTCTCTCTCTCTCTCTCTCTCTCTCTCTCTCTCTCTCTCTCTCTCTCTCTCTTTGTAATATGTATGTTAATATAAGTCGGTGGATTCAACCAGAGGTATATTTCATTCCATGCTTATTTACAAGCATGCATACAGTCTGAGTGTGTCTATTTATCTGTTTGTCGGTCTATCCATCTATTTGCCCATCTATGCATCTATCTATCTGTATATCTGTATAGCTGTCGATCTATCTATCTGCATATACATACATATATGCATATACAAACACACACCTACACACCTATGTACTTTGCACACAAATAGCAGAAAGGTATTTATATATATATATATATAGAGAGAGCGAGAGAGAGGGAGAGAGAGAGAGAGAGAGAGAGAGAGAGAGAGAGAGAGAGAGAGAGAGAGAGAGAGAGAGAGAGAGAGAGAGAGAGAGAGAGAGAGAGAGGGAGAGAGAGAGAGAGAGAGAGAGCGAGAGAGAGAGAGAGAGAGAGAGAAAAAGAGAGAGAGAGAGAGAGGAGAGAGAGGGACGGAGGGAGGCAGGGCGTGAGGGAGAGCGAGAGAGAGAGAGAGAGAGATCGGAGTTCATGAACCGCAAGTCCTAATCTCCTAAACCCCCAAGCCCGAAACCGGCCTTTCGAAACCCGCTAGGAGCCTCTAAAACCCTAACCCCTGAACTAGCTTTGGTGCTTCGGTCGTCTTAGTATATAATTAATCAATCCTGGAAAGCTGGAACATTGATTTAGGATGATTCATGCCGGGATTCCCTATACTTTACTTTCAGGGCATGAGGCTACTGATGTTCCAACGTTCTGGCTTCTACTGTAGGCTCAAACGCATGGTTCTGGGAGTACGCCCCGGCAGTTAAGCTATTGGATGGAAATTCTATGAATGTGCCAAGGTGCATGGGTGCAGGGTTGGGGGTTCTTTAGGGTTTAGGGGTTCGGGTTCCTGTTAAGGGTTCCTATAAGGTTACTATAAAGGTTATAAAAGTACTATAGGGGTTTAGGGTTTGGGGGTTTTAGGGCGTTTAGGGTTTAGACGTGCGCACAATGCAAGCCTTCAGGGAAAAGCCCGCTGTGTGAACTTACCAAGGGCCCGGCTTGCAGACAAAAACCAGCGCGAAGCTTGGGAGCTGCATGCTAGAGAGTCGGACCCAAGGGAAATTGGCCCCAAACCCCACACACCCTAAGCCCTGAATCCTTGAAGTACAGCGGCAACCGTAGTAGTAGAGTAGGTAACCTTTAAACTGTCTGGGGTGCAGAAACCCCCTTTACAATCCCAGGTGTTAACCTTCGGTTTTTTCGAGGCTTCTGGAAAAAAGTAAGCAACTACAGAGAGTTGGCTAAGCCAAATTTCTCTATATGACGACTTTGGTGTACCACGAAGCAGGGTCCCGCCATTAAATCTCCTGCAGGACCCGATCAAGCCCATAAGGGGAACTCCAGAAAGTTGGAATATGGAATAATGGCAGGATCCCCTATAATTTACCTTAAAGGGACTATGATAATGATATTCCAACTTTCCGGCTTCTACTGTAGGAACTCCTGACCGGAATGTTCTGGTCAGAAGCTTTTGGTTTAGTTAGGAGCCTTGGAGCTTTGCTAGGACCCAGAGTAGGCCTTTATTCCCTTTCTTAAGGGTTTAGGTTCCCTTATAACCCCCTTTATCCCAAAAAGGGCACCCTTTTTATTCCTAGGTTACTCTTGGGTCTAGTTTGTGGCTCAAGTCTTAAGCCTAGGGTTCAGGGCTCATGGCCTGGCTTTTCGATTTTCGAGTTCATGGATTGAAGGTCGGCGTTCGGGGCTTGCCGTTTTGAATGCCTCTCCCTCCCTAAACCCTATAGACCCCTTTAAGGAACCCTATAGATCCCTTTAACGATCCCTATAGATCCCTTTAAAGAACCCTATAGTAGGGCTAGGCTTCCGCCAGAGCCATTCCTGCGTTCCGGGTCCGACTCCCATTTTCAAAGCGATGTCCCAATTCTCAGGGATGGGAACTCGAAGTGCGACACTTATCGGCTCCTAAACGCCAGGCACAAAGCCTTCAACACCAAACACTAGGCTGAGGTACGGACCCGATACAGTAAGAGTCGATAATGGGGCTACTATTAAGGTCCTACTATATCTATATTATGAATATTATTCAACTATTACTGAGTGCATGGGGGCCGTACCAAACACTAGGCCCTAAACAAGCCCGTTGACCCTGAGCAAGAACCCTTAACACACGATGGAAAAGCCTTGCTCTAAGTATCAGCTCTTCTGGATTAGGGAGGTTCTGATAAGATCTCGAAACGAGGATTTTTTGGGAAATCAGCCGGTTCCCTGTTCTGCTGGCGCTTTCCCAAAACTCAGGGCCAAACCCTAAACCCGAGGTTTAGGGTTTGGGCTCCCTGACTCTGAAGCCAAGATTCGAAACCCAAGTTGTTCAAACTCCGAGCTAACCCTAAACCTTACTATAGGGGCCTAAGTAAGTAACAGTACTTTTTTTTGGGGGGAGGTCCTCATTATTGTTACTGTTATTATTGTTATTATAGGAATAGTATAATGGGCCCCCAAACCTTATTCAAATTACTAAGGCCCCTATATTAAGCCCAAGAGCCCTCAGACGGGCAAGCTGCAGAGCCCCGAAACCGAGAAGAAGCTTCAGCAGTGGACGGTTTAGGGTTTAGGGTGGACGGTTGTGGGTTCGGGGTTTAGGATTCACCCAATCCCCCTGTAAACTAGGTGAAATAATGGCCCAACACCTATAAAAGGATGTTGTTTTGCATACTTTTGGCGTTCATCTAGGGTTTAGGTGGGTCTCCTACGGCCCCCGCAAAGGTTCAGGGCTCAGGAGGCTGCCTTGACAAGTCAATCCTGAACCCCGAACGAGCCCCGAAGCCCGAAGCCCCTAAACCCTAAAGCCTGCACAGGTTTTCGAGCCCTAAACCCCGAAGCCCACTAAACCCTAAACCCCCAAACCCTAAAGCCTGCGCACGTTTTTCGCCCTAAACCCCGAAGCCCGCTAAACCCTAAACCCCCAAACCCTAAAGCTTACGCACGTTTTTCGAGCCCTAAACCCTGAAGCCCGCTAAACCCTTAACCCCAAACCCTAAAGCTTACGCACGTTTTTCGAGCCCTAAACCCCGAAGCCCGCTAAACCCTAAACCCCCAAACCCTAAAGCTTACGCACGTTTTTCGAGCCCTAAACCCTGAAGCCCGCTAAACCCTAAACCCCAAACCCTAAAGCTTACGCACGTTTTTCGAGCCCTAAACCCCGAAGCCCGCTAAACCCTAAACCCCCAAACCCTAAAGCTTATGCACGTTTTTCGAGCCCTAAACCCTGAAGCCCGCTAAACCCTAAACCGCCAAACCCTCAAGCCTGCGCACTTTTCTCGAGCCCTAAACCCTGAAGCCCGCTAAACCCTAAACCGCCAAACCCTCAAGCCTGCGCACTTTTCTCGAGCCCTAAACCCTGAAGCCCGCTAAACCCTAAACCCTAATTAAACCCCAAGCACGTTCTCGAGCCCTAAACCCTGAAGCCCGCTAAACCTTAGACCCTAAACCCCAAACCCTAAACCCTAAAACCTCAACCCTGACTCGAAAAAAACATTTAGCAGCATTCACTTGCCCCCTCGAACCTTTTAAGCGCTAAGGAAGCCGCGAACCTTGCACCACAAACTAGACGCTAAGCTTCCACTTGCGAGCCGATCAGTCTGCATTTCACACGAGTCTGAGCAGCAGCTTCTACGTCCAAGAAACTAAACTTGAACCCCAAACTCTAAGCCACAAGACCCTAAACCTGGAGCCCTAAGCATCGAAAGCCTATACCCTAAGCCGCAAGACTATAATCTGCAAGCCGTAAGCCGCAAGGGCATGAAGCCAAAACTAATCCGAACTACAGCGCCCTTCATCATTGGAATAGGGTTTGGGACATTTAGGGTGTAGGTTGAATTTCAATAGGGCTGTGATCTTTTATGGTGTACATTGTAGTCTGCTGATAAAATGGAAACCTAAAAGACATTTTTGTGCAGTCACCCGGGCTTCTGCATTTTGCGGGCCCCTCTGCAGTACCCAACAATATCCACTAGTAAGGTTGGAGGTTTAGGGTTTAGAGGTTCTTTGGGTCGGGGTGGTACTGATACAGGTTAGAGGTTAGCAGTTGTGGAGTTTATATAGGTCATAAGCTATTTGGCCTCTAAAGACATTCAACTCGTCAAGAAAAATCCCAAAAGTATTCACAGTAAAGAAACGGAGGTTCTCTGTTAAGTGACTAGTTCTATTTGCATGGGTACTCCCTTAGGCACCATCTGAGCATAGATTCCTTCAGGGCTCGTATGAGTTTGCTAGAATTCTTTCATTGGAGACACAGCGAGGGCTCACAAGCATAGTTTGGGTTTGCAACTCCTCAAAAGGAACTGTGAGAGCTTTCAGCGGCGCTGTTCGGAAAACACCGTTCATGATGGCGCGGGACCCCAAACCCTCCGCTCTTCAATCGTGATCCCAAGCATTCAAGAACACTTCTAGGAAGCCACTTGGGATGTGAAGCGCTGCTCTGTCTGGAGAAGGTGTCGTCCTACCCTCCAATAGATTCACTAGACTCGGCCTCTGTCTGAGTTTAAAAGAACCGAGATAGCTTCAGTTTGGGCATTCGCGTGACCTTGGGTGGCCCTAAACCTTAAACCCCAGAGCCATAAACCCTAAAGCCCCTAACCCTAAATCCTAGAGCCCGGTACCCTAAAGTCCTAAACGCTCCCGCCTCGTCCTAGCCGGCGCCGGAGTCTCCGAGTCCCAAAAATCAAAGGCCCCTAAAAACCCTCAACTCCTAGAAGCCCGAAAGCCGAATTTTGGGATTCCCTTAGCTAAAACCGAATAGTAGGAGAACCCTAATCCCTAAACCCTAACCTTGATTATATTGGAGGCTGCTTGGGAACCTAAACTCGTAGAAGTCCAAAAACCCTAGGGTTCCTGAAGCTCTCCTTTCGAATCACTGAAGGGCTTATCGCCGTCAAGCTCAAGATGTGCAACATATTTGGGCGGGGTTTAGGGAGTCGGGTGAGTGGACGCGCGTATGAGCAAACATCATCATCATCATCGCCATCATCATCATCATCATTCTCATCATCGTCATCATCATGGTCCTCATCATTCTCATCATCCTCGTCATCAGTAGCTGCAGCATCAGCATCAGCATCTCCTGCTGCTTCGCCATCACATTCATGTGCAGCCCATCGTTGTCGCTGGCATCGTCAGCATCAGCATCACTTCCCAAACCAGATTCTCAAGCTTCCCTTGGTGTGGTCGCAACTGCAACGATACTGTGACTCGGGCTATATGCTACAATGATGCATAGTAGGGTAGCTTCCAAACATGATGTCACTGTAGGGGTTCGTTTTACGAGTTAGACGAATCAGGTCTGAACTACCATTGCCAAGCAAGGAACGAAACTTAGCTGTGAAAGGGCTGACGACCCTTTCTGTGTCAGCCAGCTCATTCTGGCTTTGCCTCTGCAGGCTAGCATGTGCACTTTTCTCTTGCGAAGCCTCTAGAGAGTTACCCCCCACCCGAGGACGACAGCCACAGCTATGAGTCCCGCTTCAGGGCGGGGGCTTATATACAAATATGTATATATATATATATATATATATACACACATATACATAACTATACATATATATATATATGTAGACTACTTCAGGGCTCCGCAAGTGATTATCCGCAGGCACGTCCGCTTGCTCTTTTAGCAGTACACTATCGCCTCGATCTGTATCAGCCAAGAGCCGTGCAGACGACCCTTTTGCTTGGCTTCCTCTCGCCAAGATGCGAGCTGCCAGCTCCCTTCAGTTATCCCCGACAAAAAATGTGCCGTAGCCGGTTCCTCGTTCACGGCTGTGCTTTCAGAGTTGAATATAGGAGCATTAAGAATCACCAATGCTATTTTGAAGGGTTCCTTGTTCTATCTACGAAGGCCCCTCCATTCTGGGTCATAGAACTCGCTGAGGGAACTCCGAAGAGCCGCGGCAAAGATAGAGAGCATGGTTCAGGGATTACGGCTTACGGTGTATAGCGTTCAGGGTTCAGGCCTCGACAACCACGAGCTGAGAGCTCAATACCCAGAGAGCCCAATACCCTATAATTAAGGAATATAGCTTAAATCATAACATGAAGCCCCTAATGATTTAAGGTATATTCTTTGATTAAGGGGTATTGGGCTCTCTGGGTACCCCTTGATTAACTATGTATATCCAAGGGTAAAAGGAGGCACCCTTAATGAGGACCCCTAGGTATATACCCTCAACATAGCTGTTATATACCCATCATATAATAGCCCATTATAGGGTAGGGGTCCCCACTAAGGGCCCCTCCTTTGCCCCTTTGAGTATAACAACACACTAAAGACCCATAGAGCCCTGTTAAGCACATGATACTTGCCGCCGGGAGATCTTCGGGAACCGTCGAATTTCCAGATTATGTTTGTTTACACGTGCTGCGCATACATGGCATATATGGTTATAATAAGAGAGAGAGAGAGAGAGAGAGAGAGAGAGAGAGAGAGAGAGCGCGAGAGAGAGAGAGAGAGAGAGTTGGAGGCAGGTAGTTAGAAGTGTTGCTTCCCTTTCTTTGTTGTTGGGTGTCGAATATTGTTGCAGCAGTGTGGCATGTTAAAAGTCGCAGACTCTCTGCCGGGAACACCAGTCTTTTAGAGCTAATCTCGAACCCAAAACCCGAACCCTAAAGCTTAAGCCCCAAACGACCCTAAACCCTGGATCCTAAATCCTAACCCTGAGTGCAGCACGACCGCTGATTGAGGCTCAAGTCTGGGTACGGCTCATGCGCGATTCCAAACCCTACACTCTTAAGCCTACGTTACTCTAGACAGATACCCAGCATTCAGCTGATTTAGACGATCCGGGGTCTGGGATTTGGAAACCCTGAGCGTTGCGGGTGTGAGGGCTGAAAGTGTCAACATTCTGCGGTATTTCATCACCGTGATCAAGTAAGCATGGCGGATGCTGAAGGAGACGAGGAGGCATGATGGTACGACCAAGATCAGCTTCGGGTTCACTAAACCATCCCTAGCTCAAAACCCCATATTACAATGTAGCGGGGCCTGAATAGTTGGCAGTATTATTCCTTAGTTTTCCTTACTGCAACCTCCTCTTTCTTCAGAACTGTGTTCAGGGTTTGTGAGTGGGGTTGTGCTCGGTACACGAAGATGGTTAAAGAGTGCTACATCTGAACCCAGACGCGAAAAGTCTTGGCTTTGGTTCACTTCTAAAAGTTTGGAGTATACAGTCATGTCAATGCCAGGCATGCTAGTCACCAGACGTAACAACAGCAACATTGGATGTACGCAAGACGCTGATCAGTAAGCCCACCCCTTGAATATAACTCAGGCCGCCTAAGAAGAGACCTTCATTCTTCCGCGACCTGTAATTAGCAGTAACATGCCGTAACGATCAATCCTGTATATCAGCTTTGCAGTGTAACCAGAGTCTCGAAGATTTACTCATACTATCTCCGGGGTTCCTGACGACAACGAAAGTACAATATACCATAGTATACGCAAACACAAAACCCGTTTCCAACCGTTGAGGCCTCTACATCACAGCCACAGGAACCCCGTGCCCCTATGTTCGAGGACCCGTCTTATAGATCCCTGAGAGGACCCCTTTACAGGAACCCTATCCTAACGTTTACTACCCCTAAGCCCTAAACCCCTAAACCCTTAAACCCTGAACCGAAACCCTACGACTTAAACCCTAAGCCCTAAACCACATGTGATAAGCCGCCTCACGGAAAAGGTTCTCATCGAGGAGATTTCTCCTGATGGAAAATCCGCCTTCGACCACTCGAAGGAGCCTGTGGGGTTCAGGGTTTACGGTATTGGAGTTTAAAGGGAACTCCAGAAAGTTGGAATATGGATTAGTGGTAGGATCCCCTATAATTTACCTTAAAGGGGTTACGATAATGATATTCCAACTTTCTGGCTTCTACTGTAGTGTTCAGGCTCTAGGTTAAGGGTTCAGGCTTTACGGTTTAGGGTTCACGGTTTAGGGTTCGTGGTTTAGTGTTCAGGGTGTAGGGTTCATAAATGTGGGATAGCCGTGCCCCTTAGCCCAGGCGGTTAACTTCAAAACACCTGACTCAAACCATCACTTCACAAAACGCTACAAGACCCTATACTATTTTCTAAATCTCTAGACCCTGAACCAACCCTAAACCCTAAACCCTAAACCCTAAACCCTAAACCCTAAACCCTAAACCCTAAACCCTAAACCCTAAACCCTAAACCCTAAACCCTAAGCCCAAAGTCCCTCCGTGCAGAGAGGACAAGGCCAAGGATTTGCCGTCGTCCCAGGATTGAGTGTAGGGTTTATGATACAGCGGGTGTAGAACTTATAGGGTTCTATAGGCTACAAGTTACTCTTATGATTAGGTCACTTTTTGCAACCTGTTTTGAATCCTCTTATAGAATCTTCAGTTAAAAAGTTAGAGCATTGGGGATGGCTGTTGGGATTGTGTTGACGGATATCGAAGCAGATTGGGGAGCTGCACTGTCAGGGGGGGCTCCGAGGTGTAGAGGCTTTACGGTTGTGAGACGAGATTTGCGGTGCGCACCTTAACTGCCATAACCTGGTTATTTTGCAGGTTACGCATACTAGCTCAAATACGGAAGTCACAAGGATTTTGCACCAAAAGGCTAGGCTTTGGTAGGTTCAGGTTGAGGCAACATGGGGCTTGGGCTTGCAAAGGTTCTGGGAACAGCAAGACAGGCGATGAGGAGAAGGGTCGGGCTTCACGGTCTCGGATTTTGGGTTTGGGGGTGTTCGGATTTAGAACATTATGTAAACCCAAGCTAGACCTAAAGCTCTTGGGTTTAGGGTTTTTCGGATCTATAGGGTCTGAGGTTTAGAGTTCGTGGGTTCAGAGGCGGCTTGGAGTTGAGGGACTGAAGGGTTTCCGATTTTTGGTGTGACTAGGTTGGATTTTGGTACATTTGTATTTCCCTTACTTGGGCTTATAAGGGACCCTCTATATATATATATATATATATATATATATATATATATATATATAGGGCTCAGATCGCCTCACCAGCGAGGTCTGGTAGGAAAACTGTAGCCCCAGAACCCCCTTCGATGCCTTATGGGGTACGGGGTTCGTCTTGGAGCCGGTGGCCCGCACAGTTTGTCGTTCGCTGATGCGTTCAACCGAAGCCTGGGGACTTTGACGCTTGGTTATGCGTTCAACCGGAGCCTAGAGGGCAGCCAACGACCCAGCAGCCTGCGGACTTCGACGCTTGGTTATGCGTTCAACCGGAGCCTAGAGGGCAGCCAACGACCCAGCAGCCTGCGGACTTTGACGCTTGGTTATGCGTTCAACCGGAGCCTAGAGGGCAGCCAACGACCCAGCAGCCTGCGGACTTTGACGCTTGGTTATGCGTTCAACCGGAGCCTAGAGGGCAGCCAACGACCCAGCAGCCTGCGGACTTTGACGCTTAGTTATGCGTTCAACCGGAGCCTAGAGGGCAGCCAACGACCCAGCAGCCTGCGGACTTCGACGCTTGGTAATGCGTTCAACCGGGGCCTAGAGGGCAGCCAGCGACCCAGCAGCCTGCGGACTTCGACGCTTGGTTATGCGTTCAACCGGAGCCTAGAGGGCAGCCAACGACCCAGCAGCCTGCGGACTTCGACGCTTGGTTATGCGTTCAACATTCTCATGAGGAAGCTGGCTGCTCATACCATTAGTGCGACGGTGTTTACATGATTGGGAGGGCATGGCCTTTTGAATCCGCCACGCGGGGCATAAAGCTTGTAGTTTGCCTCTCTGCCCCATGAGGAACAAGGCTCAAGCTCTGTGCTGTACTGATGTCCTTATATCACCTCGAAGATGGTGTTTCGGCATCCAGGGTATGTAGCTGTGCAGGGATGGCTCAATTCATACCCTTGAGGAACGATCCTGCATTTTGTAGGCCTGCTTCGCATCGCACTTTATGGCGGATTAATTCTGTTTCGGTTTCCGATTAAGGGAGCCTGTAGCAGCAAAGATTATTGCCTGCTGGCCGGGTCTTTTTTGGGTTTGAGTTTTGTAATGGGTCTTTGAGTGCTTGGGGACGGCTTTTGGGCCGAAGGTCTGCCGGTTGTATCCCCGTGCGCCAACTGCCCGTTTGCAGTGCGGTTGCCCTGCCTGAGTGCACACTCGGACGAGATTTCTGATAATTAGTGCATGCTATAGGCTACGTCCGACTTGGACCTTGTGCCTCCGAAAGCGAAAAAAAAGCGAAAAAACAAAAAATATATATATATATATATATATATATATACACATATATGTATATATATATATAAAGATTTTTCAGGGTGTTTAAAGGCCAATCAAGCTTCATACGCTGTAGCCGTCAATGAACCTGCGGAACTCCATCTTCAAACCCTTAAGACCCTAGACCTTAAGGGTCCAAGGCCCAAATACTAGTAGAGTTTTGAAACTCAAAGACCAACGGTGTTTCGCACATGTTGAAGGGCCTAAACACTGGACCTTTAAGGGAAAGAGACCCTGAAACCCTAAAGCTGAAATCCCTACAGCCGTGCATTGGTTAGTAAACTTCTCGGAACTTCCCTACACCGGATGCCCTCAAGTGATCGAGCCCCAACAATCTCAAAGCAAACCCTAAACCCACAGCCTGAAGCCAAAACCCTCAGGTCCTACAACTACGCCCACCCCTGGACCCTAAATCCTCCACCTAACCGAAACCCGAAATTCCCTCAGGTCCTACTACTACGCCCACCAGCCGGAATCGGAGAAGGGGTTCCCTGCAGAAGCCGTGGTCCGGAAGGAGCGCCCGAGCCGGCAATAGCCCACCAGCAGCCATAGTGTTGATGATATAAATCCTGCATGACCCATAATAAGGAATATACCATAATTCCCATATATTCCTTATTATGGGTAATGCAGGACTTATATCATCAACCATAGTAGTAGGCGGATCAGGAGTAGTACGACTGCTGCTATTGCTGCTGACTGGGATGCTACGGCTACTGTTACGGGTACTGCTACTGCTCCTTCTCCTGCTCCTGCCGGCTCCGGTTCCTGCCGCTACTGCTTCTGCTACCGCTAATACGACTGCCATAAGTTAGGATGCCCCAAAGCTCTGAAGCGAATGCTACAGCCCGTAACTTTTCAGTATTTCCGAAATCGCCATCGTGCTCGTTCGCCCTCAAATCGCTAGCGTCGATGCCAGGACGATCCCCTTGCCCGCGCCGATGGTTTGGGTCCGAAGGCCTTAGGCGCAACCTCGGGCCTTGAGCGGATCATACAAGAATTCAGAAGAGGCTGTGAGCTTAAGGACCTAGGGTGCGGGGCCCGTGTGCGCTCTTAAATTTCTGGATGAAGATTTGTTTTTTCGTTTTTGGGGTTTAGGAGAGGCCTGGAGCTTGGGGGCTAAATATTGGCCCATGAGAGAAGAGGGTTGAGCAAAAGGTCTGCTTAAACCCCGAACCCTGAACCCTACAATTTTTTCAGAGCCCTAAACCCCACATCCGTAAGCTGAAGCCTTGAGCCGCGTTGTATGTGTGAGCTTGACTGCACGTGGCAGCGCACTGTATCGGCTAAGGTTTAGGGTGTGCGTCACTCAGCTCGGGTCTACAGACGCTACATCTTGAATGAACATGGCCCCATAAACCGGCTACAGCTGCATTCATGTCTACCATAAACTTGTCAGCATGATCTACATCCTACAGCATACCGACAGTCTCCATTGTAGTTCCTTGATCTGATCACCCAGCTTTATGGTTTGGATCCTGCCTATGAAATAAAGCTGGTCAACAAGAGTGCAAGGAGCTGCAACGGAGACTTTGGTAGATTTTCCACTACGCTTCTGCGAAAAGGTATAGGGCTCCACTTATACTTATAGTCTCCAGATTCACTTTTCAAGATCCCATAAGGTAACCCCAAAAAACAATCACATCGGTGAAGTGCTAGTGAAATACAGTTGAAATACACACTGAACCTATGTTCGTGAAGGTTGCGATGGACAGATTCCTTCGGCTACAGAATGAGAGCCTGGTTTTGTGTCACATCATGCGACGCACGCATCATGGAAGCGGGTCCTGCCTTGAACTGCAGCAACCACCTTGTTTAGAAGGTGGTTGTGATAGTCACTATTAACAGATTCTTGAGGAGCGCTACAAAAGAGCAGGTTATGGCAGGTCAAGATGGACATCAGCTTGGAACAAACTTCCCGACAGCGTTCCCAATATCTCCTGCCCTAGTACCCCAAAGCGAAACACCACGCACCCTGCTCCACTGCGCAGACGAGCGGAAGCCAGTGGAAGTCGACAATGCCGGGTACTTACGATGGACTCGTTGCAAAGGTGGCTTCCAAGCTCTAAACCCTAAAACCTGATAGAATCGGAAGTTTTCCAAAAATAACAAGTATCCTTTGGTTTTACAAACCCAGATTTCAGATTCACATTTCCCACACTTTCCGAGATAGAGCTAGCCGCAAAAGCTCACACACACACAATCCAAAATCCAAAATTCCACGTCCTCTATTCCGAAGCCAAAAGGCAGCCCAAAAGCCTCCATTGTAGTTCCTTTTTGTGGTTTATAAACCCATTATATCTTATGAATCCTGTAAGGTAACCCCCAAAAAAATTACAACGGAGACTCTAGGGAGAGCATCCTTTTGGGGGTCGTGGCCGGCCTCATCTTTTGATAGGCAGACTGCTGCGAAAGATGCTGCCGGGTAGAGCTATTGTACAAAGGTTAATGTATAGGGGCCTTCATGACTAGAATAGGGTTTTGGGGTATATTATATTGAGACCCCCCCCAAAAAAAAATAGTACGGGTAATTACCAAGGCGCCTATAGTAGGGTGCGGTTCCAGTGCGGCTAAGGTCAGATGGGTCAACACCATGTCGTATTCTGACGATGGCAAGGTGGTGAAGGTGCCAGAGTTTCGGGTTCAGGGTCGCATGGATCAAGTTTCCGTTTAAAGGGCATTTAAGGGCATATCATAGCATAGTATGTATACATGTGTATATATATATATATATGTTGTTTATACGTGTATATATATATATATACATATACATATACATATTGTTGTATATAGCAGCAAATGATAGTGAATCGTATGGTGGAGTCCATTATCAATGGATGGGCACACCGCTTTGCTTCTGCTTGTGGTTTTGGCTGGATTCCTCGTTGCCCGGCATGAAGCATAGCACCGTACATATAGACGGGGCTGAACAAGTAGTAAGATTTCGATGGAGTTTGGGGCGTCGGGTTCTGGGTTTATAGGGTTTAATGGTCGAAGGTCTAAGGTTTAAGGTTTAGGGGGGGCCCCTGGGTCCATGGTCAGATCCCTCTTAAACAAATATCATATGGTAATCCCAGAGGTGCGCTTTCAGGGCTTTTCGGATCAGAAGCCCTCGGAGCTATCTTTTCAAATGTTTCGGGTGTAGGTTTTGTAGGGCTTAGGAGGATTGCAAGTCCGGTCTGTGAATACCCGCCTACACCGAAGACATGCCTACACCACAACCACAGCATCCATACGATGGCTGTTCCAAAAGAGCCTGTTTTCATTCATTGCCACTTGGTTGGTGGGATCGATTAACGGATCCTGTTTGAGTGTTGTTGCCTCGCAAATTCCAAACACAACACTGAATGAAACCCTAAACCCCTAAACCCCCAAACCCTAAGCCCTGTACCCTAAACCCCAAAACCCTAAACATTGAATTTGAGAAACTCCAACTCCGCCCTGCTTTGAACTGCTTTTCCACCCACATAACTACACCCAAACACCCCCAAGGTCAAGTCCCAAACCTGAAACGAAGGTTTAGGGTTTAGGCTGAAACCCGAAACCCCGTCAATTACCACGAGAACCGTCACACAAAACTCTAAACCTCGTGAGGCCCAATTCCCACAGCCTGAAACATCATTCTAAACCACCCGGCAACCAAAAACACGCACAGAAACTCTTAAACGCAACCCTAAGCCCTAAACCAGAAGCCCCTAAACCCTAAACCCGGAACCCTAAACCCCTACAGTACCCTCCTAGTAACCCTTATAGATCCCTTAAAGGAACCCTACACCCCTACAGAGTACCCTCCTAGTAACCCTTATAGATCCCTTAAAGGAACCCGAAACCCCTACAGAGCACCCTTCTAATAACCCTTATAGATCCCTTAAAGGAACCCGAAACCCCTACAGTACCCTTCTAGTAACCCTTATAGATCCTTTAAAGGAGCCCTAAATCGTAAGCCAGCCCTTTCCGTAGGTGTACGTCGATTTCCCCGAGGAGATCAAGGCCCTGGGCTCTAAACGACTACAGTAGAAGCCCAAAAGTTGGAAACCCAATCGTCTCGACCCTTAAGAGCAATGTCTGGGGAATCCCAGCACTATTTGGCCTTAATCCGGTTTCCAACTTTTTGGGGTTTACTGTAATACTTGCAGGGGCGCTCCAAGCGCTTGCAAAGGGTTCCTGATCCCCTGAAGGAATCTGAGAGGAACTTGGGCCCGAGTCATGTGCCCGGAGAGCCCAATACCCCTTAATTAAGGAATATACCTTAAATCATTAGGGGCTTCAATATTGTGATTTCAGCTATATTCCTTACTAAAGGGGACTGGGCTCTCTGGGTGACGGTTTAGGGTTTCGGGTTTAGGGTTTCTAGTCGTTTGGAAAGGGTTGCTTTAGAAGGTTCCCCCAGGGCTACCATAGGGAGTTGAGCCTAGGGGCTCTAGTCTAGGGGCCATGGTCGCTCGGGCTGGTTAAGGGTTTAGGATTTGAGGTTAATGGCTTGGGATTGTATGGTTTGGAGCTTGGATGTTGGGGCTACAGCGGTACCTTCTTGTTCAGCATCTTCTGGCTCAAGGCCGTGAGTTCAAGCACTCCGAGGTTTAAGGATCTCGAGTGTTCAAGGCAATGGTCTTGAAAACTGAACCGTAGGGTTGCTGGCCCGTGGACCTTTAATCATCAAGATTTACCTTTGGGGGGTGACGGGGTGCAATCGCAGGCTTCAGGCTGCCAGTTCGATCATCATAGTGCCGATGTGAATCTGATGTCCTTACTTAGTCGTCCTTTGCAGTGGTGCGCAGCTTCTGCAGCGAACCAACATTCAACTTCAATGTCGAACCCAGGCCAGTAAGCCCCGTTCTGCACGGGTCCAAAATATTCGGATCCCCAGCATAATCCCTGCGGAGGGGAGGAGGCTTATCAATCAGGGGTCTGCTTTACCATTCCGACTCCTATAGACCGGAACTCTTGGCTGAACCGACTTTGAATCTTCATACCCTTCAAGCCCAAAAGCCCCACTGGTCCTGAACTACAAGAAAGAGGCGTGGACAAACAAACATATCCCCGAATACTGACCGCACTAGCTAGACTGTAGTATACCCGAAACATCTCCTTTTTAAGCATAAAGGCCCCTAGATGTACCCTCTTGAGAAACCTTCAGCCCTGAGCCGCCCGAACATTCGTCAATTTGAAGCATCGTTAGCTTCCAGCCAGGGTGCCGATATCACCTGCGAATTTGAGCGTCGGGAGCCCAGCCTTAACAAAGAGAGGTTTCTGTCATGTAGGGTTTAGGGGCTTTTGGGTTTAGGTATATTGCAGTAGGTTTTCGAAAAAGACCGTCGCATGGCCGTCATAAACCGAACAGGTAGGCTTTAAAGGTCTGGTGTGGGTAGTCTGCGAGGCTGACGTTCGGCAGGTTCTCATTCGGGTTACAGAACGAAGGTCTGACAAGACGACGCTACTGAGGTTTGAAGAAATCTCCGACACATGATCAAAGCTGAATGGCCTGTCATGCGAGTGTTGGATAGCACACGAGGGTCCGCTTTTTTTGGCAATGGTGTCGTTGTCAGTGCGAAGCCGACCATGCTTGTTGCAGTCGAATGTCTTTGCCGTTCGCCGTCTGCTCGCCATCCACAGCAGCAGTGCCTGAACAGTGTACAACTTCCTCAGGATTCAGCAGGCTTCCAGCGTGTAAACCTTGTCGTCGCCTTCTTAAGCATAGCAGCATACCGCTACTTTAGCAAGGCTGCGGGATTCTGGCTGGAGGACTGCAGTAAATCATCCAGAGTGCCATGACTCCAAGTTCGACATCGCTTCTGAAGCATAATACGTGAGGAGGTGGACTGATGGGCGGCATCCTTGGAAGCGAAGAAGCGACAGCAGATCACAGAGAACATGCAGAACAGTTCGAAAATCTGCCCAAGATGCAGCAGTCTGAGCTCTTTCAGTTCACAAAATGCACATCTCTGATAATCGGCAACAACAAATACTGTGGTGTCACGCATGGCAAGCTTCACTGTTGCGAAGATGATGCAGAGCGTGTTGCTAAGGCATTGAGGGCCGGGCAGTTCCCCGACGCTCAGCCCCTCAAAAATCTGAACAGGAGAGACATGTTCAATTGGGTTGAAAGCCTGTCACGATCAGAATCTGACTTTACATGGTTCCATTTCTCGGGGCACGGAGTTTTGTACAAGGAGGAGGTGTACCTTGTACCGGTTGATTCTGAGAGGAACGAGGACAACATTCCACTCTCGTACATACTAGACAGTGTGAGGAAGATTGCAAAGGAGGGGTTGCATATCTTCACGCTCGATATGTGCCAACAGCATTCGAGTCAGAGGGGCCCACAAACCATGGAAGCAATCGAGAGGATTCTGGACATGGCGACAGAGCCAACTGCTGGCACACGCGGTCGCTTCGAAGCAATGTCTTCCCGGATACAAGGTCTTCACGGTCTTCCTGATCCCGGCAGATACAAGTTTAATCATGAAATCTGGATATATACATCAGGCGAGATTGGGTATACGGTCACAGACAACGGATTCTTCTCAACCGCCATCGCAGAATTTGCAGAACTCTTTGATCGGGGCCCTCAGGACATGATTGACATAGTCACTGACAAGGTGTGGGTCAAGAGTGGCAAAACGCAGAAGCCGGGCCATCGTCACGAGCACCGGAGGACAGACTGTCGCTACATCATTACAAAAAGGAGTGGCGGGAGCCATCAAGCTGGTCTGGCGGACCCTGAGCAAGCAGCACTTGCAGCAGACATGGCAGCCCTTGCACCTGCACGTTTTGCCGACGTGCGACGCATAGTGGAGGCGGAGGCAGCCCGCCGAAGCAAACAGCCTGGGGAATATTCAGGAGGTGGATGGACTCCGGACTGGTCTTTGCAGTCAGTGCTTACAGAAGATAAGCACAGCAAGGCCAATAGGGCTGCAAAGTGCCTGATAGTTCTGGACGGCTTGATCGGCTGTGGAAAGACGACTTTCCTTCGGAGGTTCAAGAAAAATGGTTCGGAGAACGTTCAGTTCGTTGCCGAGCCCGTGAGCAGGAATGAGCCAGACACGTGGTGGTCCGATCTTGAAGCCCTTTACCGGGTCATGCAAGCCGGCACACAGGAAGAGAAAATCACTGCAACCTTTAAGTTGGAGTGCAAGGTTTGTGAGCACCACTTCCGTGTTGCAACACAGCGGCAGATGCATACCTTCACAGAGAGGGGGCTGGGGTCCACGGTCCGGGTCTTCTGCAAGGTCTGTAAAGAGAACGGCCTTCTCACCGAGGGGCAGTATGAATATTTCTTGAAAGCTTATGAGAAGTACTCTTCAGATGAGTCTCTTCGTCCCACCCTGACCCTTCACTTCAAACTCCCGATAGAAGTGGCACTCGGCCGGATCAATGAGCGCGCCGACAAAGAGGATCGGGAGTTCGAGAAAGATATGCCGCGGCCGTACTTGGAGCAGCTTGAAAGTGCGTACAAAGAGTTTCTTCGCAATCAAGAAGATGTCATTGTGGTCGAGTCCAACAATCCCGTGGAGGACATGATGGTGGACATCGCGGGCCCAGTTGAAGAGAAGCTGCGAAGGCGAGGAGTGGCTGAGCAAGATCTTAGGAGTGTAATGCGCTGCTTCGAAGCGGACTGACCAAAGCCTATACTGGCCCATACAGTTGGACAGCTTTCACTGGCCCAAGCTTGCGTGCAATCTTCACCTTCTGCCGGTCATGTGCATTTGCACGCCGGTGTGGAGAGGTTGGGTTTCAAGATGTTTCAAGACGGAGACGACACGCCCTGACGGAGGGTGCAGTGCACAGTAAAGACTGCATCGAACAAATTGCCGACGAGCTTCTACACAGGACAGAAGCTACAATCACCCTTTGCCACCGGTCGCTTACAGTCGAGCCCCAATGGCTAAGCTGAATCCTGCCTTGGATCCTAAACCCTGGCCCCGAAAGCATTAACTACTCCTCTTCCCACCAAACGCCGTGGCGGTGAAGCGACGACCTTGTTTTAAGGGAGTTTACTGAACGGTGCCCTCAGCGTTTGCCAGGGCTCGAGGTTTCAAGGGAAACTCGACCCAATGCATGTCTTGCTGCTTTTTTATGGGGTACGGGGTACTTAGAAGTAATTTTGAATTTTTGGTTATTTTAAACCCTAAGAAAGAGCTAAAATTATAATTTTTGACCCCGGACCACTCGACCCCGAAGTAAACCCCAAGCTCTAAACTAAACCCTGAACCACAAGCGATAAACCCCACACCGAAAGCCGTAAAACCAAAGTTCTTCACCCTAATAAACCCTAAACCCCAACCCCTTCACCCTAAACCCCAACTCCTAAACCTAAGTCCCAAGCTCTAAGCCCCTCGCGAGGTTTCGGCGTGGAGCTGATCCTCCGCTTGCCGAACGGCAAGCTCTATGGCGTCCGCGTCAAGGATGCGGAGGCAGCTGAAGAGCCCTAACCCGAAGGCTCTAAGGACTCAGATTTTCTGGCTTTCGTCTTTGCTGGGTCTCACAGTTTCTGTGTGTTCCGCTACAGGCAGACGACCGAGCGCCTTAGGCTCATCACATCTTCAAAAACCAAACCACAAACCCTAAACTTGGACAGGGCTGGGTCGTCGTTTTGTGATTTAAGCGATCTTCCATATTTACGGGGTATTGGGCTCTCTGGGCACTTTAAAGATAAATCAAGCCGCAAGCCCTGAACTTGGACAGGGATGGGTCCTGGAGCACGAGCGGAAGAATGGCTGGGCCCATGAGATCGAACCTGAGAAGCGGAGAACTCAGAAGGGTTCCTTTAAGGGCTCCTTTCAGGGTTTCTTTAAGGGATCCAGAAAGGTTACTGAAAAGGGTACTGCAGGGGTTTAGGGTTTGTCGGTTTGGGGTTTAGGGCTTTTAGGGTTTAAGGTTTGGGGGGTTTGCGTTTATGGTTAAGGGTTTAGGGTTTGGAGTTTGTGGTTTCGGTTTGGGGGTTTAGGGTTTGCGTTTAGGGTTTAGGGTTTGGGAGTGGGGTTAGAGGCAAGTTGAGGAAGTAAGGATTAGGGTTGCGGGTCTACGGTTAGGGGTTTAGTGTCTGGCTTGGCATTTGGGTTTAAGACGTGTTTAGGGCTTATGCTCGGTGTTGCTCTTTGGACTGTGTTTGTATTCATCTGCTTCAGCATGGTGATCAATAACTACTATCCGGCTCCTGGTGTAGCGTACCAGACTTAAGGTGTCGTGGGCGTGTTTTCTATTGCTCTTGCTTCTTCCGCCGTGGTCGATGCTCAGGTGCAAGTATCGGGTTTCCTCCAGCTCTCCACGCATCACCCTCACACTGGCGAAGAAGGACAGAGCTTCGAAGCCTGCCAGTGAGCAGGGCATGTAAAGCATGGTTTGGGTACTGCCCCCACTCCGTAACAGTTGGATTACATTCATAATATAGAGACATAAGGACGTTAATAGTAGCCCTATTATAGACTGTTACCATATGGGGGCCGTACCCAACGCATGGTTAAGATCTTCAACTTCTACCCATCAGAAACTGCAAGCGGGTGTGTCGTAAAGTTTTCGCCTCGACCTGAAACCTTCGATCCGAGTGTCCTACGTTAAAGCTGAAAGGACGAAAAGGAGAAGTGGTACGAACTCCGCAAGAAGGACATCAGAAGCTTGGCTTTTTGAGGTTCGCTCGAGGTCGAGACCCCCCAACCCCCCCCAAAAAAAAAAACACTGCAGAAGACCTTGTACTCTTATTCGAAGTTCTTGCTGCCATGGCTACGACTATGTAGCGATATCCAGAGTCTAGGCTAGAATACCGAGCTGTTGAACCGTGACAACAGCAATACTGCCTAGCGCACTCCACTAGCAAGTCTATCCTTGGTTCTTGTTAGGAGCATCGTGGCGTGCATTTGATGGGATTTGCAACAAATGATGTGCATTCCTCCTTATGGTTGAGTTCCTTGTTATGGTAGTTGGAGCGAAATTCCTCGCACCTCAGTCAACAAGCAATCTTAATACCGTCTGTTGAAACCTTTCATTCCAGTCTCAAGACCTTCGAACGGCTTATTAAGTTCAATTTCCCTATAAGAACTGCAAACCCCAAGCCCTATACCCTTAACAAAGGCCCTAAACCCTAAACGCTGTGTTCGGCTGACTGTCTTTGCATCCCAGGATCAACCTTCTGATGACAGTGGGGGACTTACAGCGCACTGTATCCTAGCATGGTAAAGCATAGTAGATTGTTCTTCCATACGACCATAATAATATCAGAATCTAGCCTAGTATGTAGAGCACAGTAGACTAGTAGAATAAGGAAGGAATAGCAAAGTATACTCTTCTCCACTACACCGTATATGTGGGTGGTTGTCAATATTAGGGTCCCATTTTGGGTCCTTATTATAATACGGCACCTAATATTTACGGTGCCCAAGAAGGGACCCTAAGTTTGACAGCCACCCATGTGGCTGAGAGCAGGGGACTTAGTATGTAGCTTATAAGTAGAGTTATATGTACCCTAAATGGAGTTACCCCAATTATAACCCTACTTATAACCTACTTACTAAGTCCCCTGCCCTTCCAAGTGTGGCTGAGGGTTGAGGGTTTGCGCTTTCTTTTGGCGGCTTTCGGGTGGTCGAGGGTCTGGGCACTCCGGCGCTTGAGGTTTCAGGGCACCTGCCCTGAGCTACTTCAGGCTTCATGGGTAGGGTTATAAGGGTCCTGTACAGGGATCTATAGGGTTTCTTTAAGGGTAGAGGGTTTAGGGCCTACTTGAAGGTTCATGGGTAGTTATACGTAAGGTTATAAGTCCCCTAATATGGGTTATAAGCATAGTTACCCTGCTTGTAACCCTGCTTGGGTGGTTGTCAAAATTACCGTCCCTTTTTGGGTCCCTATTATGATACGGCACCTCTTACTTAGTGTATCCCAAAAAGGGACCTTAATTTTGACATCTACTAACCCACTTAAACCTAGCCATGAACCGGCAAGTATACTTGAAGGCTCATGGGACTTAGTAAGTAAGTTTATAAGTACCTTAAGCCGGAATAACCTACCTTTTTAGGGTCCCTTATTATAATTTCCTTATATAAGTCCTTAAAAAGGTAGGTTATTCCGACTGAAGGTAGGTTATAATTAGGATAGCCCCACTTAGGGGACTTATAACCCGAATTATAACCTACTTACTAAGTCCCATGATCCTCTAAGTACTCCCTAAACCCTATAGACCCCTTCAAGGAACCATATAGATCCCTTTAAGGAACCCTACACTTACTAAGTCCCATGGTCCTTTAAGTAGTTGAGCCCACAAGCCGACTCGAGCTTGTGCCAGCAGCCGCGAACTTCAATCCAACCCCCCCGAACGCTTCCGCCCTGAACCCGACAGAAACCCTAAGCCCTATGGAAACCCTAAACCCTTAAAGCCCTAAACCCTCTGTAAACCCCTTAAGGCCCTAAACCCTATGTAAACCCTAAACCCTTAAAGCCCTAAACCCAACCCTTAAAGCCCTAAACCCTCTGTAAACCCTATGTAAACCCTTAAAGCCCTAAACCCGACACCGCGTGAAGCGCAAGCTTCTAAGCCCCGACGCCTCTGCACCAAGTGACCCGAAACTGAGAGACACAAAGGATCAAAGCCCTCGAACCCTACACCCCGTGGTTATGTTCAAAGAAGTCCCTAGATAGTAACGTATGGGGTTCAGGGATTCTTAGGCTTTCACATTTGGTGTTCAAGGCCCGAAACGCCGAGGCCGAGGCTAGCGCGCCTGACTCTGTACAGATCTGAGGGCCGGTCAGGTGCCGGCCCCCTTGGATCATAGGGATCCTTAGGGGTGTAGGGGGGAGGGGTGTAGGGGACTATATTTCCTTAAATAGGCCTTATTAATCCTTATTATGGGCCTTAAGGCCCCCTACCCCCCCTCCCCCTACACCCCTAAGGATCCCTATGATTGGGAGCCCAACACCCCTTGGCGCTTCAAATTATAGGGTTTCGGGTTTATAAGGTTTCGGATTTCCTCGAGTCATATTCGGAACAGGATTTGGGAATTAGGGTCTCGGTATCATGTTTGCAGGCTTTACAGGTCGCTGCTTCAGAAATTAAACTATACCTTTAAACCAGTGTGGCGACTCACCGATCTTCTGAAAGAGCATTCCTCAATTAAGGGGTCTTGGGCTCTCCCCGTCTTCAAGACGAAAGCGCTGGAAGCAGCTAAGACAACCTCAGCTCTAGGACCTTTGGAGGATGCCAGGACACGGTCGGTCGGTGGATGAAACGTACTACCTCTTGTTGAAGGTGTACTATAGGGAGCCCAGAAGAATCAGAATAGCATTTGGGGATATGTTGTAGTATACTTATATATTGCATGCAAGGACTTTGGTAGGGTGTGATTTCAATTTTCCAGACCGCCATATTCGTGTTCGGGGTTCAACCTTGCAATTACCGGTCTGAGTCAGACAGCAATATTCGGGCTTTCGACTAGTGCTGTCAATTACCCGTTCAAGTCAGACCACTACAATGGGGTTTCGGATAATCCTTGTAATTCCCGGTCTGAGCCAGATGCCTTTATTAATTCCCGGTTGGGGTTAAACCTTTCGCGCTCCGAGTCAGACCTTGCAATTACAGCTACATTAGGGTTTGGGGTTAATCTTGTAGTTAGGCAGACCGCTACATTCGGGTTTGGGGGTAATCCTTGAGTTAATCCTTGTAGTTGCCAGTTAAGTCAGACCGCAAATGTGGGTATAGGATGAAATCTTGTTGTTGCCGGTCTGAGTCAGGCCGCTACAATACATAATTAGGGGTTGGGGTCTGGGATTAGCCGGTCTGAGTCAGACAGCCACATATTTAGGGGCTGGGGCCAATCCTTGAAATTGCCGGTCTGCGTCAGACCGCTGAATTCGGGTTTGTTATGAATCTTTACAATTGCCGGTCTGAGTCAGACCACTGCATTAATTAGGGCAATTAGGGGTTCGGGTTAATCCTTGTAATTGTCGGTCTGAGTCAGACGGCAAAGTTAGAGTTTAGGATTAGTCCTCATTGGCTTGGGATTAACAGACCGCTACGATATTTCGGGGTTGGCACTAATCCTTGTAATTGCCGGTCTGAGTCAGACGGCTACAATAATTTCGTAGGGGCTGGGGTTAATCCTTGTAGTTGCCGCTCTGACGGCAAAGTTAGAGTTTGGGATTAGTCCTTCTTATTGCGTTGGGATTCACAGGCCGCTACAATATTTCGGGGTTGGGACTAATCCTTGTAAAACGCGGTCTGAGTCAGACCGCTACAATATTCGCATAGGGGCTGGGGTTAATCCGTGTAATGCCGGTCTGAGTCAGGGCCCCTACTTTGGGCTTTGGGATTCATCCTTGTAACTGCCGGTCTGAGAGTTTGTTACAGATCGGGTTCGTCTTCCTCCGAGGTCCTGGCCTCCGACCAAGCAAAGACCACAAAATTTGGCATGCACTCCCGTGGAAAAAGTGAAGGGTCTCCACGGTTGTGTTGTTCAGGGCCACGGGTGTTTCTGCTCCAGACATGTGCAACTGTGGCTGCTGCATGATCAGCACATCATCATCCTCAACACCAAGACCAACACCATCCTCATCATCATCATCGTCATCATCACCAGCATCACCATCACCGTCGCCATCATCATTATCTTCTTCTTCTTCATGACCAGCGCCATCAGTCTCAACATCATCAGCGGCACCATCATCATCGTTAGAATCACCAACATCAACCCAGAATCGACTCCCTGCCAAGACCGAATCCTCAGGTAGACCCTCCTTTGATACACTTATTTCGGCTCGAATTTGTCCCAGATCAGTTTGCGCTCGTTTGCTGCACTCGATTGGCGGGTTTATGCGCTCGTTTTGCGGGCTGCATTGTGCCCGTATGCGGCATTGTGCGCCCGTATGTGGCGTTATGCGCCCGCGTCTGCTTTGAGCGGAAATTTGTGTATCAAAGGACGCTCCAGGCAGAAGAGGAAATAATTCAACCGAAACAAGGTTCGCGTCCGAGCTTGTTAGGCTTCTTATTGGTCATGGGGTTTAGGGCTTGCGAGGCTGTAGGCTACAATTGCACAGCAAGGTGGTAGTTCGATGAGATCCTTTTCTTTAGGGCTGAAGGCTCTGAGGGGAGCTACTATTAGTGTCTTTGGCACTCGATCCACCGCAACGATCGCTTGTCCGAATCTGTGGAGCCCAAGACAGAGGCAAGTAGAGCTATAGGCAGGAAGGTTTGTGGTACATACAATGTGTTCAGACGATACAGGCGGGTGTGAAAATGCTATATTGCAATACATATGTTTCGCAATATGTGTGTCTATATGTATATACATATACGTAAGTATTTGTATTTACATATCAGCTGAGAGTGGGTGCACGAATACTATCCCCTACTTTCTGTGCAAGAGTAAGCGCTTGGGTTTGTGGAGTTTGGGGTATCAGGCTCTTAACAGAGCCCCTGGATTCCATTTCCGGCGCCATGCAGCGTGTGCAGAACCCATCCGCCGGCTCACAGGCCCAGGTTGCCCAGGTGGGAGCCTCAGACAACACGCTTTTGGAGGTGCCCCAGTAGTAGCCTCTTTTGCTCTGTATAGTTTAGGGTTCCCTCATTGTCAAGACTTAAATTCCACTGAAAAGGTACGCTGAGCAACCTAGCTTTGTTTCGTAGGAGTTGAAATGTCGCTGTATGAGGCTTGTATCGGGCGCTTGTCCGTTCGGGTTCTTCGGGGCCTTAACATTTGGACAGTTTGTGGGGGTGGAGGAGGCCGCATACTAAGGTAGAGCTCTATGGGCATAACAGAGCCGTTAACACCCCACCATTTGTGATTGTGGACCACAGGTATTGTAGATCGTAAGCACTTGGATGGCAGATGTCTTTTTGGGCAGGCCTTAGACACCCTAAACCCTGAGCCCCCCAACCCCACGTCCAAGACGCCGCAGGTGCGGCCTGGATATGTGATGATGCGCTCGGGCACCTCGCGATGAAGAATCAGAGGGGTAAAACATCGTAAAACCGCTACTTGTAAAGGGTTTATGTTAGAAGGGGCCCCCACCCTGTAATAGTGACTATAAGGATTATATTAGGGCCCTATTATATTCCTATTATACCACTATTACAGGGTGGGGGCCCCTTCTAAGGTTTATCTTTTTGGGGCTCAGGGCTGGGTTGAGGGCTTGTCTGGCCAGGTCTGCAGGTGTTACTATCCGGACGAAGAGGATGCCTCGAGACAGCTGTAGGTGTACTCTTGTACGCTTGGTCACGTGCTTGAAGTTATGTACTAAGTACAATTTAAGTAACTTGTTCTATGCGGCATTGCTTGCAGAGATGCCTACAGTTGATGATGCGTGCAGCCGCGCATGAACGAGAGGTGTCCTTACGCCTGTGGGCAGCGGCTACTTTCCGGCACCAGCTGTCCCAGCATCGCCGGTGATGCCAGTTTCCCCCGTTCGGGGTCCTGGGTGCCTTGAAAGCATTGCAAAGCATAGCAGCCGGGGTATTACAAAGAGCCTTTGCCAGCTTACCTATACTCTCCATTGTAGTTCCTTTTTGTGGTTTAACCCATTATATATTCAGGATCGTATAAGGTAACCCAAAAAGGAACTACAATGGAGACTATAGGTAATTTATCAAGTGTATGTAGCATGTGTGTAAATTTCTGGAGGGCAGGACGCAGTGCAGATCATTGTTTGCAATGCATGCATTTTCGGAAGGTGTATCATAAGGTCATTGCGTACACATACTTACACATTCATACATGCATGCATACATGCATAAATACGTACATATACACATACATACACATGCTTATGTGTATACATATATATATATATATATATACATGCATACACATGTAATTATATAAACAGTGTTTATATATATATACATACATACATGGGTAATGTGTGTGTGCGCAAGTGTGTGAGCAAGACACATATTGACAGTGAGTGTGCATAACACCAAAGCCCACGTCCTTTGAAGTCTTACAGTGTCAAGCGGTTTCAGGCCTTCCTGCTCTGGTGTTCTTGAGGACGTGTGTTTCGTGTTCTTTACCTTAGCTCCAACAAGGGAAGTTCGTTGTACATGTTCCCAGTTACACGCGCATCAATGATTCTGGCATATGTATATATATATATATATGCATCTATGCATACCTACCCTACCTACCTACCTACCTACCTACCCAGCTTCCTGCCTACCGACCTACCTGCATGATCTGCATGCAAAGACGTACGCATGCATGCATGTGCGCATTCATACATCAGTGCATGCTTGCATACATACATACATACATACATCCGTACGTGATGCCTACCTACATACAGACACACCACTCTCAATCAACCAACCAACCCTCGAAACGAACATGTCGACACACACGCACAGACAGACATACAAGCATACAGGCATACAGTCATGCAGGCAAACGTTTAGAGTAGCAGCCGAAAAGTAGAGATATGTAATCGGTAAAGTTTAGGCGATCCTTCTTTGGTTGACTTCGATGAAGAGAACGTCGCATGATGATGTTCCATGGTTCTTGCTTCTGCCGTATGCTCTGCGGGTTCGAGAATTTGAGTCAGGGGTAGCACCACAACTCAACAGAAGCCTAAACCCTAAACCCTAGACCACTCCAGCAGCCTTATTTGCAAAAGGAGCCCAACCAAGCCTCACTAAACACACAATCTTGGCATCCCAAGTCCTGACCCTAAACCCTAGACCCTGAACCCTAAACCGTAGGTCCTGCAGCCTGAAACCCTACTGAACCCTAAAACCCTACGCCCCTGAAGCCCTAAACCTTTCCTTAACCCTGAAGGACCTACCTGTTTAAGGACTTATAGAAGGGAATCATAATAAGGAACCCTAAAAAGCTTGGTTATTCAGGGTTAAGGTTGTAGAAGGCCGAAACAGAAACCCCCTGAGCCCACAATCTGTGGAAGGGCCCGGAAATGCCTCAATCTCACTGCCCAGAGACTCCAATATTCCTTCATTAAGGAATATATAGCTCAAATTATATCAGGGATCCTACTATAATTGTAGGTAGATTCCTATTGGAGTCTCTGGGTGGTTCGAAGCTCAGGACTCCAGTTGGCACTCCACTGATCCAAGCGAGGCCTCTGATTCTTGGGTATTCCAAAACTGTGTTTTGGGATTCGCGGTTTTGGTGGTTTTAGGGCATTAAGGCTTGGGGTTGAGAGCGTTCGAGTTTACGGTTTGGGGCCTGGTGGGTTTAGAGTTAAATTTAGGGGCCTGGTGGGTTTAGTTGGTATTGTACCGAAAACTATGCGAACCTTGTTTGCCTGACCCTGGTTATGGCAAACAAGGATGCAATCCGCTTCTGCCGCTTCCGGGTCGCCTCTGATGCTGGGCAGTTATTCAGGAACTTATGTTGGGCTACCAAAAGTGCTTAGTGATGTGTGGTCCCATGTTTGGGATTACTTAGGTCTACGTTGCTCGGTTCCTAGTAAAAAGCCTCTTGAACCCTGTACAAGTTCTGAACAAAAACACCTCCTGAGACCTTTAACTAAGTTCTTGGTGTGGCTAGCTTGCAGAACACCTACACAACTCTATGACGATACCAACAAAACGCTCCCAAACGACTGCACAAACCTGTCAAACCCACAAGAACCCAGGATGCGCTCCACTGCCGGGACGCCACCAGGATCCGGTCTCATCGCGCGCCAGGGCTCCGTCGTGGCAACTCGGACATTCACAGCTTCGGGTTTCTCTCGTCAGGAAGTTCATGTGCTATGTAGGAGTTCAGGGTTTTCGGCTTTTTGGTCTTGGGGCTGAGTGCCTGGACTTGTCAAAGTTGTGTCATGGCTGATGCAAACTGACCGGTTAACACTTAGCCCGGAACCGCACCTCGAACACCTTAAATTTATTGAGCAACCCGGTAAACTCTAAACCTTTTACCCTTGATTCTCAGCGCTGAACCTTCAAGCCGGTAGAGCCCTAGACCCTCAACCCCAAAACCCCAAATCCCCAAATCCATCCAGAAACCCTAAACCCGCAAGCTCTAAACCCTGAACCCCAAAGCCCTAACTCCCTAAACCCAAAACTCCAAAACCCCAAAACCCCAAAACCCAAAACCTCCAAAACCCCAAAACCCTAACTCCCTAAAACCCCAAACCTCCAAAACCCCAAAACCCTGTAAACCCTCAATCCTTAAACTCCAAATCCCTACACGCAGAGGCATTGCCGGGCTCCTTCGTAGCAGCTCCCGTCGTGCGTGTGGCGGCCGCGCCTCAGACCCCGCGAGTACAGGCGCCGCAGGCGGGATCTTATGGATCTTAGAGTTTAGGGTTTTAGGGAACCCTAAACCCTAAGCCCTAAACGGGTATGTAGGGCCATGGGTTTTCAGGTTTACAGAGTGAGGGGTTTAGGCCTGGGCCCTCACAGACCCTAAAGCCCAACCTGTCGCCGAAAGACCTACCCGTTTTAGGGTTGCTCATTGTGGCTTCTATATATATCTATATATATATATATACATATATATAGTTCCTTTAAAAGGTAGCTTCTAGGAGTCTAAACATAAACCCTACCGTTCTTGGGGTTCCTTATTATGGTTTCTATATTATATAATTCCGTGAATAGGTAGGTCTGTGCAGCTACAGGAAGGCCTTCTACCCATGGGATCTATAGTAGTTCCTTTTGGGGATTACCTTATTGGGATCTAAATATGAACCCCAAAGAGGAACTACTATGGAGCCTATGGGTACAATGTAGGAACCTCATTGAGAAACCCTGGGCCTATACCCCCAAGTAGTAGGATTCATATAAGGAACCGCCCAAGGTTTCTTAATCAGGTTCCGACATTATCCGAAATCCTTATGGTACCCTTATAGCAATCCTTTTTAGGAACCCTGTTAAAGTAACCTTTAAGGATTTCAAGGAACCCTGGGTTCCCATACCCTCAACTGCCAGGCATTATCCGAAACCCTAAACTCCTAAACCCCCAAACCCCCAAACCCCTAAACCCCTAAACCCTAAACCCCTAAACCCCCAAACCCCTAAACCCCTAAACTCCTAAACCCCTAAACCCCCAAACCCCTAAACCCCTAAACCCTAAACCCTAAACCCCTTTGGGTATATCCTCAAATGCCAGGCCTACCGTGTGGTGCGCAGCCAGTCGTTGGTGCAACCGCAGCCTTCCCAAGCGTTGACAAAGCTGGTCGACCTCCTCGAGAACGAGATCCTTGCCCTAAGGGGTCCTTTAAGGGTCCCTTTAAAGGGATCTATAGGGATTCTAGAAGGGTATAGGGTTCAGGGATGGGGTTTATAGCCTTTGGGATATAAGGACTCATATATTAAGGCCTCTGGGCCCAAAAAGGCTTTCGGGCCATTTTGAGCCTTAGGGTTGGGCTTCTTAATTATTTGCAGTATAATGCAATGCAGTATAAAATCTGTTGTACATGAAATACATGCTTTTATATACATGCATGTGTATATCTATGTATGTATGTATGTATGTGAATGTTATGTCTGCCTGTCTGTCTATCTGGATTATGCTATGTACATACAATAACAGGGTTTGGGTTTGCGGTGGAGTCTTTATTGTTTGGGGCATGTTCTTCCTTTTTGTGAAAAGAATGAGGCACGGAGGTTTCGTGCTTGTATTTTGGAGGGTTTTGGACCGCCGCGGCAGATCTCTATAGGTTCTCTAAACCCTGCGCCCTGATATCATGATGCATGGCATAGCCGTTTGGGAAAGCAGGTAAAGTTGTAGACCCTGCCATTCAGCACAGAACCAAGCAACTGGCGTTGTGCACGTGGGTGTGTGCATATCTGTGTGTGTGTGTATGAGTGTGTGCGGGCGCGTGTGTTTGTGTAATTGGTACACAGGTAGAAGCTAAAGTAACTATAGGCACCGATATAGCTCCTAGAGGCAAACCTGTTAAGTTTGGCGCAGGCGTCATGTCGGGGTAATTATAATATTTAGAATAGGGTTTGGCGTATAATACACTATCAATAGAACCTTGTTGGTAGTTCTGGGCGCTTTCATGGTTCTTGAAGGTCTGAACTTTAGACCCGAAGCCTTGATTAAACCCTAAGACATCCTACGACAATACCCCCTGAACGGAGGCGTAGGAGTAAGCGAAGCGAAGCCGACGACTGAGGAACAACATCGAAAAGGTGATGCTCGCTCACTACAGAAAGCGCCATATCTGAAGACGTTTGGTTTTGCGTGTTTTTTGGCTAAGGTTTCTCGAAAATTTTTCTTGGGGTTCGGGGGTTGTGAGGGATATCCCGAATTACAGGAGACGAAAACCCCCAAACCGAGTTCTGACTGTGAAGGCCCTTAGACCTAGACCAACTGAGCCCTGATCGTACTTGAAGGCTCATGGGACTTAGTAAGTACGGTTATAAGTAGGTTATACTTAGGATAACCCCACTTAGGGGACTTATAACCCCAATTATAACCTACTTACTAAGTCCCATGATCCTTTAAGTAGCCCTTAAAGTACCCTTTAAAGGAACCCTTCAACGAACCCTCATGCTCCTATATCATGTTCAAGCGACCGTTTGCTCGGGCTTTATCCCATCACTCTGTGGAAACAGCACGGACGACGATGACACTACTACCTCCTACGACATGTACTGCTCAACGCTACCGTCTCCCCAAACCCGTCGTATCGCTGATTGGCCTGTTTGGGGTCATTTTGCTAGCTGATCGCGATCGCCGCCTGCCCTTCTAAATGCAACATATCCTAGGTCCTATAGGTTCTATATAATTTCAATATCTATATAATTTCAATAGATCATCCAAATATTACGGATCATAATAATAGTAATAATAGTCGAACCCCCAAACCCCAAAGCTTCGAGGTACGCCTCTGACAGAGGCATGATGCGCCCAGAGGGGGCGCGGAGCTTTCTCATGAGCCTGGCTCTGTCCTTGGGCTTTTCAAACCCCCAGCAGGACGGGGGTTTAGGGTTTAGGGTTGCGCGGGGTTGCCAGAGACCCAAATATCCCTTAATTAACTAAGGAATATACCTTAGACTTTACTAGGGGTCCAACGGTCCAAGTATAATTTGAGGTATATTCCTTGATTAAGGGATATCGGAGTTTCTGGGTTCTGCCTTTTGGGGTTGGCAGCAGTGGTCCGCCAGCCCCAAAACCCTGAAACCCTAAACCCAAGAACCTCAGAATCCTAAGAGCTTCAGACGAGATTTCAACCCCCTGTAGCACTCCTACACAACCTTATCGCATCACTTTACACCAAAATGGTTGCATCAAGAGTCAGGTTATAGAGTTTGGGGCATTTGGCTTCAGGGTGTGGATGGTGTGCAGGCTTGACCCTTCACTAATTCACGGCACCGAAGGCCTCAGCTCCATGAATGCTTTGGGCTGGAGGGTGCGGCTTGGAGACGGTACTTCGGGCTCGCAAGTAGCAGACTCTCAAACTTCAAACCTTGCCCTCTTAGTTAAGGAAAGTACATTCATTTCCAGTAGGATCGTAAATGTTAGTTTAAGGGATATTGAAGGTGTGGGTACGTACCCCAAGACACACATCATCCCAAATACAGCCAGATGAAACCCTACTTCCTGGGGTCCTCAACTCGAAGCCAAAAAGATGCAAAGTCATCGCAGATTTTGGGCGATGTGGAGCAAATGTTTTGGCGCTTTGACTTCAGTGGCGATGGTGCAGCTTGGCTGCAAGAAACCTCCAGCAATTAGAAGCCCACCCAGTTACGTGAAGGTTTCTGGCTTCGGGTTAACGGGGTCGGGGTTTAGGTTTACAGGTTTAGGGTTTGGAAGGTGCCTATGGAAGTCTAGTCTGTTGCAGGCTTAGGATTGTAGGGGTGCGGGGGTGGGGTGTAGCAAGGGACGTATTTGTATGTATAGATATACATGGAAACGTCTTGTTCGTTCATGTAACTGTCGTGTGTATAAGAGCGGGGTTTAATTCCATAGTTCCGATATAGCTTTACCAGAACCTACCGAGAACCCTTAAAGTGTTCAAGGATTGGGTTTAGGGCTTTGGCTCCTGGGCCCAGGCCTCACTTCCAAACTCCTAGTAGCATTGTCGGAAAGCCTGAGAATGACGCTTTGTTAGCCCAGAAGCCTGAAACCCGCATTGTAAAGACCGATCCTTGTAGTAGAATCAGCTTCAGAACTTCAATTCGCAAGCGCTCGCTACTAAATCCCGAAATCCTTTCAAACCGCCAACCCCGCAGCCGTCTCGTGTCCCATCATAGCCTGTCAAGCCAGTAAACCTTGTATGATTCGACCCCCTCACCCCATTCCAAACATTGAGGCCCCTGTACATTGACCAAATAAAGCCCTTTGTCTACATATTCATAAACTCCGGTAAATTGCGAAGGATCTCCCAGCAATCCATGGAACACCCTTTTCGAAGTGTTACGGCCCCTAGCTTACCTCAATAGCCAGTAGTCCCCATAAGGTTTTCACTAATCCTTAAAACCCTATGAGGAATTTTCATTCCAGGTCTTAAGTACCGCGTACAGCCTCTATAGCAACCCTTCTAAACCCCAAACCCGAAAAGCGACGACTGACTCCCGAGCCTTTCCGTCACACGAAACCCTTAAATCAATAACCCGAAAAATCTTTCTAAGGCCCATATCACGAAACCCTTTCAGCACGTTCTTCCCCTGACCCGCAGGAGCTCTTAAATCAAAAACCCTAAAGAAATCCTTCTAAGGTCTAAATCGCTAAACCCTTAGACTACTCTTAAAAGCCCCTCTCCTGATCCCAGGAGCTCGATGAGTTGGAAGCCTTCCAACTTGTGAAGTTCGTGCTTCGAAGGTCGGCGGTTCGCTTCTTCTTATGTGGGTGGTTGTAAAACTAGGGTCCCTTTTTGGGTACCCTAAAGAATAGGTGCCGTATTACATCAAGGACCCAACAAGGGACCCAAATTTGAGAACCACTCATGTAGGGGCCCAAAGGATTCAGGGTTCAGAATAGGGCCTAAACAAGGGGTTCAGGGTTCAGAATAGCACCCAAAGAAAGGTTTCAGGGTTCAGGAAAGGGCCGAAATGAGGGTTTGGGGTTCAAAAAAAATCATGACAGGGCTCAAATAAGAGTTTAGGGTTTTGTTCCTAAATACACAGAATCGGTCCTGAATAAAGGTTTAGGGCTTAGGGTTCTAAATTCTGAATGATCAGAATGCGTCTTCAAAGAGGGTGTGGGGTTCGGGGTTCCAAATAATCGGAATAGGTGCCTCAAAATTTGTGTAGGCTTTAGGGCTTGCAGAGTTTAGGGAGGGCCTTTAAAGTAATCTGCAGTGGCTTTAATGAGAGCTTCTTCAATCCAGCGATCTGTCAATAGGTACAATATCAAAAAAATCCGAAAAGTTTCGATTTTAGTAAAAATGCAAGGGTTTAAGAAATTAGACTAGGGTCAATTACCGGCCAAATGCAGGGGTTGAGTATTTCGAATACGGTCTATTATAGTATCAATATGATAAGGAGCCGTGGGGAATAGTGCTGGTAATCATTCAGGCCCCGATGCTAGTTGTTTAGGGGTATCGGCGGTACGGGGTTTAGTGTGTTTGCGTTTCGGGTTTACAGTTTAGGACCTAGGAGGGTGTCTTCACAGGCCCAGAGGCCGCATTTAGTATGATGTTCATCATGGGTTCATCTTGGAGTCATCATAGATTCATCTTTTTCTAGGCATCCAAGGACTCATATAGTAAGGCTTTTGGGCCCAAACACCATACTATGTAAGGCTTCGGGGCTATTTTGATGCCCAGGGTTTGTCATCGTAGAACATCGTTTATATAGCCAAAAAATTCAGAATCTGACCCCGATGCTCAGGCCCCAAAAAACCGCTCTGTTTGGGTCCTCCGGTTGATGATATATATCCTGCATGACCCCTTATAAGGAATATACCATAATTCCCATAAATTCCCGATTATGGGTAATATATTCCTGTTGGCGGTATAAACCCTGCATTACGTTAAGGACCCTAAACTATGGGAATTATGGTACATTCCTTGTTAGGGTTCATGCAGGATTCATATCCCTAAACCCTAAAACCCTTTGGATCCCTTAAGGGAGCCCCTTAAAGGTACCCTTATAGATCCATAGGGATCCTTAGGGGTGTAGGGGGGAGGGGTGTAGGGGACTATATTTCCTTAAATAGGCCATATGAGTCCTTATTATGGGCCTTAAGGCCCCCTACCCCCCCTCCCCCTACACCCCTAAGGATCCCTATGATAGATCCCTTTTAAAGGAACCCTAGGATTTATGTCAGGACTCTTTGGGCCTTTCGGCTTAGTCAAGCCAGGGCCTGCAGGGCACCAGCCTTGGCCTTCATAGTTAGAATAATAGGGCTTTAGGGCCCATTATACTATACTTATAATAAGGAAACCCCAAAATAGTATGGGTAGGTATGGTGTCTTCAGGTCTTTTCAGGTATAGGATCGTATGTTGTAGTGTTTTCCAGTGTATGATAAGTGTGTTTTAGTATATTATATGATTACTGTATGCCACTGGTATGTTATGGTCGAGTTCATTTCAGTCGGGTGTAAGTTTTTAGGATTTTCAGATCAACAGGTTGCCTGGCTTACACTAAACCCTAACCCCTAAACCGTTACGCGCAACGAGAGGAGATGGCCCCCAAAAATTGCAGCTACAAAAACCCACGACGACGACCACTACTTCTTGTTCCTCTTCAAAAACGACGACGGGGAATACTACTACCGCCACTGCCAACAGCAAAAGACTGCAAAAACCACCTCTCGTTTTCCTCGTGCTGCTGCCGCTGCTTGGTCTGCTTCTGTTTCCAGCACCTCTGATCACTGCGATTGCTGACGAATCCCCAAACCCGAAGCCCCGGAAGACAAATCCCGAAGCCGGTAAGCCCTAAAGATGTGGACATACTGTTGATGATAAAATTCCTGCATTACTTTAAGGACCCTAAACTATGGGAATAATAGTATTTTCCTGATTATGGGTAATGCAGGATTTTTATCATCAGCCGTAGTGAAATTGTTGCAGGGCTCGTGATCGGATGATGCCTTCCAACGCCATGCGCGTGGGCCAGCTGCCAAGGCACAGATCCAAGCGTACAGGGTATAGGGTGCTGCTTTCTCTAATTGCCATTCGAGTCGGTGATGTGTATCACCAACTTTAAGTCTGGTTTTCATGTTAATGTAGGAAACTGATCAAGGAACCTTGGGCCTGTATTGGGTGTAGTTTAGAAGGGGCCCCCACCCTGTAATAGTGGTATGATAGGAATATAATAGGGCGCTAGTATAGCCCTTATAGTCACTATTACAGGGTGGGGGCAGCTTCTAAGGTGTAGTGGGTTTCCAGTTTTGCCACAGTCGGGCGCCGCAGGATTCCATGGATGTAGAGCTGTAGAGCCGTATAAACACCACGAAAACTTCTGGCATTCTACACATCGTTTTTAAAGTATCCGCGCATTTGGTCTCGGAAGGTTTTATCGGAGTGAGTTCTACAACAGGGATTAATGGGAGACCGCAAGAAGGCCCTGATGGTTAGCTTATAGCTTTGGGCCGGGGTACCACAATCGCACAGGGTCCAAAGGTTCCACTGTTGCGCCTCAAACTCCTAATTGCACAGCGTCAAGCCGAAGATCGTAAACCCGAAAGCATTGACCTTAGAACGCCCAGCGCTGAAGCGACACATCCCGAGCTCCAAAAGTTCTGGAACGTTACACGCTTAAACCCTAGACACCTAGCCCTTAAATCTGGCCAGGAAGGACTTGCAAAAAGAGTTCGAGCTCTTGAAGAAGCTGGGCGCTGGAGGCGGCAGTCAAATCGGTTTAGGATCAGGGGTTCGGGGCCTTGGGTTTGTAGGGTTGAGGGGTGTAGGATTGAAGGGTTTGGGGTGTAGGAGCCTGAATAGTTTGTGACCATATCACCTTATATGAAGAGTGTTACAAGAGTTTTCTGGCGAGGGTGGTTGCTCTATAGTAATTGCTCTGTAATGGTAGTTCATAGAGATGCTACAGTACCCCAAATCGCTAATCCAATGAATAAGGCCGCGGGCAGTGCGGATGGGGCACGGACATCCAAGCGTGCTGTTCAGAGCAAAGCTTCTTGCAGATCAGTCATTTGTTGGTCATTTGGTTCCCAAACATCCGAAAAAATCTTGAACCATACTCTGCCAGAATAAGCTCGGAGTTTAGCAACCGATCCGACAAGAAAAACGTTGCCGATGGGAGCTAAAAGGCTGCAACGAGATCTTGGATGTAGAAACCTAGTTCACCCAGTGGTACCACTTTGTCCTTTTTTAATTCAGGGTTCCCTTGTCAAAACTGAATACCAGGAAAAAGTGTACCCTTATTTATCGAGGGGGCATTGGGTAACCTAGAGACTTGACTATACTTGGAGGTTCACGGGTTGTTATAAGTGGGGTTATGGGTAGGGTAACTATAGTTATCACCCATATTAGGGGACTTCTAACCCCACGATGAACCTCCAAGTAGGCCCTAAACCCTATACCCTTATAGAATCCCTGTAGAGCCCTGGGGGTTCAGGGTTTCAGAGTCTAGGGGCTGAGAAGCGTCTTTCCCCTCCGGTCCTGAACCGAAAACTGTAACATATGTAATATATAACAATACGAATACACATATACATACATGTATATATATATATATATATGTATAAAATATAGCATAACATATATAGAGAGAGAGAGAGAGAGAGAGAGAGAGAGAGAGAGAACTTATTTCTTGCACGCTATACCCCATCAGCTCGACAAGCCCTAAGCACTAAGCTGCATCGGACACAGGACAAGGCGCCGTGTACCTCGCAAAAGAGAAGACGCGGAGCGGTCCCGAGCGAGTCGTCAAATTCTTCACGAAGGCCATCGTTGCTTGGCGTTCTTCTGGTTGGCTCTTTGAACTTTAACTTCTTGGGATTCTATATGAACCATAATAAGGAGGCAAACAGTTTAACACTTGGGACGGGTTCAGAAGACAGCCAAGGTTGGGCATTGAGAGTTTACGAACCGGGTGTAGGGCGTACAGTAATTCTAGGGCGTGTAACCGGGTTTAGTGGGCTTACAGTCTACTGATAGCTCCTAGGGAGTTTAAGGGGTTTGTACAGGGTTTGGGGGATTTTGTCGATGCCTTTTAAGCAGTACTCTGAGGCCCCGAGATGAGCCTGACTACTGCCGGCGATGATGATCGTCATGACACATTATGTTAGGGAAAAGCTACGAGAACCGGAAGAACGGATGGAATTGAGAATCGCTAGTCAACAAGGAACTAAAATAAAGCTCCTAGGTCCTAGGCCATGCATACCAGTACTCTCTGCTACATCTAAACACCCTAAAACCCAAGCCCAACATCTTAAGCCTCGTGTAAGCGCTGGAGCCCAAGCCCACTAAACACATGCAAAATCATGTCAATGGAAGCCATGTTGCCCAAAGTCTGAACGCCTAAACCCTACGGAAAACCACTTACAGCCCAAGCCCTAACGCCCTAAAGCCCTCCAGCAAGCATGTGAACCTCACACCTGAACCCCAAGCCCGACGTGAACCCTCAGGAAAACCCCAGCCCCTAGCATGTGAATCTTCGCAGCAGGCAGGCGCACAGCTGGCTCTCGACGACTTAAAGGAGGCTCCACGCGTGGCATGTGTTTTGTTTTGGATGGGAGCAGGGGGGGTAAAGAATTTTTGTGTTTTTGGTCAGGTGTGGAGGAGCGAAGGTTGGGGGGTTCAAGCTTCACAGGTTCTTATTTCGGCTGTGCGGATCTGGGGCCCTTTTCGGGTGTGGGCTATTGGATTTGGAGTCCGGCTTTCCCCGAGGCATCCGGAGTTCAGGATTCAACAGGGTTTACCTTATAACCCTGAGTAACCTACCTTTCTAAGGTTCCTTCTTATGATTTCCTTATCTAAGTCTTGAGAAAAGTAGGTTATTAGTCCGGGTTAAGGTAGGGATTAGAAAGGATTTAGGGTAGGGACGCGTTTAATTCCCGGAAACCCCGAAGGTCTGGTTTACCAGTTGGATTCTACAGTTCTTGTTTATTGTATGCAGAAACGGGTTCTGGTGGTATTAGGTAATGTTATTGCATGGAGTATACGCTCAAGGTGTAGGTTTCGAGCTTATAGGGTTCGACAAGATTCCGATTTAGAATCCTATGTTTGGCAAGGGCTCCCGGACAAAAAGACCTATATTCCCCCATCAGTAACCCCGGGCTTTATAAACCCTCCAACCCTGACCCCAAAGTATCCCATACCGTGAACTTCGAACTATTAAATTGTACATGGGTGGTTGTCAAAATTATGGTCCCTTTTTGGGTCCTTACTATAATACGGCACCGAATATTTTATTTAGGGTACCCCAAAAAGGGCCATAATTTTGACAACTTCCTACCCCTACATTCAGGAAGTGAACATTCTCCGATGCCTGGATCATCCCGCCATCGCCCGGGTGCTCGACATCTTCGAGGACTTGTGACTTAAGGCTTCACGAGTTTCAGGGCTGAAAGCGCTAAGATTATCTGCGGCGTTTGATGATTTTTGTTTTATCGGTTCTAAGCTTCAAGTCTGCTTGCAGAGGCTTGGGGGTTCATGGATTCAGGGATTGGAGTACAGGCTCGGCAACAGCATGTGCATCGCAAGGCGCATCGCGGATGCGACAGGGTACGGGTTCAGACGCACCCAAGGCATCAGGAAATACTTGACTTCTGCGGGGCTTGAGTTTTAAGTATTCAGGGGCCTGTGCTTACTAGTCAGTGAGGATATGGACGGCCGACAACAAGATGCACATCTGGGAGATGCTTGATGTTTCGGACGGTGCAATGGTTGGTACTGACCGCAGTTTGTGGCAGTGAGCCTCTTGCCATTATCCTGAAGCCTCAGTTGTTTAGACCCTAAACCCTAAACCCCTAAACCCAAGTTGTTTATGCTTCAAGAGTTCGATCCTTTTCGGAAGCATGGCTCGTGGCTACCCGTTTGTGGCTTCGGGCGCGGCTCTGACCGAGAACGTTCACCACTGGCGTGAGCGTCATCGCTGCTTCCTTCCTCCATCAATGAAGATGATTCTTGAAGACGGACACCTCCAAGGCAAGATAGCTGACAAGCAAGCGATGCTTCTGAGAACATGGGTTGCATCTGTCAGAAAGCCTCACAGCCTCAAAGCCGCAATCCTTTCCTTTCTTCTCCAATTAAAGCCATGTCATACCTTGCACAATGAAAGCAACGACCTGGTACCATCCCGCGAAGAATAACACACCCTAGGTCTTCAACCTGACACCAACTCTGAAGACGCTGTAACAGTACATAATGCCATAGGAACGTTGCAGATATGTTTTAAACTTTTAGACGCCCTTCGCCCTTGACCTTGCAGGACTCACAGAGTGTGTTGGAAACCTGTATCCTATCCTAAACCCACACCCTACAAACATAAACCCTGAACCCTAGACCCTAAACCCGGCCCCAAACCTAAATCTTACAGGACGCTCAATATGTGTAGTAAGCCCGAAACCTCTGAACCCCTACATAAACCCTTAAACCCTAAACTCCGAGAGCGAAATCCTAAGGCAAGCATCAGAGTGTGTTTCTTTTCCCCAAGCCGGACCGACAAACCCTAAACACATAAACCGTAAATCCTATAGGACGCTGAGAACCATAAACCCCAAACACACCCTAAACCCGAAGACCCTAAACCCTAAACCCTAAAACCCCAACCCTGAAACCCTAAACCCTAAAACCCTAAACCCTAAAACCCCAAACTCTAAAACCCTAAACCCTGAAAACCTAAATCCTAAAACCCCAAACCCTGAAACCCTAAATCCTAAAACTCCAAAACCCAAAACCTGAACCTTGAGTCCCCTAACCCCCACAAGCCTAAATCCTATAGGACCCTACACCCGAAACCCTAAAACCACCAGAACCTACATCCGGTAGAACCCTTAAAGCCCGAAAACCCTAAACCCCCAACCCCTCTAAAATCCTACTTGGAGGTTCTAGTATAAGTGGGGTTATAAGTCCCCGAATATGGGCTTTAAGTATAGTTGCCCTACTTATAACCCTACTTATACCGAGCCATGAACCTCCAAGTACTTGCTGCAGGACCCTCAGAACGTGTACCTGGTAGCCGAGCCCTACTTCGGTGGCGACCTAACGGACCCCGCATACTTCCCGGGTTTGGGGATTCCAGGGTTTTTGAGTTTAGGGGTTTAGGGTTCAGGAGCTTAGGGTTTTGGGGTTTTCGGTTTAGGAGTTTAGGGTTTAGGAGTTTAGGGTTTAGGATTTTAGGGTTTAGGGATTAGGGGTTTAGGGTTTAGGGGTTTAGGGTATTTAGGTTTTTGGACGTTTGGGTTTAGGGTTCAGCTAAGGGTTTGGGTTTTTGGGGTTAAGGCTAAGGTTTTGGTGTCCTACTTTTGACAGCCCAAGCAGGCTTGTACTGGACTATCTCCAGGCTGTTCAGTGGTACACTTTTTTACTTTCAGGTTTCTGGGTTCCTATTATAAAATAAGAAGCCTAAAAAAGTATATGTTTTTTTCAGTGGGTCACGCTGGTATTGGGTGAGGGAGGCCTAAGGGTCTGGGGTTTATGTGAAGTAGGGTTTGTATTAGAGTCATTAGAGGTTCTGTTTGAGTGGATATACCGGGGCATCTTAGTAATGATGGTGACTCTCTTTGTGGTTGCATTATCGGGATACTGGCTTAAGTAACCCTCAGGGTCCATGTACCTACATTTAGCATACCAATGTACATGTCTAGGCCTTCAAGGGGTTCCTATGTAGTAATAACTTGCGAGCCAGAGTGTATACTATGTGCATACATGGACCTTTAGGGGACGATGACATGGACATATAGAGGGATCCACTGTGTAGACTGAGGCATGTTGAGGGGTGTGGGGCTCTCTCCATATCTCGCTTCGGTTTGCACAGGTCCTGCTTAGGTCACGGGTGTTTTGAGCGACTTTTGGGGGTTCTGCGTTTTCCTCAGCATTTGACCGTCAATACCACGACTCCTGCATCATTACCACCACTAGCAGCATCACCGTGGCTGTCATCACTAGTACCACTAGTACCAACACCATCAACAATAGCATCATTGTCATTGCGATCTTTCCCTCTCCGTCATCACAGTTCTCGTCATCATCAACAGGCTGCATCGAAGTCAACCCCTTACAAACCATCCTAGGTTCTGATGTTCGATTTAAGCCTGTAGGGATCAGGGGTCGCGGCCTATGCCTGCTCCTTCCAGATTTCAGTTCTCAGGGCTTCAGGTGTTTGGGTTCAAGGATAGAGGGTTTAGAGTTGCAGGAGATGGCCGTATGTTTACCAGGAAAGGCACATCGAGCAAAAGCGCTCAAAACAAACCTACACGAAAAATGACCTGATGCTGGGTTCGGACAATTTTGGCAGTACTATTGCTAGTCACAACTGCTGCGTTGAGACCCAAAAGCACCAGGACCTGATGAACAAGGCAGCGAAGCACAACGTGCAACCGACGCACGAGTGGCTGGGGAAGATCTTCAGACAGATCTTGGAAGGACTGCAAATAGGAAGTTTTTAGGGTTTAGGGTTTTCGGCTTAGCTTGTAGGGTGTTTGGGGTTGGGTTTCCCTAAACCCGAAACCCCTAAAAACCCCTACCCCTAAACCCTAAACCCCTAAACATAGGGAATATCTTCAGAGAGATCTTGGAAGGACTGTTTGGGACTGAGCTAATCAGAACCTTGGGACCTTTCACTTCTTGGGTGTTCATAGGGTTCCTGTACAGGCAGCGTTAGGGTTCCTTTAAAGATTTCCTTAGGGTTTCTTTAAAGGGATCCGTATAGGGTTTCTTTAAAGGGATCCTTATAGGGTTCCTTTAAAGGGATCCTTATGGGGTTCCTTTCAAGGGATCCCTAGGGTTCCTGTAAAGGGATCCTTATAGGGTTACTTTAAAGGGATCCTTATTGGGTTCCTTTAAAGGGCTCCTTTGAGGGGATCCTTAGGCCTATGCCCTGCATCCTAAAATTCTTGGTTTAGAGTTCGGGTTTAGGGCTTAGGGTTTAGGGGTTAGGGCTTAGAGTTTAGGGATTTAGGGGTTTGGGGTTTAGGGCTTAGGATTTAGGGGTCGGGCCTGGGAAGTTGACATCAGCTTCGACGCGGAACTCGAGTCTATCGTCCCACTCCCCTTTAAAGGGACCCTTAGGGTTAGGCTTCCTTCATGAAAGGGATCCCTAGCGTTCCTTTAAAGGGACCCTTAGGGTTAGGAAAAAGAGCAGAAAGGAATACACAGAAAGGGCACATGCAAATACACTAAAATATGGCTGCAACAGGATACAGGGTTGGTGTTGTGATGTATATTGATTTAGAAAACAGGAATAGGCCATTCCAAACCTACCGCGACCTTCATGGGTCTGAAGGCGTAGACCCCAATCCTTAGCCCTAAAACATCCCCAAGCCGGGTTTATGGCTCCTGCGCATGTGCTGAAAAGGGTATAATAGGAGCCCCTTAAGGCTTTCAGAGGCTCCAGGCTTTTGGGATCTACTCAGAGGATCATGGGACTTAGTGACTAGGTTATACTCATAATTACTTGTTGCCTCAATCAAGGTACTCATAACCATACTTACTAAGTCCGATGATCTTCCAAGCCGTTAGGTTCAAAAACTCGAAGCCCCGGGTGGGGTCATACAGGGTCCATCATTCGCCTTTCCTGCAGAAGGCCATGGAAAACGAGAACACACTTCATCGGGCATAAGGAGTACCAGTTTCTGGGTGTGCTTGAGACAACGGAGTACCCCAAATCCTAAACCCTAGACCAGCAGCGCTGCCATGCATCCAAAGAGGAGTCTGCGGCTGAGGAGTTGTAGAAGGGTTTTCGCAGCCCTCGGATCGTCCTGGCATGCTTCTTAGCACTCCATGCTCTTTACCATAGGGGCCTTGATAATTACCTGTACTGATTTTTGGGGGGATTCCTTATTTAGTATAATGGGATCTGAAACCCTATTCTAACTAATAATGCCCCCATACTACCAGGAACAAGCCAGGACACCAACTGGTTGATTGTACGTGAGCCGTGCGCATGGGAGGTTATCCGTGTATAGCAACCATAGGCACCTAAGTATTCCTGCTGAGATCCCGAGCAAAGACCTTGCAAACCCTTCGAAGAAACCCATCCACAGCCTTGCAACAGCCACCTAGAAACCCAATAAAGCACACAGGAGAAACCTACAGACAGCCACAGAAACCTATATATATATATATATATATATATACATATATATATATATATATATATATGCTCCCCCCCCCCCCCGCTAAGACCCGCAAGAACTAGTAAAAGATCCTGATAATTCACTCCAGCATTCCTACATGTGCTATCCACGCGTGTGCAAAATACGGTGTAGACAAGATAGTCTAGTGAAGTATTGCTGTTATCTGCTTCATAACTAGATTTATAAATATTCTTATAAATATTTGAACAATTTGATACAGCATTACTGCAAATAATGTTCGGAAATTACGCAAAACACAATATAATCAAGATAATCTAGTGAAGTAGTGTTTGGTTGTCTGCCCTGGAGCAAGAAATGTAAATATTCTTGTAAAATTTTAGACAATTTGATACAGTACTAGTACAATTGCTATTGGGAATTACGCAGAACACAATATATCTAAGATAATCTAGCGAAGTATTAACACGGCATCATACATGTGTTTGTTTGATATAATTCTGCTCATAGCAGGTGGGAGCCCACCTTCCCAAGTTCTCCAATTTCTTCACCTATATCATATTTTGAGCCACCCTAAAATTAAACATTGTTTTCCGTGCTGGCAAATATTTCAGACTAAGAGCCACTATATTCAATTTTCCCCTTCTCACTGCCATATTATAAGAACTGATTGCTTCGTTGGAAGTTCCGCAAAACGTATTTCCGCAATTATTGTTTGTATGAGCCAGCCAAACAGGAACAGATAACCAAACAAACTCCGGAGAAAACATCGAAGAGGAAAAGGAGTGCTTTTAATTGGCACACAGACAGACAAATTTCAATTTCCATCGTAAGCCCTAAGCCCTAAAGACCCTAGACCCTAAACCCTGAACCCTCAGCCCTAAGCCCTAGTCCCGAAGCCCTGGGTGTAGGTTCCAGGTCCCCTTGAACGAACATAGCTGTTGATTAACTGACTCATTGCACAATCTGACATGATTTGGATGAGAAGCCTGCTGTCTTCTAGAACCATTGACAAGCTAATTTCCCTACATCGGCTTAATCCTTTCCCGTTGTAGGAAGTCACCCCTGAGAATTGAAATTAGTATTGGGCCCGGCGTGCAGAACATTAAGCGGGATTTGGGTTCGGCCTGTTTTGCAGCCCACGAACCCTGAAATTCTACATGTCTGTGGCCTGCGGCCTGCAAGTCACCGCAGCACTACATTCTCGAAACCAAGGCTGCCCGCAAGTAGACTAAATGTGTGCTTAAACCGTTTGAAATGGTTAGCTCCTTATCTTGATATAAGCAGAAAATTTAACCGATATGCATTTAGATATGCCCACATGCAGATTAGAGGCTTCATTTTGGCAATGATAGTGGGTTCCTACACATGAGTTGGACTGATGAATGGCCAAAAGACAACTAGTCTGGCACATGACAAATGAAAATGAAGATCTAAGCACAACGCTATAGAATGGGATGTTTACTTAGTATTTCAAGTATGTAACCTGATTAACCACCGGCATGAAGAAGCCACAAAAAGCTTTCACATAGGTTAACTTTTTGAATGATGCCGCTATTTGGATTTATGTTGAAAAGAAGCAAACAGGGTCTTTACACACACACCGGAACAACAAATTTTTCTTGCCTTGGCACTACCAGATTCCTTTATGCGCACATGTATCAGCCTCTGTGCTTGAGACAGAAACGAAATCTGGATGTCATGATGTTTCACAGGTTGGCACAAAGTCGCAGGTTTTCAGATTCGCGAATTCGCAGATTCGCAGATTTGCAGATTCGCAGATTTGCAGAGTCTTAGATTCGCAGATTCGCAGATTGTATAGCCTTTGCGATTTGGCAATCTGCGAATCTGCGATTCTGCGAATCTGCGAATCCGCGAATCTGCGAATCTGCGAATCTGGGAATCTGCGAATCCGCGAATCCGCGAATCTGCGAATCTGCGAATCCGCAAATCCGCTGAAGTATCCGTCACAGCGAGGCCCTTTGAGCATCAGGTACTTACACGTCGCGTCGCGAATCCCTCAAATTGAGAAGCCCTGAAAGACCCTGAACGTTATTGCAGTTGCATCCATGCCCCGATGAAGTTGGGCAAGTCGAGACTACCTGACAGCAAAGCGTGGGTTTTGGGGGGGGGGGGTACCATATATATATATATATATATGTATATACATATATATAATATATGTATATATATATATATATATATATCTGCGGACAGCTTCTGAAAACCCGTTAGAGAATGCCACAGAAACCTATACAGGACTGTGGACAGCTTCTGAAAACCCTTTAGACTTTAGAGAATCAACCCTAGACCCTGCGTCGAAATCCCGCAGCCTGTTTTTTAACGTTAGCAAACCCTGAACCCTACGTTGAAATCCCGCAGCCTCCTTCAAGACCCTGCCAGGAGTGGTTTACATCCACGACCATCGGATCATGCACTGCGACCTCAAGGATTTACTTAGGGTTTAGGGTTTAGGGTTTAGGGAATCATTTTTAATTTTTGGTTATTATAATCCCTAAGAAACAGCTAAAATTACAATTTTTGCTAGGGCTCTAAGTTCGGTATAGTTTAGGGCGTAGGGACTTTAGGGGTTTAGGGCTTCAGGGGGTTTGGGTTCAGGGTGTAGGGCTTTAGGGTTTCAGGGTTTAGGGTTTAAGGTTTATGGTTTAGGGCTTTTAGGGGGTTCGGGGTTCAGGGTGTAGGGCTTTAGGGTTTTAAGTTTGGGGTGGGTGTTAAGGGTGTAGGGTTTCAGGAGTTGGGGGCCAACCACAAAGGCAAAGGGGCCCCGGCCAGGGTGCGGTGAGATTGTTCTCGTTCTGGTGGTTGTGGTTATTGTGGTTGACATTCATTATCATATCGATGTTAATGTTGCCCAAAGGGTTCAAGTAGTCCCTATTTATGGTTTTTGGTACCCAAAAAGGCCCTAAAGTCCTATAGTAGGGAGTACTTGGACCCTCTTGAACAGACACGCCCCTGACTCCCCAAATGAAATCATTTGAGTGTTCTCGATGCCCCCGGCTGCACGCCCGTCGAGGTATCTGCCCGCATATAAACAGTACCGTACTCTCTGGACTGGAGGCTCTGCATAAACATAAACCTTGGGTTTGCACTACAGATATATTAGGCCCTCAGTGGTAGCCCATCAAGCATCGACTGTCACTGTATGGGGAGGAAGTACCCAACATAAACCTACCCTTCGAACCGGAGAAGCAGTCCCTAAAACCGCCGCTCGCCTGAGCTTAGCAGGAGTCTAATGTCATGATCGCCAACGGCTCCGACGCTCACCACAAGCCATTGGCAGCCCCAAGAGGGAGGGTTGTCATGAATACTGCTGTGTAGAAAAAGTATATGCATACATGCATACCTACATACATACGTACATATATATATATATATATATAGATAGATAATATGTATATGCACATGAATAAGCGCTAAAGGTACGTCGCAACGGTGCATGCTCAGGCTTCACTGCTGCAGTTCTGGCTAGAAGTTGTGAGATTGGTTTTTGAATAATTGGCGCAAGACTGTTTCGAGACTGCCACGTCGGCCTCCGCCCTTCAGCACCCCTTACCCAAGCTTATTTAGGGACCCAAAAAGCACATAAGCATAAGCATTTTATAGGGATATCCCTACCTTATTGGGCTTCATTATAAGGGGATGTATATGGGATATCCCTATCCTCATTTTTGCTTATGTGCTTTTTGGGGGCCCTACTTATATCTCTCCGAGGATTAGACTCCTCTCGGAGGCCTTAAAACATTGCCGAAAGCCCTAGAGAAGACCCCGCACCCTAAAATCCGCCGGGGGTTGTAGGCGACGGCCGACGGAGTCAGGGACGTAGAGAGTTCGGTTCAGCCCCAAGAGCACCCAACAGGGGCTATCAGGTCCATACCATACAAACATACGAACCTGATGCCTAGTAGGACCAAGGACGGGGCGCAGAATCCTGAGGTCTCTGAACCTAAAAATGTTTAGGGTTTAGGGTTGAGGGTTGAGGGTTGAGGGTTTAGGGTTTAGGGTTGAGGGTTTAGGGTTTAGGGTTGAGGGTTTAGGGTTTAGGGTTGAGGGTTTAGGGTTTAGGGTTGAGGGTTTAGGGTTTAGGGTTGAGGGTTTAGGGTTTAGGGTTTAGGGTTTAGGGTTGAGGGTTTAGGGTTTAGGGTTGAGGGTTTAGGGTTTAGGGTTTAGGGTTTAGGGTTGAGGGTTTAGGGTTTAGGGTTGAGGGTTTAGGGTTTAGGGTTCTTGCTACCCAGGATTGGGCATCACCCCATGTTGTCATCATCGACTTCGACATGGCCAAGGATTATTCTGGCAGGCGGAAAGGAGGCGTATCGGCTCAGTAGAAGCGGAGTCTCTTAGGCTGTGACGTCCGTGTTCTTGTAGCGACTGGTAGGTTCACGGATGGGGTTCCAAAGTATGTGAATTAAACAGGTATTTGGGTTTGTGAGAATTTAACGTCCCCCCCCCTCGCGCGGTTTTCCCACATTGTTAACACGAAAGCGCTAAATCCCTAAACGACGAACACGAGAACCCTAAACCTTACGAGCCTTGCAGACTTCAAAGCCGGAATCCGTCCTGGCCCTGTACCTTGAAGCCCTATGATATTTAGGGACGGTGATTTCCAGGCGGATTGCTGAAAAATCTGAGCCTACACCCTAAGCCCTAAAAGACTAAATCCTAAACCGTACAAGCCCTCAAGGCACTCCTGGCTACATGCCCCCAGAAGTCTGGCAGTCCGATCTCTGGACGCCGAAGGCCTCTTTCGGCTTTCCGGGCATCTTTGAAGGGCTTAGAGGGTTCAGTGTTTACTGTTTTGGCCTTGTAGGGTTTAGGGCTCTCAGATCGAGGGTTTAAAGGGTTTACGGTTTACGGGTTGATAGGGTTGATAGGGTTGATAGGGTTTAGGATTACGGGTTTAGGGTTTAAAGGGCTTACTGATGCAGGGTAAGAGGGGTGTGCTGAGTGCTGCTTTGGACGTCGGCATCTAAGGGGTGGCCGATGTAGGTGCTTGTTTGACGGGTTTATGCACCCTAAACCCTTTCAGGTTGTTGACGGTTTGTGTGGCTTTCGGTCTTGGTGGACAGGTTTTTTGAGGCGCTCAGGGCTTCAGGCTTTTAGGGCCGTTGGGCTTCAGTTGTTTTCGTGGCTTAAATGCTTCTGATTGGCGGCTTTCGGGTGAGGCTTTTGCCGGCTTATGAACGGCTATCAGTCCAGGGGTGCAAGCTTTTTGCCGTGTTTGTGGGGCTTAAGTTTGTGGCCGTAGTGCTTCTGTCTGCTTCTTTAGTCGGTATCCACTGCTTTTACTTGGGGCGTGTGTTTTAGGGAGTTTTTTGTTTCGCTCTTTGATACTTTGGCTTATCCGGGTTCGTCTTCCTAGCATTTAGGAGGTTGGAGCTCAGGAGAACCGTTTCGGGTTTTGGGGGTTCGAAGCCTCGGACAGTACTAGAGTTTCAACGACCTATAATAGTAAGGTGGGTAACCTCTACGCCTGTTGGGTACTACTGCTCCTACGTAATCCCTCAGCCTTTGTAACCTTTAGTTCCCTAGGATAATGGACAAGTAAGACGACGCGTCGATCCCTGTGCTGCGGCAGGTTGCAGAACACTCGACTGCGAGATCCGTAAGACTAACAGGAAAATTGATGATGATAATACTATCTAGTAATAATAATGATAGTGGCTACGGCTATGATAATGATAACAATAACAATAACGGTAAAAAAGCAATAACAGTATCAATAATACTAATGTTGACAAGATGTACCCTATATACCCTCTACCCTAAATATTATCGCTCAGCTGCTTATTCTGAGGCTTCGAACTTGGGCTTTTAGTGCTTGTTGGGGGCTGTCGGTTTGACATTCGAAAACTCGGGTTCTGGTCCTACGCCACAGAAGCATCTCCAGACCCCACTCTGCCCACCCTAAACCTTCGCCGAGAGCCTGGCATTCAAGCTGAACAGGCATCGCCCTGAAGGTAGCAGGCGCCTTAAGCCGCATGTGGGCTAGTACAGGGTTCGAGATATCGGGATGAGCAACGGTGCATCATCAGTTGGTGGAGCCACTCGCGATAAGAGTCTAGCATCGTCAGTCGGAAACCCCTCAAAATATCGTTGTTGCCGGTACGATTGGAGCACCTCCGCGCCAGGGCGACGTTTTTGCGCTGGGAATTCTCTTCTGGGCAGCTGCATGGCTTGTTTGGAGGTATGAGGTATTTGGGGGTCAAGATTCTGGTTTGGGGGGGCGCTAGTATCCCAACTGTGCGGCCCTTCAGATAAAGATCCTGCTAGTCAGCTGTTCATCTTTTATACTGGGTTGTCCGTAGGACCCAGGAACCATTGGTCATTTCTATTGTAGGCCCGAGGAGTTGGCATTTTGATGTTGGGTCCGACGCGCCTACTTACAGCCCTACAGTGGTTGACATTCCCACAGAGCCCATTGGCACAAGACCGCAAATCCAAGCTGCAAATCACCTGAGGGTCCATGTAGCCGAATAGTATACGTGGCATGTTGGCCTTTAAGTACTCCGGTCCCTATGTCGGTGCATTTATATACTAGTTCCCAGAGGGTCCAGGTACCCAAATAGTATATTAGGGTTTCAGGTCCCAAAATCCATACTCTGAATGGTTTGGGGACCTTGAAACCCTACTATCTGGGTACTTGGAGCCTTAGGGTTTGGGCACATGTGCCCTGAGGGAATGCCACGCCGCGAACTGAAGGTCTGAATCCGCAAAACCAGGTGAAGTCGAACCTTTCTTCTATTCAGAAGACCGCAAGCCTCAACTCACAATTTGCAGTCCTACCCTGAAATAGTCGAAACCCCTATGCACTGAGCGTAGATTATTCCTCGACAGGGTTTGGGGTTTATAGGGTTTAGGTTGAAGTCTTCAGCCCACAACCACGAGATGCGCCTTGCAAGCGTTGCCCCGAGGTCTACAACCGCAAGGAGGGTGGACCCTTCAACGTTCCTTGGGGCTGTTTCAAAGCTCTGGGTACTTCTAGCTAGCATTTCTCGCGGTAGGGCCTTGGGACTATTCAGATTTTCTCTTATTGGGCTTAAGAGGATCTTACCTACTAATATTGTTCAAAGGCTTTAAACGCCCCTCCTAGCTTCTGCAGTGACTAATGATGAATGGCTTCCTTCGGAGGAAGCGACGGAATGAAGGGTAGCAGGTATTAGCCGGGAGTCCTTCGGCAGGGTTACTCAGCCTCAAACCCCAACTACTTTACAATCCTCGCAGAGCTTTCAAAAGCACCCTTCGTTTCAAATCTGGAATGGCAACTGCACTTCAGTCGACTAAAACGGGCTTGTACAGACTGTTGGCTTTCAGGAGTGGGTTTGGGGGGTTTAGGGTGTAGGGGGTAGGGCGGTGTTGGAGTGACTGGTCAGCCGCCGACCCGTACGAAAGACTGTAACGGGGATCCTAATATCACTACGCAGGACCGACCATTAAGGAGCAATTACAGGAACCTGAAGAGGAACCCAGAAACGAAGCCAGAAAGAAACCCAAAGGGAAGCCTAACCGGAACCCGGAAAGGAGCCCTTAAGGAAGAGGGATCTACGAACCCGGGGTCTACAATGCTCCGCTTTATCCTGCAAGCTTTGGTCCGGCATTGGAGTCTTGGATTCCCGGTTTCTGTTTAGGCTTTAGGGGGCTTTCGGGGTTTAGGGCTTACAGGGTTTAGGTCAGGTGTTAGGTGGTAGGGGTTCAGCGTGTACAGTTCAGGCCAAAGGGTTCCAACTTTCTGGTTGATCTGTAAATAGGGTTGATCTTCTAGGGTTCAGGGTCTGCGGTTTGGGGTGCAGGATGTTGCCAAGGACGAAGTATACAGAGGTCAGGGTTTGGGGATTTGCTGTAGCGTCCGGACATGATCATAAGCCCTGATATAGAGTGAAAGGAGACCTGTGCAAAAGTAGGTTCTGATAGGTTAGGTCGATACCTAGACCCCCCCAACTACCCTCCATCATACCCCAGATACTGTACCCACGATTACTTGAAGGCTCATGGGACTTAGTAAGTCAGGTTATAAGTAGGTTATAATTAGGATAACCCCACTTAGGGGACTTATAACCCCAATTACAACCTAAACCCTAAACCCTAAGCCTACCTACTAAGTCCCATGATCCTCTCGATTCTCCGTCCCAGGTGCCAGACGCACCTCCTTACGCACGGATCCAGCTGCCTGACGGTCAGTACGGTTTCTGGTTTGAGGGTTACCGTAGGGTTTAGGGTTTACAAGTAGGGTAAAGTTTCCGTTCTGCTTTGGGCCTTAAGTTCCATGGTGTATTTGGTATTGAGTCTGTTTGGACCTATGCGGAACCTTATTCCTGAACAAGTCTTTTCGTTTCGAAGGATGGTCGAGGTGATTGTCTTTAGGGCTCGATTGCAAGTACACGAATAGCAAGGTGTTAGGTACCAACCACCAAGATAACCAACAACCACAACCGCTACAAGTACCAGCAACCCTTCAGAGTAGAGTAGCTAGGACCTAGAACCCTTTAATTTGAATCTGGTTACTTGGACATCCTATTTGTGGTTTTTCAGGTACCTTGCCAAGGCCGTCTCCGAAAGACGCACAAAACAGGAGAACCATTGAGCCGAGGGTTATGGTCGATGCTTTTATAAGGGTTTACGGTTTATGGCGGTTTGGGAGTTCAGCATTCGGTGGAAGTTGGGACGGTTTGCATTGCTTAAGGCTGCAATATCTGGGGTGTAATTCGGGATCACTTCTTTCATGTGTCCCCAAAGATTCTTTGAAAGACTGTTCCTTAAGCCCTAAGCTCTAACCTCTACCCGAAGCCCATACAGAACCCGGAAAGGACCCTTGCAGGAACCCAAAAAGAAACACTAAAACACCCTTCAAGAAATCCTGAAGCAATGCTTAAAGGAACCCTTCAACGAACCCCTCCCTAAACCCTAAACCCTAAACCCTAAACCGTGGCTCCCCTCCCCCGAAGGAACCTTAAACCCCAACCCCTAAAGAGCTCAGGGTTTCGGATACAAGAGCCGCTATACAGGGGTTTCCGAAAATTAAGGGTACCTTATTTTGGGGCCCTTAAAAATAAGGATCCTACCTTTTTAGGGTACTATGTTAGGGTCCCCCATTTTCGGAAACTCCCATACCCCTCAATTCAGGGTTATACCTTTATATTCTGATTTGAACTATATTCCTTAATTAATTGAGGGTAGGTAGGGTCCCCATTTTCGGAAACTCCCATATGAACAGCTTTCGGGAACGCTTCAGGCTCATGACTCTCCAGTCGCACGTCGACGCCTCCATGTACCTCGTCCGAAGACCTTCAGTAGGGGTTTAGGGGTTTGAGGTTTAGGGTTGTTTAGGGCTGAAGGGTTTTTGTGGTTTAAGGGTTTTAGGGTTTTCGCTTTTTTTGGTGTTTAGAAAAGGGTTTCTTGATTCGATCGTTCCCTTAAACCTCGACCTACAGCAAACGCCTGAAGCCGGATCTTCTATAACCAAAAACGCTGTAAATCCTAAACCTTGAACCCTACATAAACCCTACTTAGAGGTTCATGGGTGGCTATAAGTAGGGTTGTAAGTACCCAAGAAGCATATACTTTGGGCCCAATGTGCCCATATAGGGAATACTTTGAGGCCAAGGTGTATACTATTTGGGCCCATGGACTCTTAGGGAATAGTATTGTCAGACAGAAGAAAACACAAACGACACAACGCAGATTGCCGATCCAAACAGGCTCCCGGCTGGTCTCCGAGAGACAACACTGGAGATGACCAGGCGGCTGGGCCTCTGTTTCAAGATCCTTATACACATATACATATATATGTATGTATATATGTATATGTATGAATGAATGAATGTATGTATGTATGTATGTACATATGTATATGCATATTTCTGTATATATATATATATATATATACATACATATTGCACAAACACAGAGAGAGAGAGAGAGAGAGAGAGAGAGAGAGCGAGAGCGAGTCATAGGTTGTTGTGCTGACTTTTTTTGTTCAGTGCCCGTTGGTATGTGTTTATGGGAAGTCAAAGGATTTTGGGGTCTGAGGTGCTTTGGGTTGAGGATTTGGAGTTTGGGCGAGGTCTTTAGAGCTTATGGGTCAGGATTTGGGGTGAGGGCTTCGAAGCTGGGTAAAGTCCATGATGCATCCCCTAAACCCTAAACCCTAAACCCTTAACCGTAGTGTTCTGGCTTTGCGGCCGGGGTGGTCCGCGCCCGGCTTTGGAAAGACATACCGACAGCTGGGATCCCAAGGTTTGCGATTGAAGCTGACCTAAGTCTAAAACTTAAAAAGACGGGTTTGAATAAGTGGTACCTGCACCAAGGAATTGCAGATACCCAAAGACCCCAAAGAACTGTTCTAATTCTTCAGGCTCATATACTAAACACACCCTTACATCAATCCTTTCTAGAACCCGTAAGAGGAACCCTTGACAGGAGTCCTGCTTTAATCACTAAGGCTCCTAGAATACTCTCGGCCTGCAACCCTTTTCGATATTCGGTTTTCAAAGAGCGTACTTTTCGAGGGCTTATATGCTTGGAGGATCATGGGTAGTTATAAGTGGGGTTACAAGTCTCCTAATCTGGTTTACAAATATAGTGTTACCTTGCTTTTAACCCTACTAGTACCTATAACTTCCCATGAACCTTCAAGTAGGGTAGGGAACCCTGAAAAGGTAGGTGTCTTAGCTTGTAGGGCTCCGGGTTTCCTGGAGCGCAGGAAAGATTTCAAGCTCCGGCCAACAGCAGATAAGGCCCGGCAATGCGCAGAGGGCTAGCGAGGGTTCTGTCTGGCTTGCGCGAAGTGTTCAGGAGTTGTGGGATTTGGGACTCAGTGCATAGAGCTTCGAGTTTAATATAGGGCCTTTAATACTTATACTATTTTGGGGGTTCCTTGTTGTAACTATAGTATGATGGGCGCCAAGACCCGATTCTCATTATTGGCGCACCTGTTGTTCTGCTTTTGGTTTGGGGCTTGTCTTGTCGATCATTTCGCCTGGAGTTGTTGTTGGTACGGACTGGAGAGTTTCACGCACTTGGGTCTTGCCTATAGTCCCCATTGTACTTCCTTTTTTGGGGTTACCCCACAAGATCCTTAATTTGTTAGACCAGGAAAACCACAATGGAGACTCCAGGTGGGTTTCAGGGTTTGGGGCCCGTGTGAGTATCTGTCTTTCAGAACCTCGCACTCTGAACCGCCAAAAACACCTTGATCTCAACCATGACATATAGTAGTAGAGTAAGGCACCGTAGACTCGTAGACCGCTTTGAGATTTTTTGATCCCTTTTCAGTCCATTGGTGGTTGGCATGCTCCTCTTTCGGTGGAGAGCACACTCACGCACTACGAATGTTCAATGTGCATCTCGTCATGTATGCAGATGAAGTGTGTCTCAATCTGACGCTGTTGCTCTCGCAGCTGAGTGGCGGACGAAGTCTGCCTAGCTGAGCACTCTGCTCAGGGAACCTGATAAGTCAGTCGCCTGCCGTCCTCCCCGGTCGGAGTGGAGGCACTGACCCAGTGCAGATCACATGGGGGTCGCCGAGGTGCAAAACCAGAACACAAAACGAACAAACAACCACCCCCAAGGCACCGCCCACGGACCTGCGAGTACCCCCTCGCTAATTGCCGGATGCGGGCTCCTTCACCCACGATCGTGGCATTAGCTACGGATTCGGCTTACTTACTTGCGTTGGATTTCCTCCAACAGGGCCTGGAGCTCTCGCTCAAGACCGCCCTTGGGAGCTAAGCCGAATTTTTCTTCCCCTCCTTGCGTTTAAACGCTAGGAAAAAGGCGTATGCCGGAACCTCAAAGGCCGTGTCGGAGCCCCTCCAGAACCCGATGTTCTTTGATGATGAGACAGCAGTCACACATTATTTTTAGTAGTCATGCTTATCGTGATGATGACGATGGGTGCCTGCGACAGTGTAAACCCTAAACAGCCTAAGCCCCAAACCAGTCGCAATATTGCGAGATCATCATGGTGCAAGCGAGGCTCCTTTTCGCACTAAGTCCTTTTCGCACTAAGTCCGCGAACATCCTCCAGAACTAACGACAGCCTGCAAGAATCGACCCGCAACACTAAAGCTTAGGGTTTAGGGTGGAAGTGAACGCTAGAAACCTATAGCATCCTGAACCCAGCCTGACCAACCCCCCTCCCCCAAAAAAAGAAAAAAAAAACATAAAAGCAACAGCGAACAAAGCCTCAGCCCCGAAAACCGAGAACTGCTGTCCTTTTGTACAGCCCCCCCCCCCTGCCCCCCAACAACCCCCAAAGCCACAACATAACCGAATACATGGGCAAAGTGTAACAGTGACATTGGACGGCCCAAATCCTAAACACCTCAAACTTCATCTGGAGGTCCTGAAGACACCTTACTTTCAGCAGCTTCCCGCACAGCTGCCTCTGGCGCGCCTTGGGGAGGGAAGGGACGGTTATGGGATCGCGAAGAGTCTGCGGGTGTTTCGACAGTTGGTACTGGGGTTTGGTTTCGAAAGAGGAGTTGTGGAGAAGTACCACCACGGTGTTACAAGGCTATACAGGTTTTCAAGCGAATTTACTCGGACTGCTGTCGGTCGTGGTAGGGCTTCTGCAGCTTGAGGTCTTCTAGGACCCATAGTAGGCCCTTATTCCCTTTTTGAGGGTTTAGGTTCCCTTATAGCACCCTTTAAACCAAAAAGGGCACCCTTTTTACTCCTAGGTTACTCTTAGGTCTAGTCTTGGGGTATAGAAGTTTAGGACTTGGAGCATAAAGGACTTTTGGCTTGTGCTCAAGGGCTGGCTTTGTTGTGATTTAGGGCTGTTTTGGGTTTAGGGCTTAGGGGGTTCGCTGCCCGAACAAGCTACCAAGCCTACTTGTTGAAGCTCATCGTACCCGCCCGCGGCGAAAGTGCCATTGACAACATTCCGTGAGGGTCCGTATGTCAAGTACCGAGATTGTAGCGGGTCGGGTAGGGCCCTGTCAAAGTCTTACACCCTATAAACCCTGAAGCCCTAAGAAACACAAGAATTTGTGAAGTCAAGAAACCCTGTGGCCACCGGAAATTTTAGCTGGGCATGCAAGCAGAACTCCTAGTGACCCTTTGGCCGTGCTGCTTTGATGCCTGTCTCCGTGTCTGTCATTGTGAACTGAGCAGCGGTGTCCCTCGTTAATGTGCTTGGATAGTGGGCATTGCGATATCTTCTACAGTTTATCTCAGCATGTAGCTGGGTGAACGCAACGAAAGATTTTTCTGGAAGGTTAGGTAGTTAACTACTAATGAACTTCGAAGGTGTTTCTTGGTTTTACATAACTGCTCAAGTTTATGATGAAGGGCCTGGGAAAGACCTCTATGAACCCCCAAGCAGTTTTGGATTGAGTGTGTGACAGTCGAGCTTTGTGGGTTGAAGGTTTTATGTCTGTGGTTACGGCTGTGTCGTGGTGCCGACATATTGGTTTCGGCAGAGCGAAGTAAAGAAGTTACCACAACAACCTTCAGCAGAAACCCTACTAGTCCAAACAAGTTTTTGATGCCGCTGTATTATGCCCTAAATCCTGTTACATCCTTCGCGCACAGCCTAAATCGTAAGGCCTCAAGCCCTATAGGCTCCAAAACTGCATACAACCCTACACCATGGACCCAAACCTTCGAAAAGGCAAGTCGGAACACTTGGAAATATTGCACCCTCAATGCCCCCTACCTAATTCTTCCGTGAAATATGTCCCACACCCTGTTCAAGTTACTATGCCCGTTCGGGGTTTGACGCCAGTCGAAAGTGAATGTTACTGGCTGTATAGAGCACCCTTAGTGTCCATCTGTGGTGTGCTTGTTGTGGCTTTAGAGGTTCATGGCAGTTATAGCTATGGGTTCTAGCAAGGTTGTTGGTGTTTGGTGAATTTCAGTATGGCTGCACCCTAGTTGTAGCCCTACTTACAGGGCCGCTGAACCTTGAAGTAGGTCTGCTCCCTAGACCTAGAGTGCCCAATACCCCTTAATCAAGGAATATAAGAATGTAATATAAATCATAACCTGAAGCCCAATATAGTTAGTTTCAAGTATATTCCTTAATCAAGGGGGTATTGAGTATTGGCTCTCTGGGGACCCTGCACTCGAAGTCCTCGGCCTGCGCAGGATCCGGAGCTAGTGAAAGCCGTGGATCAGATGGGCGAGAAGAAGCAGATTCAGAATTTGCTGGCACACGAGCTGATCTCCAAGGACAGATCATTCCTAGGGATACTCAGAAGTAATTTTTTATTTTTGGTTATTATAATCCCTAAGAAACAGCTAAAATTCTAATTGTTGCTAGGGTTCTAAGTTCAGTATAGACCATTGGGCAAAGAGAACCCTAAACACGGGACTCCAACTCTGAATTTTGAGCTTAGGGTGTTAGGCTTGAGGTTTGGGTGTGTGAATTCTGGAGTTACACTCCTCCCATGCTTGTCTAAGTCTACAAGTACATCTTATATAGTAGCTGCCCCCACCCTGTAATAGTCACTATAAGGATCATATTAGGGCCCTATTATATTCCTATTGTACCACTATTACAGGGTGGGGGCAGCTTCTAAAGTATATCGATACATTCCTCAAAAGGCTCGCCGACATGAGCCCCTATCGCAGTGCCCGAAGCTGAACGTGCGGTCCTGGGCTCATACCAGCTTGTTTGAAGCGCGCAAGCAGGTTTGTTCTTCCAAGTCGGGGCTCGCAACAAAATTCCCCCACCCAGCCGTAAGCCCCATAAGCCCTAACCACACACTTCGCGCCCTATTCTCTTACATCTCTTACATTAGAGCCCTAAAGCTCTGGAGGAGAATCTGGGACAGCTTCATAACTTGCGCCACGGCTGCTGTAGTGAGAACCTGAGGGAAGTGTTGAGGGCTTTGGGTTCAGGGCCGAGTATTACTTGTAGTACTCTTGGGCTTAAGGTTCGAGGTTCGGGGCTTACATTCAACTAGCTGGGCTATGATGTGCTGTGTTGTGCCGCGCATTGGAATGATGTATAGCTCCACAAGAGTCTGAGTCTCGGGCGAGCTATGGTCTTTACGTACGTTGCCATTATAGCGGTTGCATCCGAAATCCTAGACCCTAAACCCCAAACCCTAAACCCTACACCCTAAACCCTAAACCCCTGAACAGGAACCCTAAACCCCTCACCGAACTCTGTGTGCACCGGTTCGGCGTGTCGGAAAGCCATGTTCGCTTGGGCGACTTCGCATCCGTTCGGCCCACAGTCTTGGGGCCTATAGGGTTTAGGACTTATGGCTTGAATGGGTTTAGGGCTTTTAGGTGCATAGGTGTGATGCGTTAGGGTTTAATTAGGGGTTTAGGGTTTGTGGGGCTTATAACTGTTATGCACTAGGGTTTTGGGGTTTGGGGGTTTTAGGATTTATAAGTGTTCTGCATTAGGCTCTAGGGGTGTAGGGTTTGAGGGTCTTGCAGTTAGGTTTCACCCGTCGTGCTTCTGTTGGCACCAGAGGCCTGCACCTTGTCATGGGCCGCCAGTCTCCTCCTATACACCCTGCGTGAAACTACCATAGACCAATTTCTGTAGGCACTTTTGAAAATAAACCCCCAATAAAGAGTTGATGTGGACCCCACCCAGCAATAGGTTTTGGTAGTAAGCATCTAGGTTTTGGTAGAAACTCGCCAGCCCTAAACTCAAAGCGGCACACCCTGAACCCTCAATGAAAACTTACACCCGCATACCCTAAATTTGACATCACTGGTTCACCCCTGGTTGTCACATGTCTTGAGGTGTCCTCAGGGGTCAGCGTTGTTTTGTCCGGGTTTCAGGGTTGAAAGTTTGTCAGGGAAATTCGGCAGCACGTTTATAATGCACCCTAAATTGCAGAACAACGTCGTGATGTTTCGAAACGCAACAGGGTTTCGGTTGTACAGTGTAGTGTGGGGCATTTTGCACGTCGTAGTGAGCTTGTTAAGCCGCAACCTTCCAACCAACTTGACAATGATCTTGGTACGCAACGCCATTCACAGCACAACGTTCGAAAGCTGTCTTGCAGGTTTTGGGGCAGTTAGGATTGGGGCCTAGAGGTTCAGGCCTTATAGGGTTCAGTTTAGGATTTAGGGATGGGGGTATATAGAGCTTATAGCCACAACCTCGACCCTTAACCCAAGCTTCAAAGCCGAGGAACAGCCTCTTCCAGAGCCTGGATAAGGACAACAGCGGCACTGTGGAGGTGCAAGAGGCACTGGGTGGGGGGTTCGGGGTTTAGGGTTTCAGAGTTTATAGAGGGTTTAGTGAGAGTTTGGGTTAGGGCTTCTTGGGTTCAAGATTGGTCTGTAAGGTTTATGCTTGCGAGGTTTTTCGGCAGAGGGCTGTACACTAGAAAAGCCCTGCATCCGCCAGTAGCTGCGAGGGCTGGCGATGGTTGGTTTTTGAATCGTCAGTCTTCCGAGTTAACACTGATGCCGGGTCGTGGGGTAACTCAAGTGTCACCACAGAGGTCTGAAGAACTAAAGTAATCATCACATCCCTCGTGTTCCCTTGTATACATAAAGACAAAGTGCATTATCTTCCCGAAGCTTGTTCTACTTAGCAAGACCCCCAGAAGCCTTGAGCGCTGATAATGCTCTATAGCTTTGAAGGTTCTGTATTACTTAGTGTTTAGAGCTTGGCTTTAGGGTTTTAAGGGTTTTGGGCTCAGGGCTTCAGCTTAAAGGGCTTTAGGGCTCTATAAACTCTTGACCCAAAAAACCTAACTATAGAGGCCTTGAACATTACCTATACTATTCTGAGGGTTCCTGATTCTAACTTTAGTATAGTACAACCCAAAACCTCATTCTATTTCTTAAGGCCCGTTTCTTAAGCCCTGCAGTCAACCCCAGAAAGTTGGAACATGGATTTAGGATGATTAGTGCTAGGATTCCCCATACTTCACCTTAAGGGCATGAGGATAATGATCTTCCAACTTTCTGGCTTCTACTATATGATTATGAACCCTTGTAGATCCCTTTAAGAAACCCTAGAGATCCCTCTAAGGAACTCTATAGATCCCTTTAAAGAGCCCCTAGGGTCTTCGGTGAACTGGAAGGCCTTGCCCTGGCTGTGGTCAGGCTCGTGAGGTGCTCGAGAAGGCGGGCTTGAACCAGAACCAGATCGGCAAGCTCCTGGGACCCGGGAAACTCCTTTAAGGGTTTAGGGTTTAGGGGTTTAGGGTTTAGGGGTTTAGGGTTTAGGGTTTAGGGGTTTAGGGGTTTAGGGTTTAAGGGTTTAGGGGTTTAGGGTTTAGGATTATTTAGGGTTTACGGTGTGTAACAGTGTAACAGTATACGTGCGGTGGGTGCACTTTACTTTAGGAAGAGGGGCGCACCCACTAGTCGCGCGCTTGCGTCCCGGCCCACCCCAACTATTCTCAATTAGGGTTTAGGGTTCACCCCCCAAACCCCCCTCAAGGGGGGCTTTCTTGCTCTTTGCTTCCTTTCGCAGCTCGACACGTAAACAATTTTATTTCTCACGAAATCACTGGATTGCTGTCGGGTTGTGGGTCCTCGCGGCCTGTGCCGGCCGCTCGACGAAAAAGCATGGAGTAGGTCCAGCGGCGACAGGGCATACCAGACAGGGCAGAGGGCAGGGCACGGCAGGTCAGCAGGGCACTCTTTTGGGAAAATTCGGTGGTCCAGGATCCCCAGACCCTACAGTCTGCGCATGCTTTAACCCTCCCATACCGTTCTGGTTCTGACGGGACTCTCGGTCGGGGACCTCGGTCAGAGCCTCGAGCTCCCATGCAAATGGTCAGCGGCGCTCTCGGCATTTTAGGGTTTAGAGGGTTTAGAGGGTTTAGAGGGGTTTAGGGTTTAGGGTTCCTTGAAGGGCTCCTTTAAGGGCTCTTTTTCAGGGTTCCTTTAAATGGGTTCTTTTCAGGGTTCCTTTGAAGGGGTTCCTTTCAGGGCTCCTTTTAAGGGTTTCCTTTATAAGGGTTCCTTTAAAGGGGCTGCTTTAAAGGGATTTACAATGGTTTCTAGAAGTGAAGGGTTGCTTTTAGGATACTATAAGTGTCCTATTAGGGTACTACAGGGGTTTAGGGTTTAGGGTTCTGGGACCGGCGATTCCGTGATTAGAGTTGAGGAGAGAGACAGAGACTCGAAGCCCAAGCCCAGCCTTGAACGCTGTGACGCTGCACTACGCCCTACTTGGAGGTTCATGCGTAGATATAAGTAGGGATATAAGAGTAGGGCAACTATACTTGTCATCCATATTGGGGACGTATAACCCCACTTTACGCACTCCAAGAAAGAATCGCAAGATTTAAGCCCTCAGCCCTAGACCAACCCTAAGACTCTAAACCTTCAGCCCGAAGCCCTATACCCTGAGACTCTAAACCCCACGCCCTGTGCTGTAAAGCTGCGAGCCCGAAGCCCTCAAAACTGAGCACTCCAGCTGAAGTCCTGAGCTGCTACCTTAAGACTCTAAGGCCTACACTGAGGGTTTTAGGTGTTTAGGGGTTTAGCAGTCTAGCGCCCACACTCTAAGGGCTCACTAAACCCTAGGCCCTAAGCTTTACACCCCAGGCCCCTACGACTCCTCAACCCCATGCCGCAAGACTATCGACCTCCTCTATCTATAGTTCTCTAAATGATGGTCCCTTTTAGTGTCCTTCTTATAGAGTTTAGTGTTTACGGGTTTACGGCTTAGGATCCTTTTTTATAAGGCTGCCGTACTCTTTTTGTTACCTAAGAAGGGTCCCTACTTTAGAGAACTGTCCGTATTAGAGTCTTGACAGCCATTTGCCGAGGTTCCTCTCCGGACTTCTGGGTGACAAGGGCTCCGTGCATTACACCGCGCCTGGGCTGATCCAGGGGCTCCGGGTTTTAGAGGTTTAGGGGGCTTAGGGTTCAGGGTTTCTGAGTGATTAGGAACAGCAATATTATACCCTTTTAAAGAACGATTTGACCGTTTGTGAGCCCTAGGTTCGGTGATTAGGGTGTGGATGTTTTGGGCTCATGACTGTGGTGTATAGAAAAAGAGTCCTGAGCCGTAAACTCTAGGTAAGCGGGTTGCCGCTGCTTAATACACAAACGATCCTAATCCTGCTGCCAAAAACTGAGCTAAGTCCCAGACCCTACAAGCCTGAAGCTGTATCCTGATCCACAACCCTTTTCCTAAACCGAAACACTGGTCCTGAACCCTAAAACCCCACATCCACAACTCAGAAGCCCTGGGCCCTAGACTAAGTGACGGTTGGGGTTTTTTCAGAGATTCGCTTTACGCAAAATTTCCCATGCCGCAACAGGGCTGCGGGTTTCTGAGGGGGTTTTGTTTTTTGGGGTTTATGGTTGTCAACCCAACACCCTGAAGGTTTAAGTGCGCAAATAAAATAGCCCAGGGCTTTGGGATTCAACTACTATGCTCTCAACGGTCTTTGGTACCTACAAAGCCTAATTACCATTTAAAACATATGAGCACTTGGATCTTTCGGGACGGGACACCTGCCACTAGAGAGTGCCATGTTTTCCCGTGAGGGTCGAAGGATCCATACTTTAGAAGCTGCCCCCACCCTGTAATAGTGACTATAAGGATTATATAAGGGCCCTATTATATTCCTATTATACCACTAATACATGGTGGGGGCCCCTTCTAATCCATACTTCATAGGACTCTTGCGCTTAAGCACCATGCAACTATAGAATCAGATAGGTCTTATACAGGGCTTAGGGTTTAGTTGAAGTCTTAGGTTCAGGAGGAGTCTGTTTCTTGCTCCATGCAACTATGGGACCCTAGTTATGCAGTTATGCCCCTTAGACGGACCTTACACAGACGTAACCATTATAGTACGCATGGGCCTCTCCTCGTTAGTGGGTTTAGGGAACCCTGCACCTAAATCAGCCAATTCTATTTCGAAACCCAGAACACTAACACCAACACTAGACTGAAATCCAGTACTGCGTAGGGGCCTACTTAGTTAGCAATGCTGTTAATATTATTGCTTTGGGTTCCATAGTGTGAGTAGACTTAGACTGTTGTATAATTACATACTATACAATATACCCGAACCCTAGTCTTTTTCGTCCTAAACCAAAACCCTACGCCCTAAACCAAACCCTTCAAAAACAAGCAAACCCTATTCTAATAAAGCTCTATATTTACCTTTGGTTAGTAGGGAATGGAGGAATGGGGTACAATTATAAATTATAACTACTATTCCTACCATTCTTCCATTCCCTACTCACCAAAGGTAACTATACTAAACCCTAAACCCTAAGGTAACTATATTGGCCTTTGGCTCAGGAGTTCATGGCGAAGCTCGTGATGGCGCAGCGGGGCGTGCGAGAGGAGGCGCTGGGTTCACGGTTCAGGTCGCAGGATTTTGGGTTTAGGGTCCGGGGTTGAGGGATATAGGGGTTTAGGGATGTCGGGTTCAGGGATTTAGGGATTTAGGGTTTAGGGATTTAGGGGTTTAGGGATTTATACTTCAGGGCTGAATTTAGGGCTTAGTGGCCGATAGATGGACTTCATGTTTGCCTGCGTTGCCCAATCTCTGCCTGCTTACGGGCATGGGATCCGGCACGGAATCCTCCACACACAAAGTTTGCTGGATGCCAGAGCGTTCTGCAGCGCTTTCCAAGTCGATAGCCGTTGTAGGATCTGCTTAAAGAGAAATCTCGAAGGAATCCCTAAAACGTTTAACAGCATCAGAAACACTAAAAGCATGTTCAGCTTCAATTTGCTTGAAAGGTCCTTGGATCATGGAAGACCAGTACAACTTATAGGGAACTCCAGAAAGTTGGAATATGGATTAATGGTAGGATCCCCTATAATTTACCTTACAGGGGTTACGATAATGATATTCCAACTTTCTGGCTTCTACTGTATCCTGAGGGTCCATGTATCTAGGTACATTCCCTAACCTTAGGCCTGAAACCATAAACCTTACTTGGACCCTAAAGTAAAAGCCAGAAAGTTGGAATATGATTATCCTAAGCCCTTTATGGTAAATTATAGGGTATCCTACCCTGAAACCATATTCCAACTTTCTGGAGTTCCCTTTAGATCCGTATAAACCCTCAACCTACAAACCGTAGGTTATGAAGACTGAGGATTCAGAAACGTGGGTCTCATCGGTAGGGGTACTGGCAGTATCTAGTATCGGGGTTTAGGGGTTCAGCTTATCGAACGTACTATGCAGAGTCTGTACTAGGGTCTCCCATTTTTTGAAACTGACCGTTACCTTGGGCTGAAACTAAACCAGAAAGGGTACAACGCCACGTCATGAGCTTCGAAAACATGAACACCCCTGTACTATAAAGCGCTCGTAACTTAAAACCCCAGAAATCAAATATAGGCAATTGGGGTACAGAATACCATAAGCATACTATTGAACCCCCAATAGTATAGGTTGTTAATTAAAGCCCCTATCTTAAAGGAGATCGGCGCCGCCTTTGCATCCATTGACTTGGACGGCTCTGGGACGTTGGATGTGAACGAGGCCATGGGCTTTTATTAGGGTAATACAGGGGCCGTAACAGTTACAACAGGGTTCCTTTAGAGAGATCTTTTAAGGGATGCGGAGAGGGTACTACACGGGGACAGTGTTTAACATAGGCTGCTATAGGGCCTCATAAGTTTCTTTCTTTGGGTTTCTAGTGCTTTATATGGATCGTCTAGGTTTTTGGCTTTTGGATGAGGGCTAAATTTCCTTGTGAACCCTGAGGAATGTTAGTGGTCTGCAAGCCTCGGTAAAGACCTCTACATGCCCCGCACCAGCAGAGACGAATATCTTCCTTACACAACCTTAACCCCGAATAACATACGTACCTTTGGAAGGACTCATATAAGGAAATCGGAATATTAAAAAGGGTAGGTTACTCGGGGTTAAGGTGAACCTTGAATCTCGAACCTTCGGTCGATCCCCTCGCGAGGTGGCCGGCGGGTTTGTTAATATAGGGCCTTAATGATTGCCTAAACTATTTTGGGGGGTTCCTTATTATCGGAAAATGGCCCTAAAACCCTATTCGATTTTTAAGGCCCCTATAGTAGGCCCCCTCCTCGGTCTGCGGAACATCGACGCTTACCAGCGGCCTGGCTCCTCCGCCACACACCTTCGATGAACGCGGCGAGAGAAGAAAGCATCACCCTCTGGGCGAAGGGTGGTGAAACTAATTCTGTGCGTGAAGAAGGAGGAAGCCCGCGTCTAGATCTGGATAGGAAGATCAGGGGTGTAGGGTCTTAGGGTTTAGGGTTTTAGGGCTCAGGGTTTGGAGTTCAGGGTTTAGGGTTTCAAGGTTTGGGATCAACCCCACACCCTGAACCAGGACGACTAGGCCAGGGTTTTGAGTTTGGGTGTGGGCGACGGTTCAGGCTAGCCAATGTATCTGTGAGTTAAGAAAGCGAGCCTGAGAACCGGCGCAGTGGCTTCATTTACCTTCTTGAAGATACCTAGCTTGCTACGCTCAGGCATGAGGGTTTAGTACAGAATGGCTTAGACATCTGTATTACTTTTCCAAATTCCTTTAGGGCTTCCAGTTGGTATACTCGCCTACCCTAGTCCAATTATTCAGGCTTCTATAATAGCTTGAGGGCTGAACCCTGAACCCTTACGTAATCCCAAAACCTCCAACCTCTAAACCCCCTCAAACCCCCAAGCCCTTAACCTTAAACCCTGAACCCCACGTCCCTGGCTGAGGCTTAGGCTTTGGATTTTGGGGGCGCGGGGTTCGGAGTTTAGGGTTCAGGGCTTACGGTTGGGGTTTCTATTCTGAGGTTTAGGCTATCGAGTTTCGGGCTGGGGGTTTGCAACAGAAGACAAGAGTTGCAGTATAAGGCCCCAAAGTCTTAGCTGGAGAGACGACAACCAGCAATCCCAAATGTTAAAGCCCGAAACCAGAATGCATGAACACCAGGAGCTTGGAACCGGAATGTAAACTCCGAAGCATCATACCATGAGATACCCTAAGGGTCCATGTACTCATATAGTCTATACATTGGCCTTAATGTAGTCCCTATATAAGTACTTTGGGGCTCACGTATCTCTATACGGCTACATGGACCCTTAGGGATAGACAAGAACCGAACAGCATCCGAAGCTGCTAGGCATTAACCCGTTACACTGCGACTTGGAGACCTTGTCACTTCACCTTGAAAACCGAAGCCTTACCACAATCATACGGTTGATGATATAAACCCTGCAGGGAAGGACTATACCATAATTCCCATAGTCTAGCGTCATTAGGGTAATGCAGGATTCATATCATCAACCGTACTTCTATCCTGGAACTCCAAGCTGAAGCCTTCAAACCCTAAAACTCTTCGGCTCCTAGTATTAAACCTACAAGCTCCGCTTGGAGGTTCATGGGTAGTTGTAAGTAGGGTCATAAGTAGGATAACCATACTTATAGCCCATATTAGGGAACTTATAACCCCACTATAACTGCCCATGAACCTCCAAGTAGTATTAAACCCACAAGCTCCAGTTTACATCAGTCGTCTCAACATCCTCCGAACACCTCATTAACCTTAGTGAGTGCCAACGAAACCTGAAACACTGAATCCAAAGGAAACCCTAAACTATAAACCCCAAGAAAGCCAAAGCCCAAACCGTATCTTAGCCCCGAAAATCCTGCTTTTTGCAAAAACTATACACCCCCAATCTGTACACCGGACCCCAAGCTTAAGCTTCATTACCCTGAAATCCTCCAAGCAGTGCTGGGTTCTTGTTAAGGAACGTACTTTCAGTTTATATACTCGGGATCTACAGTAAATATCTTGACTTCCTTAATTTTAGTTAATAGTTCTTAATTCCCTAACAGGAACCCAGATTGAGGTAAATCCTCCAACTCTAAAACTTAAATCCCAAACTCTAACCTGTGAGGTGGAGAAGCTGCTCCAACAGCCGGATGCCGCGCGTCTCCTGGAGGGGCGTGCGGCCAAGGACGTCATCGAGGAGATGGACAGGCCCCGGGGTTTAGGAGTTTGGAGTTTAGGGTTTAGGATTCAGGGTTTAGGGTTTAGGGTTTAGGAGTTTAGGGTTTAGGGTTTAGGGTTTGAGTACCATCGCCTGCTTTCTGTAGGATCTTGATATCGGTGTTTCAAATCCGGGCTTAGGGTTTAGAGCTTTAGGGTTTTAGAGTGTTAGTGTTTAGGGTTTTAGGGGTTTGGAGTCTAGGTTTAAAGGCCTATCAGGGGCGCTCTATGCGGTCACACGGTCAGGGTTTGACCTTGGGAGTTCGGGTATGCTATGGTCGAATATAGGGGCTTCAAAAATTACCAATACCAAACCTATTTTGGGGGTTCCTTATTATAACTAAAGTATAATGGGCCCCCAAAACATACTCTAACTATTAAGACCCCTGTACTGTGGTTTACAGCAAGGATTTCGGGGTCCAGGATTATGCCACTCTGAACCCTAGACCTTCAGCCACGACTACGGTTCTCAAGAAGCTTGAATGCTTGCGAGTATAAAGTGTTATGAATGATTGCACAATCTCAACGAAGATGAATGGCTATAGATTAGAAACCATCCTGAAGCAGTCGATGCCGATGCTTTGCACTTCCTGGGACACTGACTACCTCGAAGGCTCGAGCGACTGCGGCGCTGAGGTAGTGTGTCCCCCTAGGGCTCGTTCCTAGTGTGCCTCAGCCATAGGCGCGATGGCTCCTAATCATGCTGCGCTCCTCGCAGCAGCGGTTAAGGCAGCTTGCCAAGCTAAGGCGCCCAGGCGCACCGTAGCGGCAGTAGCAGCCGCAGTAACCTCCTCTTTGGTTGCTGCGGCGGCTGCGCCTGCCACGGTCACTGGTGCTGCCTCGCGGCCTCCGAGTGCTAGAGTGGACTCTGGCGTTCGTGACGACGAACTGGTGCAACAACTGCGTGAAGCACGTGCAGAGCGCAGACGTGCCAAAAGGCAACGCCGAAGGGCAAAAAAGGCGGCAGCTACTTCGGGTGTCAACGACGAGACTGCGGAAGTTGCTGACGTGGCCTCGGTTGGGACAGCCGTCGCGGAAGCAATGGATGCAGACGGGGAACCTCGAACTGACAAGGACAAGCCCCTGCAGCATGGTACGACCGGTTGCACGCCTCCGTCCAAGAAACCCAAGCCTGAGAGTGGTGACCAAGGGTTTGCTGTTCCAGCTCCGTTACTGTCAATTCCTAGTCGGGGCGTCAGCCCCGCTCCGAGCACAGGATCAATCGCTGATTCCGGCTGCACGCGATTGAGTACTTTCTCTGCTCAAGACTTTGCTCCTCAGGAGCCTGTGCCTTCGGGCAGCCGCTCGACAGGTCAAAGGCAGCCGCCACCTCCAGCTCTTCGTGGGCGCGGTCGGGGAGGGCCTAAGTAACCTGGCAGTGTTCTTCCTCGCCTAGTGAGACGCAGTGTGTGCGCCCGTTTTGCTTTGGCTGCGACAAGATCGCGCCTAGTTTCACGTGTAGACTCGGCTGATCGCCGCGGCTGAGCCGCCAGGCTGCACAACGCCTTGATCGGCTGCAATCCCACCATTTTGGGCAGGGTACAGCCTCGCCAGACAGACAGACACTGACTACCTCGGGGAAGGATGGTGTTTGAAAGAGCTGCAGCAGTCCATCCACCGGGGCAGGTTTTACGTGTGGGCAGAGAAGTCGGGGACGGTTGTCTTTCCTGGAAGAGAGTTCCGTGCACGAATCGACCCCGATGGACAAACGTTGTGCAGGGTTCTGGACACCCTCAAAACCCGTGCCGGGCTGGGAAGGGTTCTTGCGTGTGTGGGTGCTGGCACCATACTACATGGCACCAGCGACAACAACCTTGGGATCAGGGAGTGCAGGACCTTGGTACTAGATTTTGGAAGTGAACAACTTTACAAAACCTGTGGGACCTCCGCAGAAACCACAATTAGTTTCGCTCCCTCGCAGATCACCCGTGCGAGTGTTGCTATCTCTATTCAAGCATCTGCGGCTGCACATGGTGCCCCATACCAGCCATGTTGGACAAAGGCAGGCCTGACGTACCAGGTCCTGGGCAACTCCCCCGAGACGTTGTGGAAGCGGCGGAAGGTTTGCTTTTCGCGGGACGGGGTGCTGGCGCGCCGCCGGGTAGTGAACCATTAGCCATGGATGGGAGGCAGCACATTTGTTGTTGTTTTCTGTTTATTGTGTTGTCTTTTCAATCGCTGTACGTACAGCATGTTGCAAATCATACATCCGAAGCTTACATCCAAGAGTCATCCGAATCCTAAATCCCTTATCCATTTGTAGAATCCTTACAGAACCCTTATAAATGATATCAACACCCATAGAACCCGAAACCCAAAACCACCACCTGTACTACAACCCTGCATCACAATGTGCGAAACCCCAAACCCCACACCCGGAGCCTTTACGAAAACAAGTTTCCAAAAGGCAAAGCTTCAACCCAGAAGCCTAACCTGGGTCCCTTGGGCCCCCCCTAAACCCTGAAACCCCAAACCCCTAGATCCTAAGCCCAAAAGCCCCGGCAAGGAATGCCGACGGTGTTGTGGATTTCAAGGCAGGGCCGGCCAAAGTGGGTTAACACCTCAGCTCAAGGGCTCTACCAAGAAGTCTTTGTTGTGGGTCTTTGGGTTTCAGGCAGGGTTGAGGGTATGGCCTGAGTGTTTTGGGGTTTTTGGTTCGGTTAGGGGTGATTTGAGATTTTCTGGGCTTCAACCACAAGTTTAGGGTTTCGAAGTTACGATCTGTTAAGTTTAGCCCCAGGGTTCGGTCAAGAGACTTGGGATCCCTGTCACAGGAGTCGGTATAGTTGCCTACACTATTCCGTGGGGCTCCTCTTACAATGATACCATGATGTACCCCAAAACCCTACTCTAATTGTTAAGGCCTCTATATTTTGCCGTGTAGAGCCTGAGGCATAGTTTACGGAGGTCCCTGCATTATGGGGTTTCGGTTTCGTCTTGTGATATTGTATCCTAAACCCGAAACCTGGACCTAAACCCTAAGCCCCTAAACCCCTTAAACCCCTTAAACCCTAAACCCTAAGCCCCTTAAACCCTGCCATTAAGTTAAATCCAAATTCGGATATAGCTTCAACTATACGTCCGAACTACTGCAAGCACTTTGCGGCTTCGTGATATGAAACCAACAGGCTAGGGTTTAGGCTTCAAGGTTTAAGCTTCAGACCCCAGACCATCTATACCAGGTCATGGTGTCTGCAGAATTAGCGGTGTCGATGTTGTTGTTATCAAGTCCACTACATTCGGCATCACGTTACTTGGAGGTTCATGGGTAGCTAAAAGTGGGTTTATAAGTCCCCTAGTATGGGTTATAAGTATAGTTACCCTACTTATAACTACCCTAAACCCCAATCCTATAGATCCCTTTCAAGGAACCCTACTTATGACTACCCATGAACCTCCACGTTAGGCCCATTTAGACCCATATCAGACACCGATCAGGAGTTTCGCAGAGCGATGTTGGGAGATGCCAACACGGTCTGAACCTAAGCAGTGGTTTTTGGCGGGGCCAAAGTTTAGGGTTTAGGGTTTAGGGGTTTAGGGTTTAGGGGTTTAGGGTTTAGGGGTTAAGAAGGGACCCCAACTTAGGAGTGCTGCCCATGTAGAGAGTGTGGGTTTGTGGCTTACTCTAGGGATCAACATCGCCCCAAAGCCTTATATAGTATGGTCTTTTGGCCCAAGAGCCTTAATAGATGAGTCCTTAGATCCCTAGGGTTGCGGAACCTTCAGATTGAACGATATGGGAGTTTCCACAAATAAGGGACCCTAATATAGTACCCTACATGTTAGGATCCTTATTCTAAGGACCCCAAATTAAGGTACCTCTATTTTCGGAAGCTCCCATATAGGGTATTGCAATGTATACACGCTGTCTGTGTGTGTGTGTGTGTTTTTGTTTCTGTGGGATGCATGTCACATGAGCTTTCCAACCGGTAGCCTTGACCCTCCTTGAGCTTTCTACGTGGGGAGTTCTCGGAATTAAGGTCCGTTCTAGGTCCTCGACGTAGTAGGGCCATTATCAAAGGGACCCTTAAAAAACAAGCGTAAACCCAGGTCCGGTCGGCTAAATCCTGCATAAACCCTGAGCTCTAACCTTTCGAAGCCAATCAGAGACTCTTCGAAAACAAGTTTAGTTCAAGGAGTATTCGTTACAACACAATTAGGGTTTCTACCAGAAGTTACGGGATATTCCTTAATTATGAAGGCGGCTTAAAGTCTCTTGGGTAGCTGCTGCTCAAGCAAAACTCGTGCAACACCTTGGCAGTTCCGTAACCCGAAGCTCTAAACCCCAAACCCCAAACCCTAAACCTAAAGCCCTAAACCTTACACCCCAAACCAAACCCAAAATTTCAATTCCTAAACCCTACACCCCGAACCCTAGACCTCAAACCCTAAACCCTACACCCCTAAACCCTCAAACCGCGCAGAAGTCCAGAGCCGCCCCGGCCCGACTGAGTGGACTTTAGGGTTGTGGATCTCAGGTTTTGGGTGCAGGATCGTGGGTTTAGGGTTTAGAGTTTTGGGCTGTCCGGTTTCGGGTGCAGGATCGTGGGTTTAGGGTTTAGAGTTTTAGACTCTCAGGTTTTTGGGTGCAGGGTTTTGAGTTTAGGGATTAGAGTTTTAGGCTTTCTGGTTTTGGGTGCAGGGTTTTGGGTGTTCTATGGGGTAGCAGCAGTCGAGGAGCTACCAGGACGATGACGAGGTTGCGGAGGAGATTCAAGACCATGGCCGCGGCAAGGGGGTTCGTAGACATCTCGCAGAGTGTTCGTGTGGTCGGAAAGGGGGGCCGCATCCTGGAAGGAGACACCATCCTCTGGCAAGACCCGGACTTTAAAGAGTCTCTCTGCAGAGAGGTCGTGGCCTAAACCCTAAACCCTAAACCCTAAACCTTCCACGGGCGCTTTCGTTGGCCCAATTCGTAGAGGCCGATGTCTGAGGGACCGAGTCGGGCTTGAGGCAAGGAACAAAAAGGGGACTCGGCCGTGTTCCCCGGATGAATCGGCGGATGCAGTGTTTGCATGCTTCATGCCACGCCATCACAACATCACGACGTGACTGCTCAGAGGCATTAAAAGTGCTGAATGTCAGAAACTTACTGCAAGAGTCCTTCTATAAGGAAGCCTTTATGCTAATTACCATGTAACTTAGGGTACGTAGAAATGAGTTTTGATTTTTGGTTATTATAATTTCTAAGAAACAGCTAACATTGTATTTATTGCTAGGGTTCTGAGTTCAGTATAGGGAAATCATACCGACGAAGTCCAATCACTTAGGTCTCTTGGTGATCAGGTAAACTTCAAAGCCACACTGCGAGACAACCCACACAAACTGAATGACTCTTGCAATTTTTACCAGCGGAACTCCCTCATGTGTCGTTAAAGGTTTCGACAGTTTTTGTTTGTAGGGTGATGTAACCCCCCTTGAGCAGGCTTGGGGGTTCCCTGCATAGTACGCTTTTCACTTGCCCTAAGGGTCCATGTAGCCATAGAGATACATGAACCCCAAGGTATCTATATAGGGACTACATTAAGGCCAATGTATATATACTATATGAGTACATGGACCCTTAGGGTTGGATGCAAAGGACCCCCAACCTTGTCCCGAAGTCTTTGCATGTTGCACGGAGCAGGTCATGTTCTGGAAGAAGGGCGATGCAGCACGTTATCTGAGCTCCAGCGTGCGGCCCAGAAACAACACCGCGAAGCTCTAATCAAGCCTAGTTAGGCAATCCCAAATACGACAGCGTGATTTAGAGGGGCCAGTCTATAAATAAATATAAATATAAATATAAATATACATATAAATATGAATATGAATATCAATATCAATATAAATATAAATATAAATATTAATATAAATATAAATATGAATATAAATATAGATATAGATATAAATATAAATATCAATATAAACATAAATATAAACATAAATATAAATATCAATATACATATCAATATCAATATCAATATCAATATAAATATAAATATAAGTATAAATTTATATATAAATTTACATGTATATATATATATATATATATATATCATTTCATCATACATATATATATATATATATATATACATATATATATATATACACTAAAATTTTCCGGTTCTGGCATCCGTACAGTCTTGTTTCCTCAGGTTGGCCCAAGGCTTCTCGTGTGAATTGGATAGGAAGTTCCAGCGTTGCCCTTTGTCCAGTCTGGCATTGCGGGCTCGTCTTTTAAATATGATGCACCGGGAATGAGATGTTCAAGTATTCTGGCCCCCACATAACTCTTGTTATTCTTGTTTCGCTGTGTCCCACCATCCAGCCCGACTTTTCAGAGACCTCTCTGACTACTCAACGACCGCTTTTGCTTCTGATGGGAGCCATATCTAATATGCCTACAGCCGGTTCACGGGTACCCTACTTGAGTACGAAGAACAAGTAGTGCGGCGAAGCGCATATAGTATATGCATATCACTACCCTAAGGCCCAAACGTAGTTCCTTTTAGGGGGTTCATATATAGAATCCTATAAGGTAATCCCAAAAAGGAACTACTTTGGGGCCTGTGGGTAGATCGAACGAGCGAGCACTGCCGTGACCAGAATCAGACTGACAGTCCCAGCGAGAACGACAACCGCCACATCAGCATTTCCTAGGACCCAGAGTAGGCCCTTATTCCCTTTTTGAGGGTTTAGGTTCCCTTATAACCCCCTTTAAAACCAAAAAGGGCACCCTTGTCACTCCTAGGTTACTCGTAGGTCTAGTTTCACAACATACGGTTGATGATATAATTCCTGCATGACCCATAATAAGGAATAGACCACAATTCCCATAGTTTAGGGTCCTTAAGGTAATGCGGGGTTTATATATCATCAACAGTATCTTGCCTCTTACCTTTGGTTAGTAGGGAATGGAAGAATGGAAGTAATAGCATTTGTACTTGTACCCCATTCCTCCGTTCTCTACTAACCAAAGGTAAGGCTTGAGATGACTGATAGCTGGTTATGGAGTACTATACTTGAATACTTCTTTGGGCCTGTTGTTTAAAGGAACCACTACTGCATGAAACTCAGGTCTATAGTTTGTTCCCTGGTTGCTTCGAAGCCCAGACAGGGATACTGAGGTTGCTGACGGATGTTTTTCTTCTTTTGCATGGCTCTGATAACCCTAAACCCTAAACCCATTGACACAGATGTCCCCGGCCAGCTGTCGGGAACGACCCGGGCTTCGTTTCTCCGTAGCCAAGGCTTCGTTAGGGTTATGGGCTTCAGCCCACTCATATGGGAATTTCCGAAAATTAGGGGTACTGTATTTGGGGTTCTTGTAAAAAGGATCCTACCATTTAGGGTAATTACTAAATTTGGGTCCCCTAATTTTCGGAAACTCCCATATGCCCCAGGTGCACTGGAAAATCTGCTAAGGTTAAGGTCCTCGTTAGGGTTATGGGCTTCAGCCCACTCATATGGGAATTTCCGAAATTAGGGGTACTGTATTTGGGGTTCTTATAAAAAGGATCCTACCATTTAGGGTAATTGCTAAATTTGGGTCCCCTAATTTTCGGAAACTCCCATATGCCCCAGGTGCACTGGAAAATCTGCTAAGGTTAAGGTCCGGGGGAGTTGCTAGTAAGCCCTCAAGGCAAACTCCTGAAAGGATCTAAAAGGTAGCTCCGTTAAGGGGGTTCCAATAAAGTATCCTGCTATAGCATTTAAAGGGGATCTACGTTTTGGATCCTGCCGAAGCTTGTGAAGCTCGTGGAACACAACATCGCACCCCAGGCTTTGAGCGGTGGATTCCCTGCCGCGTCGAGGATGTCGATCAGGATAAGGCCCGGACAAATAGGTGCATGTACTACTCACCCTAAGCCCCGAAAACTCTAAACCCCATAGCCCAAAACCCAAAGACTAGACTTCCAGCCTTAAGCCCTGAGCCCTCAGATGCTCAACAGGTCCACGTTCATCTCCATCATGTGCATTTCCATCATGTTCACTCCCACGATCCAGTGCTGCTTCACGCGAAGGTGCACCAGAGTGTTCATCACCTCCAGCCGCACGAGCATCGTCTCGACTTCGCCTGCGATCATGTCCATGCTGTTCACCATGTGCACGATGTCCACCACGTCCTCGCATGGTATGATGAGGTGTCGCCCCCAACTTGCTCCGCCAAATCCGTGTGGTAGCGGACGATCGTCGAGGGTCGAGGAAGGAGTTGGCGGTGACGGTTGCGAACTTCCCGTCTGTCCGGCAACCTCCCGCTGAAAATGTCCCTCCACCACCTGCTGACCATCGTCCTCCCATGCCGCGTGCAGCACATGCTCGTGGGGGGTTTGTACCTGGCTTTCGTGCTGGTGGAAGTGGTGGTGGTGCCGAAGGTGATGGGGATGGTGCTGGTGATGGAGATGTGGGTGGAGGTGGCAGTGGAACAAATTGCAGCACTATGTACAAACACCTCGTGAAAGTTCTTTTAGTGAAAGTTCTAAACAACACAGAAGAAAATTGCAAAGCTCCATACAAACCGTCTGAGAATTTGATCCTAAAGCCTAATTACACTACCCTCAACCCTAAACTCTAAGCCCTGGAGTTCGGCAGGATTCCGTGATTATCGACCTGAAACCGGGCGTCTGGCTTACTCCCGAGGATTCCTCGGCACAATCCCTGGAAGGGCAGGGTTTAAGAGTTTAGGGTTTAAGGGCTTAGGGTCTTGATGATTGGAGGTGTGTCTTAGAGGGTTTCATGTCTACGGAACAACAGGATTGGAAGTGTAGTATATACTGTACTTGTTTAGTGGTTATAAGCGAGACTTGATACTTTCTGTTCAGACCCCTTTGTTACGAACTTGCTGCTGGAGCAGAGGTTAGCTAAGCACGAAGTCACGGGTCTCATTGGATTGAAGGTTTGGGCCAGTTGGATTTCTAGCTGAGGGCCTAGGGGCATCACGGCCTCAGAGGTGGGAACTTATGGTTTCACAGTTCTTTTCAATAACATATACAAATGCATATACATATACTTATGTATGTATCTGTACACATAAGAATATAATGTATAGTTGTATGCATTTTATATTTGGTGGTGGTGGTGGTCTTATAGTTATATATCTTCGCATAGATATGCTTATGTTGCTTCTCGTGGTTGTTTATGCGTATGTGTAGTTTTTATGTGTGTAGTTAACTCTAAACCCAAGCCCCTGCAGGACATGAAGCATCGGCTGGTCCCCGGGAACACTTGTTGGTCCGTCGGCGCGAAGTGCCAGTACTACAGTCTTCCTGGCCTGTTCGGAGGATGGCTCACGCAACATACTACTATAGGCGAGAAGAATAGGCTACAAAGATGTTCTCTCACAATATACTGTAGTAAAGCTGTATACTGAAATGCTATATCGGTATACGAAATGATATACTAGAACAGTATGCGTCGATAACGATACACGATCATAGTATACTCTAACAACATAGTACAGTATATAATGGCTCTCGTTGAGGATGCCTTCGGGCGGTTGGGGCATCGTGCGTAGTTAGGTTTTAGGGTCTTGGATTTTGGTGATTCAGCGACATCTGCAAGCTCTGAGGGCCTAACATCTGGGAAGTCTAAACCCGAAGCTCGACTCCGAGCCAGGCTAATTACCGAGACCGCCCAACTGCCCTTTGTGCTTTACACCAAAAATCCACGATCAAGGACCACCCTACCCACAGGCCCCAAAGTAGTTCCTTGTTGGAATTACCTTATAGGATTCTATACATGAACCCCAAAAAGGAACTACTTTGGGGCCTTAGGGTAAACCCTAAACCCTACTAGGAAGGGCTCTATTCAGGGGCACTTGATGGGTCCCGACAAGTCCCGGAAGCTGCCTAAGCCCTGAGGGTCGGAGGACGTAGTAAGTACCTTAACCTACCAAAGCCTACTTTTTTGTAGAGTCCCTATAACTTCCATATGAGGGTTTATAATAATCAGGGCAACACAGAAGGGGGCAACACTTTGGAAAGGCAAGACCCGACCCTTCGCCCGAAGTTCGTCGAACCCCGCCGGCGTTCGCCGAACCCTCGCCGAACACCTCCCCTCCTTCGAACCTTTATTATTAAATTCTAATATTATTAATATTAATTAATACTAATAATACTAATAATAACTAATTAATATTCATTTAATTATAATTAATATTAATATTAATATTAATAATACGAATACTAATATAATACTAATAATACTAATACTAATATAATAATACTACTAATAATAACTACTAATACTAATATTAATGCTAATACTAATTTGTTTAATACTAATACTAATAAAATCCTAATACTAATGTTACATAAATTATTATTATATTTAAATTTATTTAAATACTAATACTTATGATACTGATATTTCAATATAATTTGTAACAACAGAACTAATAATACTAATACACTAATTAAATTAGTAATTAAATATTACTAATACTAGTATTATTAATGATGTATTAGATACAAATATTTATTAAGTCTCATATTAATAATTTTAGTAATATTTATATTCAAAAAATACAAAGGTGAAATTACAATGAATGTGAAAAACTAATAAACTAAAAAGTATTAGCAATAATGTGCATAATTTAACCTTATCACGAATGGCTCATAGTATAATAGATTTGCATTCGAAGACTGAATGGCTTGTATTCTTAGTCATAGATGAACAATATGGGAACCCTGTCATGAACAATTAACTTGCAGAATACTTGTTAGTGTGCTGTTCAGAGTTACTAATTGATAATCAATGTCCATACAGGCCATTGTCAATAAAGTATATTGTTTGTTAGCTATTTCTTATTATTCAATTTGTGATACTATCGCTAGTGGTAACAATTTAAACAATAATTTTTAAATAACTCATCATCAGCACACTATTTCTCACAGGGGCCTGCCTATCACCGGTACGATCCCAATTCATATTCTCATAGTATCAATAATAAAAAAACTCAGTTTCCTGATTGCTTAATTTGGACGCAGAACATGTGTGTCCTGGATATGCATCTAGTTTCTTTGAGTGGTTCTGTATAATAATTAAGCAGCTTTATGAACTTGTGTATGATATGATGTCAACACTAATCAAAACATACTGCCGTATAAGTGATGAATAATTAAATACACACTTTGACTTAGCTAGATTATTCGTGGTTTTGCTTGTTGTAACACTGAATACTGGCTAACAAGAACAATAGTACTATTTTATAATCAGCAGGTTTCACCAAGATTGAGTACAATAATATCACGATCATCCCTCTGCTTGTAACCAGAAAGAATAAACAACAGTTGAGTCGAAAGAACAAACTTGACAATAGTGTAGACAGAGGCTTAGGCAATTACATTGTTACTAACTGTTAGCAGCATAAAGAATGTAGTTAATAGCAACAACAAATATGAACACATATAGATACTCACCATCATCATCGTCATCATAATCATGCGTGCTGCTGTGTCTTTTTGTTTTGGGAAGGGGGGAAGGTTCAGTCAGGGCAAGACTTCGGCTTCGCTGCAGTTGGGAGGGTTTGGGGTTTGCGAGTCTTGCAGGGTTTGGCCCGAGTCCATTGTAAGAACCCTATTCCCAAAGACCCGAAAGAAAAGAAACCAACCCCACCATGCAGCCCTCCTGAAGCCGCAAGCCCAGCCCAAGCAAGAGAGCATTCACGTCTTGGACAAGATCATGGTGATGCTGGGAGCCCGGGCAAAGTACTCAGTGAGGGTTTCAGGGTGAGCGCCTAAGGATTCGGGTTAGGAGTTAATGGGCCGACCGTGAGGTCGTGCCCGGGTCTAGGAGTAAGATTTACGCTAGCCGGGTCGACCGGGAGGTCGCGCCCGTTTTTGCAAGACGTCCATCGGACGCCGGCCGTGAGGTCGGAAGAACAGCGGCTGGGAAGCCGAGTCGTAATACGGCAAGAATTAGCAAGACGTCCATTTGGACGCCGGCCGTGAGGTCGTACGAGTAAGAGATAGCAAAGTCACTATATGGAGAGACGGTAGGGAGTAAGGTGTAAGATCAACAGACGTCCATAGGATGTCGACCGGGCGGTCGCAAGATTAGAAAGGAGGGTCAATGCAGAGTAAGATTATTCTTCCAGCAAGCAACTAGTTACGTCGTATTGAACTGATATTATTTGCCATTGGTTGATGGTTGTTGGGTTGAGTAGTCAGTGTTACAGTGTATAATAAGACTGTGATGTGTTTCTTGATGTGGGAATTTCAGGGCAAGACCTAACCCTGCCGAGAGCGTAAGAACCGATGACGAACGCCCCCTGATAAATACGGAGCTTCCGCAAGCTTTGAATGTAAGTCGTAAGTGTAAACCGAACCACCCTCTCCCGCGCAAGATTCCGATTTGCTAGCTGCCCGAAGCCATCAGACTTGAACTCTGCCTGACCTCAGACCCAACTCCGAGCCCTAAACCGGGACCAATCTCCAAACAGGCAAGAACATTTGTAAAAAATGTTAGACATTAGTTAGAGACTTGCCCAAGGCAATCAATCAATATACAAAATTCAAATCAATTAATAATAATATACAAAATTCATGCTAAGTGAATTGCCAGATTGACTACCGAGGCCAGACCTCCGCATGCCTCGTCGTGCCAGATTTCTAGCAGGAGGAGACCCGGGTGGTTTGGTTTTCTGCAGTGGGCTTTTGATCAGATCAATAATCGAATCAGCGGTTGTTGACCATTTGTCAGATTTGCGTCAAGGTTGAATTGAGTCAGCAAGAACAGTGCGTCCGCAGTTGACCAGGTTGTCTCAGTCAGACTCAGAAGCATAATCAATTAATTATATTTTTTACAACGTAGAGTGAGTGAAGACGAGTAGACACTGACACGTAGTAGCTCCGCTTCCATGGCTGACGAGTGGCAAGATCAGCAGTGGAATGACCGTGCCACGCGGTGGAATGAGTGGCAAGATGACCAGTGGCGGTGGAATGAGTGGCAAGATGAGCAGTGGCGGGGGAATGAGTGGCAAGATGAGCAGTGGCAAGATCAGCAGTGGAATGACCGTGCCACGCAGTGGAATGAACACCGGCACTGGCCCGAGCAGCAGGGGGGCGACGAGGACCGGAGCAAGAAGAAGAAGAAGAAAAAAAAGGGGGAAGGCGCCGTACTCCGACACACGCTTAAGCGGTTTGGCGTGACTTGGCATCTTGATAATAAAACTAACCTTTAAGACTTACTTGTTAAAGATTAGTATTATATTATTCAGTCGTCACATCCATGGCTGGACTCAGGTAGTTGGCACGCAAGAGTTATATTGCAGGCAACGAGCTGCACGGCAAGAGGTCCTCAACAAAGCAAAGGCTCCTCAAGTGGTCGTGGCCAGATGTAAAGCAGAGCCAAGCAGACCACTCGTGGCCAGATGTAAAGCAGAGCCAAGCAGACCAGAGGACAGACCAGAGCCCGTGGAGCCACAATCAACTTCGCCAGCACAGGTGAACATGCCTTCCCAGCCTCTGCCTGAGCCAGAGCCTGCGGCATTGCCCCGCCAGCCAATTGGACCACCCGTCAGCTTTGGCCCCCCAGCAAGGCCGCAGCCAGAACAAGCACTGAAGCCACAAGCAAGTCAAGCCACAGCCGCAGCAAGTCCAAGGAGACCACCTGAGAGCCTTTTAAACCCAAGGCATTCAGCAAGACCAGAAATGCCAATGCCACGAGCAAGTCCAGCCACAGCCGCAGCAAGCCCACCACCAGCAGGGCTGCAGCACCAAGCCCAAGCCCCGCTAACTCCGCGGCCAAAAGGACGGCCAATGCAAATAACTGAGCCAGCACAGCAACAGCAAGAGCAGCAGGTCCAACAAGCCCCGCCAACTCCTCAGACTCCCCCCCCCTCCTCGCAGCGGCCGCAGCAAGTGGCACAGCCACGGCAACAGCAACCAGCCCCACAAACTTCAGCTGCACAACCTCAGCAAGGGCTTCTAGCAGCACCGCCGCAGGTCCCAGAAATGCCGCCACCGCGGTGGCAGCCGTTGCGACAGCAGCTGCAGCAGGGAGCCCCGCCGCAGCAAGAGCGGCCGGCACCCGTGAGCCAGCCGCCGCTCAACCGTCAGCAACAGCCGCTACAGCAGAGAACATCACAGCAAGAGCAGCCCGCACCCGTGAACCAGCCGCTCAACCCTCGGCAAGAGCCGCTGCAGCAGAGAGCCCCGCCGCAGCAAGAGCAGCAGCCGCTCAACCCTCAGCAACAGCCACTGCAGCAGAGAGCCCTGCAGCAAGAACAGCAGAGAACATCGCAGCAAGAGCCCGCACGCGTGAACCAGCCGCTCAACCCTCGGCAAGAGCCGCTGCAGCAGAGAGACCCGCCGCAGCAACAGCAGCAGCCGCTCAACCCTCGGCAACAGCCGCTGCAGCACAGAGCAAGACCGCAGCAAGAGCCAGCGCCCGTGAGCCAGCCTCTGAACCCGTTGAACGTGCCATTCGGCTTTCCGATGCCGCCGCTGGCGAATCCGTTGCTGCCGCCGCCACCGCTGCCGTTGCCGGTTGTTTAAGGGCAAGAAGTGGTTGAGCAGATGGCTTCGCTGCTCAAGGTTACGACAGCAATGCTGCTACTCAACCGCAATTTGCATGTGTGTGATGGTTCGGTATGTGTAATTTCAATCAGTAGCATAATGGAGTGGTAGTAGTAGGACTAGTACTAGTACTAGCACTAGTAGTAGATTTAGTTAGTTGTTGTTGTAGTTGTAGTTAAAGTAGCAGTAGCAGTAGCAGTAGTAGCTTTAAGTAGCAGTAGTAGTAGTAGTAGTAGTAGTAGTAGTAGTAGTCGTAGTCGTAGTCGTAGTCGTAGTCGTAGTCGTCGTCGTAGTAGTAGTAGTAGTAGTAGTAGTAGTAGTAGTAGTAGTAGTAGTAGTAGTAGTAGTAGTAGTAGTAGTAGTAGTAGTAGTAGTAGTAGTAGTAGTAGTAGTAGTAGTAGTAGTAGTAGTAGTAGTAGTAGTAGTAGTAGTAGTAGCAGGTAGTAGTAGTATAGTAGTAGTAGTAGTAGTAGTAGTAGTAGTAGTAGTAGTAGTAGTAGTAGTAGTAGTAGTCGAAGTAGCAGTAGTAGTAGTAGTAGTAGTAGTAGTAGTAGCAGCAGCAGCAGGGGTAGTAGCAGCAGTAGTAGTAGTAGTAGTAGTAGTAGTAGTAGTAGTAGTAGTCGAAGTACTCCTTCTAGTACTAGTACTAGTACTACAACTCTACACATATTTGTTTTATACACACAGTTGCGCTACAGCTAGCAATCGTTTCTGCTGTAAGAAGCTGATAAAAAGCAACAGTTGTCGTTGCCCAACTCCGCCCAAGGTCTGACTCGCAAAAGAACTATTTCAATGCCGAGCAGTGCAGGATGGAAGAGGCAAAACGCGGTGCCAAGAACGAAATTCGGGCTCAGCAGGCCTGGACATGTCAAAGAAAAACCTCCGAGTAAATGCCAGCAGCCGCACGAAGTAGCAGTAGTAGTAGTAGTCGTCGTCGTCGTCGTAGTAGTATTAGTAGTCGTACTAGTACTAGTACTTACTCGTGGTCGTCCTCGAGTTTGAGCACAGTTCCCTGATCAGGTGAGTCTGCAAGAGGACAGAGCCCGGGAAGAGCTGGCGAAGGCGAAGACAATGCTGGAGGCTGCATTTAACGCTGCTGGCCAGAAGAGGCCAGTCAGCCAGACGAGCCGTTCGATCCGATAATAAGAAAACGAGCCCCATCACCGGCGCCAGAGAAGAAGGAGAAGCCGGCGGAGCTAGAGACGGAGACGGAGGAGATGAAGGGCGGCAAGAAAAGGGGCAAGAAGCAGTGCTCGGACAGGAAGACGAAGAAGGAGAAGAAGGAGAAGAAGGAGAAGAAGGAGAAGAAGAGCAAGTCCTCAAGAAGAACTCCCAGTCCTTCCCTGACCTCGAGCAGCATCAGCACGCACATGCGGAGACTACGAGATGGGTCGAGTCGCAAGAAGTAAGATTCAATTCAAGAAGGACACCGCAAGAATCGAGGCTAGCTGAGATAGTTAGTAAGACAAGCCAAGGTTCATGCTACATGGTTTTGTTTAAAAATTATGGCGCGTGTGACGACATCGCCTTGGTTCCATCCGGTGTCCTTTTCATTTTCTCTGCTTTGCTGATCGCCAGACATCTCCAGACAGCAGCTGGAAAAAGAAGCCACTTGCCAGGCTGTTAAACGTCCATGAGCTAGAGTCTTTCTGGTTGGCCCAATCAGCAAGAGCGAAGAAGCATAAGCAGCATGCCCAATAAGCCAAGCGACCCACTCCAGGAGCTTCTTCACTTCGGGCCGCTGCTGGCTCGGCACCGACATGCAGGCCAGAACCGGGCAAGGCCGCAGGCTGCAGGGTGCGGGACAGCTTCAAATCATTTATTAGCCCCGCTCTTCGGTCACTGTCCCAAGGTGACAGACATCCTCGGCAAGAGACGACTTGGAGGCCAGCCCTGCACATAGAAGCAGTAGTCAGTCAGCTTTGAGTTTCTGGATGCATGCATGAGTCTTGAGCGACATGTGGGCCTTGAATTTTTGATCTCAAGCAAGAAAGTGAATCGGGGTGTCAGAAGCCGCGGGCAAGAAGAGTCGCCCGCGCTGCCATGGCCGAAGAGCCAGAGCCCAAGAAGAAGGTGCCAGATGTGGTCTGGCGCTGGCGCAAGACACTGGCCAACAGCCTGAGTGGCCTCAAGCCGCCTTATGGAGAACAAGGCCGGCTGCTCTTGCGCGCGATAGAAGTCTGCAACTCGACTGCAACATATCAGATTGCTACATTTGTAAGACTCGACCGTTCTCTCCCTGCGTACTGAGACTGGGATGAGCTCCCACGAACGACCCGGCCGACAAGCAGTTGGCCACTGCCAGACTACAAATCGGCGCAAGAGTGCGATAAGTTCGTGACGCAAGAGCTGCTGTTTTTGAGTCCGGATCTGGCATGGGTGATGCTT